GAATATCAGTATTACAAATTCTTTGGTTGATGATTTTTACGCATTTAGTGGTGAAGAACAAGCAATGCAACGAGAGCGGCTCGTCAATTACATGGCAAATTTTTGGGTGATCGTCATAAAGTCAATGTTTACGGGCGAAAGGTTGATTTACTACTTTGCGTTTCTGATATGGAGCTCTGCGCGAACGAGTGGAAAGCATCGGCTTCTGACAATACCCTGGTGAGACAGCAATCCAAAAACGCTCGAGTAAATAAATGTCTGCTCGATAATATGACGAAGGTTCTCTCTGATGGTGGACTCAATGCTGATGAATGCAGTTTACTTAGCATGGATTGGACTGGTAAGCTGAAGATGACCATGAATGTATGAGAATAATCAGTAATCATTTCGAAACGTTTCTAAAATAGAACTTAATGGATACATGTTCATCATCAGGAAGATTAATGGCGTAACAGTTGCTAATTCCTATTCATTTCAAAGAGTTGCGATCTTTTAAACAAACACTGGCATGTCTTTTATACTGGAAGGTCAGTACAATGATACATGTAATACTCTTCAAAATTAAATTAACAATGATTTCTGTGTTCTGTTTTTACCAATGATAGAATCACTACTTAAATTTAGCCGAAGAGTTGGAAAATGCAATGTTGATCCAAAAACGGAAGTTAGCTTTCAACAATGTTGTAGAAAGTTTGTCAATTCCTGTCCCTGATCGTAGTCCATCCCCAACTGTCTTCCTTTCTCCAAAAAGAGACTGATCTCCAGGAGAGAGCATTTTTCCTTCTAACCTTGTCTGTTGTCCTTCCATTGAATAAAACCGTCTCTGTTCTGATCTGTTTATTTTCATATTTCAACTTGTTTTTAAAAAAATATACTTGACCACTCATTTCCATAATCCCATCTTTGAGCCGTCTTGAGCTGTCTTGGGCCGTCTTGGGCCGTCTGCGCTGTCTTGAACCGTCTGCGCTGTCTTGGGCCGTCTGCTATCTTGGGCCGTCTGCGCTGTCTTAGGCCGTCTGCTGTCTTGGGCCGTCTGCGCTGTCTTTCCCCTTGCGACTGTCTTAATTGAGCCTAACACTTGCCGAATGCATTGCATTCACCAATGTTGTAAAATTCACAGCAAAAAAATCGTGTGCTGTTATCTGATTGTTGCTTATCTAATTCTTATTGCTGCATTTTTAGCTTTTTTGAATGAAGTCGTTTATGACCATTAACTACTTAGACTCCTTATTTCGACACTTATCTCCCAGTACTAGTAAGAATGCGAAACGAAGCCTTTGAAATGACTTTTCTCCACACACTTGCAGGCTCATGTGATAAAGTGTCTTCATGCAAAAGTCTATGGCGCTTAACTTTACTCTTTGCTACTGTCCAGAATTGCTCTACTGGGTTAAGCTCAGGCAAATACGCACGAAGATAAGACACATTCGTATCCTCGGTATTCTATGTACTTCTTTATGTTTTCCATAGCTGTATAATGGCCAAAAGAGAAAAGGGGTAGTATCGGTTTTGAATTTTTGGTTGTCCTCACAAACTAGGCAGCGGTCAAAATATTCGAGTGGTCTATATAGCCAACGTGATCGCGTGGTTAATGTTAGTAATTGCCATCGCCAATCGATCATCTATATCTTTCATCTGCTTGTGTTTATTTCCTGAGACTGGCTGTTCCCTGTATCCTGATGCTGTTGCTGCTGCTGGATGTTAACGCGTATGAAGCCGAACTTGACCTTTGAGAAAAATTCCTCGATTGGATTAAGAAAAGGGGAATAACCCGGCAACAGGACAAGGCGATATCCACGGTCAGCCACCTTGTTGCGGATATATTCTGCCGTATGGGTTGCTGCATTGTTCGAGTCCATCCATTACCATGGTCAAAAAGGCATAAAAGTTGTGGGTTCTTGTTCCGCCTCCTTTTCCTCCTTTGTTGATCTTGGAACATATCTTGACAGCACCAGTGTAGCTAATGGCTGCGAGCATAGAGCGCGATCGGCGTACCTCTGTAGAACGATAACATGTGCTACTTCCCCTACAGGTGGCCATGCATAGTTTCATCGCATATTTGCCATGAAAGATGCCTCATCAACAAAAACACTGTTGAGTCTATAGTCGACGATGCCGGTTTGGATATGATCACGACCAAATGCGGCATGCCTATCCTTTGTTTCCTCATCTGTGCGGCGTTCTGAATAGATATGCGCTCGTTTGATCGTGATACGGAGCTTGTGTAGAGATGACGGTAAATTGTTGAGACAGCTAATAGCTGCCCAAACTTCTTGTAGTATAATTCCTGTAGCTTCTCTAGGGTTGCAGTGTTGATTGTTTCGACGGTCTTTACAAGGAAATTGCTTCCAGCTTCTGTAATCTTTGATGGTCGTGTCTTTTTATGTGTGATAGGCTCGGCGTTACCATCTCGTGCTTGAAGCCGATAATCTTGATCTCTGATGGTGCTCGCTAATAGTCCTAACATTTTGGATGCCTTCTTGTTGGTCGCTCCACACAAGTTTAAGAAAAAAGCCCGGTCTTTAATATCTGACGAGCGCGGCACATTTTTGCCCCGTGCAATTTTGAATGCTTTAGCTTGTTTGCGGCTACCTGTGGCAAACTGTAAAAAACTGATATTATCTTCAGCAGTATCCATGGGAGTGACTATCGTATCGATCGGACGCAATTGATGCTCATCATCATCAATTTCATGGCCGTTATCACAATTGCTACTGCTGTCCTCATCAGTATCACCGCTAATGCCATCATTCTCCTGTATAAGCCGGGTAGGGTCGCTAGGAAAGCTGACAATTTCGTAACTGCCCAGCTCCTCAGAGCGGCCAAAAGTTACTTCTTCCTCCATCTCAATACCCTCGTTTAGTATCGAGGTCGTGCTACCTGTAGCTAGGTAACGAACTGATTAGAGAGATTGTTAGCTATGTACGTATATTGAAAAAAGAATGAGGTATACCAGGAGTTTCGGTGCTAAGTTATTACTCAACTGCATCTGCGTCATAGCTTTTTTGAAGCAGCCGAAGTGACCGTCTAGTGCTCACTATTGGCTGTGGTTGTCGAGAGCGTTTTGTTATTGCTCTTGGGGTGAAAGGGACGTTGGTTTTCTTTTGATGCTGGCGTGCTTCATAATATAGAATACAAAATTCTTTTAGAGGAGGCGAAAAAAGAGGGAGCTTAACGTTTATGTTTATTGAAGTATCTTTGTATCCATAAAGTGTCGTTTGTAACACAAACCATCTCAATCTTAAAAGTAAAAACATCGAACTGTAAACAAATAAAGACTCTCGGTAAGTACTTTGGAACAATTAGCTCTACTTTATTATAATGTGGTTTATGGGAGACATTCTGGTTCTGGTGTTATGCTCATCAACTATGGCATCGATATGAGTACATTGACACAAACGTTTCTTTTCATATTAAAAGTTGTACCTGGTTTATTAAGTTGCTTTTTGCTAGTTGTCTTTAAGCTAAGACGCTTCAGTTTCGCGGTTAGGATGCTGATTTCATACTAATCAGGCACCCATTTTTGCTGCGAGAGCTTGGCATCATCCGTAAACGAGCGTAGAACGAGCGTAGGTCAGCAAGCGATTCTTTAAGCTCTTACGGCGACGGCTCCGGTACTTTTTCTGACGCGCTTTTCCTGGAAGCTGAAGTTTTTTTTTGACTTTGTCGATCTTGTTTCGGTTTATTCTTTCCACAGGATATACAAACGGGGTAAAAGGAAGCCCGTTCAGAAAATGAAATAAGTACTGGAAACGGGTACCGACAGATCCTTGTAATACATAAGCATTCGGATAAACACGAACGCATCCGATTCTGGCGTCAAAAGGCGTGGACTTATTAATAAACTCGGTTGCTTTTCAATTACGATTGCGAGATGACGAATGTGAACACTGCTATTTCTCTTGTACGAACTTTGTTTTTCTTCAGTGCGAATAATTGGTTAGCTCCACTGCGAATTACTGCTTGCCCCAAGCGAAAAGTAAGCACTTCCATTAACGGACATTTGCACGCCCGACAACGAAAAATATACTTGCTCAGTAACGAACATTTACTTGCCCACTGCGAAAAAAAATTATTCCCACTTGCGAAGTTCTGGTAACCCAGGTCGAACAAGCTGTTGCCCAGATACCACCATACGAAAAACCTGCCACCCGTATACACGAAGAAATAGAAGGCCGACAGCGGTATCGAATGCAAAATCCTGTAGTTCAGGGTCAGTAACAGGACACTATATCAGCTTCTTAAAATTGACTCTAGATGAAATGGACAAGCATCCGCAAATGAAAGGCGATTATACAGTTATAAACAGTGCACCCATTAACATGCATGAAAACATAAAGAAGTACATAGAATACCGAGGATACGAATGTGTCTTATCTTCGTGCGTATTTGCCTGAGCTTAACCCAGTAGAGCAATTCTGGACAGTAGCAAAGAGTAAAGTTAAGCGCCATAGATTCTTGCATGAAGACACTTTATCACAGAAGCCTGCAAGTGTGTGGAGAAAAGTCATTTCAAAGGCTTCGTTTCGCATTCTTACTAGTACTGGGAGATAAGTGTCGAAATAAGGAGTCTAAGTAGTTTAATGGTCATAAACGACTTCATTCAAAAAGCTAAAAATACAGCAATAAGAATTAGATAAGCAAACAATCAGATAACAGCACACAATTTTTTTGCTGTGAATTTTACAACATTGGTGAATGCAATGCATTCGGCAAGTGTTTAGGCTCAATTAAGGCAGTCGCAAGGGGAAAGACAGCGCAGACGGCCCAAGAGGACCCAAGACGCAACTCCCGCCCCTTACCCCAATTTTTTTCAAAGCCAGCAGAGGACCCAAGAGGACCCAAGAGGACCCAAGAGGGCCCAAGAGGACCCAAGAGGACCCAAGAGGACCCAAGAGGGCCCAAGAGGGCCCAAGACGGCTCAAGACAGCGCAGACGGCCCAAGACGGCCCAGGATGGGGGATTATTATTAACTTTCAGGCGCGCTGTAAAAGCGTCGAGTTTTATTTCAGGATACGTCATATTGAGCGGTAGAAAGAAGGGATCAGATTGCTGCAAAATGACAATATGCTATTTTGAAGTCTTTACACCTTAAAATATCATATCAAAGTGTGCTACTTATCATTGTTACTTTGTTGTGTGACTTTTTTGTATACACAACTATCATCTTGACGATACACCTTAAATTTTCAAAAAAGCCCGCTTCTTTACTCTTTTTTTTTTGTGTACCTCGAAATGGGCCTTTACTCATGGTTCTTCCCTTCGTCAACAACTCCAGAGCTCGATGAGATTCCAAAGAAGACCGCATGCTACCACATTGTAATTCCCGGCATGAATTTTTTGAACGAAACCCTGCCTTTCTTTATATTGATCATTGAGGTTTTTTAAAAATAGGAAGGATTCCTGACCTGTCATTACTTTCAACTTGCAACCGAAGTTGCCGATCGCCTTACTGCGAAACATCCTCACGTGAAAACCGACGTCAGTGCATATATCAAACAACAATGGTACGATCGATCCAAGGAATTGCAAGAGGTAAAATAACGAGACGCACCTGTATTTTTTGCCTGGGCTCAGCAACCCCACTTTCCATATCATCTATTACATATCTGCATATAGCAAGATAGATAAGAGAGATGATCAAGCTAAAAAAAATAATCCCTCGATTGAAAACTAGGAGTTCGGCAATAATCACAGAACATCACCGTTTATCTACGAAGGCTGCGTTGCTGGACAACAGAAGTTTGTAGGAGGTTATAGCGAATTTGCAAAGGCTGTCAAGGACAGCTACAAGATGAACATCCCGCTGGATTAAAAGGACAATGGATGGAGGAGTACGAAACCAAACCTGTATGCAGTATCGAAAATCGGGGAGCGACTCCATAGAGGACAGGAGACCGAGAAGAGAAAATGTAGATAGACTCGCTATATGCAAACTGTACTTTAACAAATATTACTTTTATACAATTGCCAGTAATGTGGCACTGCTCTGCAACCCCGTGAGAGAGTTGTTGCCATCCGGTGACCCTCACATCTTTCATCATAATGGCTGTTTTTGGCGGGTGTTAAGCAACAGACATGGATAGGTGGTCAAATTCCTGCAACAGCAAAACCAATTTTTCCCACGAGGGACTCCTGCTAATTCGACTGCAATTTCCCTTCTTCTTATTTTTAACTCTCTTTCGTTTAGTTTACTATTATCATCATGACATTATCATTTGTGGCCACGACGAGGGCAATGACGACAATGAGTCATCGTCCGCTTCACAATAGGATCACTACTTGTATTCTTCCTCAGAAGATTCCTACGACTACTAGCTCCCTGATCAAGCAACAAAGAACAATATCCTCGAAAAATGGTTATGTATGGCGATCGAGCGAAAAACCATGGGGACAAGGCTATCGCAGTATTGGCATCCGTCGCGAAGACAAAAGTCGCTGGGAACGCCGAGCTCCATTGACCCCAGATGCCGTGAATGCCTTGGTCCAAGAAACGGGTGCTCGCGTGTACATCCAACCAAGCACCAAGCGAATCTTTCCAGACTCGGCATATACAAAGGCAGGTGCCATCGTCTCAGAGGACTTGTCGGCTGCAGATATCATTCTTGGTATCAAAGAAGTGCCTCCATCCAAATTGATGCCGGACAAAACGTATGTCTTCTTCTCACATACGCACAAGGGTGCTCCAAAGAATATGCCGATGCTTAAAGATATTCTAGACAAAGTAATAAATATAAAATCTGAATACGAGGAATCATGATAAATGAAAAGATAGCTAAAAAGTGTCAATATTACTGCTACATATCTATCAATAGAGAATTCGCCTTATCGATTATGAGTTGATGAAGGATCCCGCTACTCATACGCGCTTGGTGGCGTTTGGCAAATTCGCAGGAAATTCCGGTATGGTTGATGGGCTGCACGGCATGGCTCACCGGTTCCTAGGACTTGGTTATAACACGCCGTTCATGGTAAAGGATATTTCAGATTTACTCGAAAAATCGGTAAAAAGAGAGACTCATACTGTGATTGTTATATTCGTTGCTTATCTATGCTAGTACCTCTCCATGGCCCACACGTATCGAGGTCTCCCATCAGCGAAGCTGGCTACACGTAACATGGGTAACATTATCGAGAACGAAGGAACGCCTAAAGACTTTGGCCCGTTAGTTTTCGCATTCACAGGCTCAGGAAACGTGACCCAGGTATCTAGGCGAAATATAATACTAGAAAAATCTGAAACGAACAACTTTGTTATCGGATATACTGATTCAAGCATTCAATCAATATACACTTCAGGGCGCGTTGGAAATCTTCAAAGAGCTACCCCATGAATTTGTACCTGCAGCAGATTTGGCAAAGCTAGTCAACGATAAGAGTAAGTAGTGAGAATGAATTCACACAACCTTGTAAAAATTCACACGAGATTTCACACGAATTTTCTGAAATTCGTTACCATACTTATTTTCTCTCTGATAGATCCAAGATTAAACAAGGTTTATGGCACACACCTTAAAGTCGGGGACTATACACAACGAAAAAGAGATGGGGTTTTCTCGTATCAAGAGTATCTAGAGCACCCGGAACGATACCATTCGGCCTTTGCTGATAATGTAAGTGGCGGTTTACACTAAACAGTACTGTATATAATCTCTTCTATATATCAAGAAATACCTGGTCTAATCGTGCGTATGTGTATATAACCCATAGATTGCTCCTTATGTAAACTCGGTCATCACCGGTGCTTACTGGGATGAGCGATATCCACGAATGATGACTAATGCACAGCTTCGAGAACTCCAGCTGAGGCAAAAGCAAGGTCTTGTCAACAAAGGACGCATGATGAGTTTGATCGATATCGTTTGTGACACAAGGGTAAAAAGTCAAAGTTCGTGTATGATTAGATCTGTGTTTGCATGTGTGTAACACGGATATGTTCGTGTATGATATCTACAGGGAGCATTTGAATGCTTATCGCACTCGACCAATATTGAAGATGGCTTTTACTACTATGATGCCATCAATGGCGCTGAGCATAAAGAGTACGTATGCTGGTCTTATCGGAGATTGAGATCTGTTTATGCATGAAAGAAATTAGCACGAGACTAACAATGGGGTGTATATACTACACTCATTCGTACGCTGCCCTAATTTTTATGCAGTGTGGAAAAGGACGGAATACAAATTATGGGGATTGATATTCTACCTGCGGAATTGGCCAGCGATAGTAGCAAGCACTTCAGTAGCGTCTTGTATCCTCATATCAAGGACTTGGTAATACGAGTATACTTTCAACTGTCTGTGCAATTATGTTCACTAATGTACACAACGTATATGATACCATGTATAGATTCATCCAAAAGCAGAGTCTCTGATAAACTTGCCACCCATGCTCGCACACGCTACCATTGCTGATAACGGGCAACTCGTCGGAGCCCATTCATCCCTCGAATCCTTGCTCCCACAGACAAATTCAGGTCATGGAGGCAGCAGTAGCAAGCGCACTGTGCTGCTGCTAGGCTCAGGAATGGTCGCTGGTCCACTTGTGCAGCGTCTAACTCAGCGATCGGACGTACGAGTTGTTGTCGGTAAGTTCTTTTGCTCCTTGTTTCTAGAGAACAGTGCTACCATGGCCACAGTAACGCATGAAAAAAAGTGAGAATGAGTCATTATTATAAAATATGTCGTGGTACTCATGATGATGATTTGGATATAATAGCAAGTAATGCAACCTCTGAAGCACAAGCACTAGTTGCAAATTGCAGCAATCCGAATCAAGCAGAATCTGTTCCGTTGGACATTGCAGATAAGCCTGGCCTTGCCCGACTTGTTTCTAATGCTGATGTTGTCGTGAGGTAAACAAAAAAAGAAGAACTTGATTTGAAGATTATGCAAGGGTTCCGCATCTTTTATCGATAACCGTACTAATCTTGACAAAAAGTTTGGTGCCTGCATTCTTGCATGCTCAAGTCGCACAAGTATGCATTGATCAAGGAAAGCATATGGTCACTGCAAGCTATGTCTCCGAGGAAATGGAAAGATTGGATGGGGCGTAAGTATCCGGGCGTCGTTGTGACTGGGCTAAGCATTGGAAACTGGCAATGATAACTTAAAACTCGTTTATTAGTGCTAAAAAAGCGGGCGTATTGATTATGAATGAAGTTGGTTTGGATCCAGGAATTGACCACATGTCAGCGATGAAGATAATCGACGAGGCCAAATCGAGTGGGAAAAAGGTTATTGTTTGCCCAAAGTTGCTCAAAATGACAAGAAGAAAAGAATGTGACCTCATACATTTTTCTTTTGGAAGTCTCACAATATTCTACATGTGGATTAGGTCCGATCTTTTATTTCATGGTGCGGCGGACTGCCGGCTCCGGAGGCGTCAAATGTACCGTTGGGATACAAGTTTAGCTGGTCGCCCAGAGGTGTGCTGACAGCAAGTGGTAACGATGCTACGTATTGGTCAGGTGGAAAGGTAATAATGGAACGTTACCTGGGTAGCTAACTTTGTATGCTTTGCGATGACAACAACACTCGCATCGGTTAGCAAAATTAAAATGGCTTAATAATTACCTTCCTATAGAAACGCACTGTCTCAGGAGATGTTCTACTAAAGCATCATTTCCCCACGATCCGCACACCGTTCCAAGGCTTTGTATTCGAAGGTTTAGCCAATCGAGATTCGCTCAAGTATACAGACATTTATTGTCTTGGTAATCTGAGTGAAATGGATACCATGTTCCGCGGTACACTTCGATACCAGGTACTGCTTTGTTTCATGACTCTCTTCTATTTCCGGGAAAAGATCATTGTTATTATACTCTAAGACCCGCTCATTGACGATCAATGATTTGTAATTTAGGGCTACTCTGATTTGCTATATGGACTAAGAAAGCTGGGTTTTTTAAATCTCGCTGATACATTGCCAGATAGCTTTGCAAACTGGGTAAGGGATTACATATCTGAATTTGGACGTTTGTTTTCTAACGTTTGCTTTTCTCCGTTTAAAGCATCAATATGTCAATCATGTAATTACCGGAAGTATTTCTGGTGAATGGAAGACTGCCATTCATGCAAAGCTTGAAAGCGAGACAATGGTGCCTCAAGTAGCCGACGCATTGCAGTATCTTTTGGGGGCTGGCGAAGAACGTGGCGTTCCACCCCGCCAATTGCCCAGTGCATTAGACGCTTTTTCGACGTTACTTGCTGGTCGTTTGCGTTATTTGCCTGGAGAGCGAGACATGGTTGCCATGCATCATGAGTTCGGTATTGAAGACCAGCGTACAGGCAAAAAGGTAATTATAGTTTATTATTGATGAGTTCTAACGAGTGGCCCCTCCTCGATGATGATGATCATTTCTTTGTACTGTATATCATATGTGTAATTATATGGAAAACTACTCCTTGTTCTCATTTCTCACCATTTCTTCCTTTTTGCCGCCGCATAACCCCACCGCATAATCTCCATATATAGGAAAAAGCAACATCAACTTTGATCCATTATGGCAGTAGCGGTAGTGACGGTGACACAGCCATGGCAACCACGGTTGGTTTACCTGCTGCAATGGCTACAGAGCTTGTTCTAGACAACAAGATTCAGCAAAGGGGCATTCTGCGGCCTACTACACCAGATGTCTATCTGCCAATTCTTGAGCAGCTGCATGATCAAGGCATTAAGTTTGTCGAACGCAGTCAAGAAGTACTTCAACTAGAAGGATCACAAAAACGTGCATTGATTCCCACAGGAAGCGGTGTTTGGGACGCATAGAGCGTGTACTATCTCTGATGTTTTCTGTCACAATTTATCAACGAATTATATACGTATTGCAGAAGTAGATTTCTTTTATGATGATAAATAGAGCATGTCATCATTGATCGCAGTATATAGCTAGATACACTCCTTTTTCTTCTGTATCTGTGATGGACGTTTTTGTCAAAATTGAAAAAGACAATACATATCAGCTTGTTCATAGTACTGCATTGATGTCAGTTCTAACGACGGTGTTAGCGATAAATAGCAGCGATATTGGCTGCGACAGCAGACACTGCAACAGCATAACTGTTATGTAAACAGTATATTAGAAAAAATAAAGAGACGCTACTTTATGATTGTTTCACTATCTGCAGCCGTTTCTTTGTTTACATTGTTGCTTTTCTTTTCGTAAAGAGTTGCCGCGCCCACCAAAAACAATGAATCTTGATTCCTTAAAATCGCTACAACGACATTAAATAGCAATGACAGACACATACAGCAACACGAGCATGTTCATCCCACTATTGTCACTGCTTTACGCTGCTCTTATTCTCGTTGGTCTCAGTAGCCTTGTCGTTGTTGAAGCTATGATGACCCCAGAAGATAGCGTGTCAAGCCAATGGACCGACTACCCATTCTTTGTGGTCTTTCTCAGCCCGATGCTATGTGGCGGCGTCTTATTATCCACCAACCCTGCATGGGTACTTACAGCTGGTCACTGCGTAAAGGGCACATCATCAAAAGACACCGCTGCTGTTCAAGTTAAGGTTCTCGATTCCGCCTCTACATCATCATCGTCATGGAAGGAACAAGGACAAACAAGAGAAATAATTCGCCTTATTAAGCATCCATCTAAAGACATTGCGGTCGCTCAACTGACAAGTTCGCCACCTATACGATACGCCTCTCCAATACCAATCTATTCATTATTATCATCACAAGTGAATCAAGAAGAGACCAGCAGCAATGATGACGGTGACACCATCGTCATTGGGAAAAACGGTATCTTCGTAGGCGTCGGCTATCAAAGCATTGAATTACCGGCAGGACAAGACGCACCTAGATCTGCAAAGACATTGCAACAAACCAATTGTACAATATCAAGTACAGGGACCTCCTCGCCGTCATCGTCAACATCAACAGCAACAGCACAGCCTAATTCAATTTTTGCAACGTCATATGCACGCTTATGTCATGGTGACTCTGGTAAGTTTTTGAACAAAGAATAAAACTCTTTCGAAATGCATAATTTGAACAGTTAAAGCTTACGTAGAAAAGCACCGTACGTACGTATAAATGTGCCATTGATGTAACTCTCCCATATATTAGGTGGACCACTTTTAATCCAAAGACCATCCGCACGAGCCAATCAACAGAAACAACTTACAGAAGGAGAATCAAACGAAAGGCGACTGGTGCTTCTTGGAGTGCTCAGTCGAATCTACAACGTCAATGACCTTGATCCAGAAAAGCCGACATGTCCAGTGCAAAACGATCGAGAAGTAGATGTCTATAATGCGTTTGTTTATGCTGGTGCACATTTGGATTGGATATCAGAGTCTACAGGACTATCCCAAGACAGTTTGCTCAATGGACAAGATCATACGATGCCTTTGCTTTCCAGTGGCGGTGCCGGTGGATATAGTGTAATTCTCACCAGAAGATCTGGCCCGAATGGTTCCACTAGCTTACTTTTATTGTCAATCATGACGATGCTAACGTTTCTGTTATCTCTAATATGATGATGATAATAAATTAAACTTTTTAAAGCAATGAAACGCTCGAGCCATTCTTTGGTGTTGTACACATGAATCGGTAACTAAAGAATATCAATTGTTCGAACCTTGTAATTGCATTATGCAGCTATAATCTAGGGCTGATATTCCGTAACTTTACTTTGAATCGCTAATTATCTTTTTTTATTTTCTATTATCCAATTATTCACTGAGCCGCGAAGGTAAGAAATAAAAACAAATTAGGGGCGATGTTTGGAACGCTGTACGAGTATAGGTTAGTTCCCTTATACTGACAAGCCTGAAAAAGAAACACTAGATGCAACACATGCACAACACAAAGATAACCACCATCTGTAATCGCTTTCGCTTTCACTTTCACTTTGTGTGTGCGTGTGTGTTTCTTCTATCTCTGCTCACACAAATTACACAGATATCATGATGACATCTGTATACGGATTTAAGCTATGGTCATCCACCCACCAGCAGGGTCCCATCAAAAGGCCCTGGGTCCAGCCTTCTTGTCTTGTCTTGTCTTGGGGGAGGGTGTGTGTGTGTGTGTGTGTGTGCTTGTAGTGAATGGGGGGCTACACTTGCAAAATGCGGGATGAAAACAGCAACAGCAACAGCACCGTTATAAGAGAACAAACCTCCTTAAACTTTTTTTTTGCCAGGAAGGATAGATGCATTCCGTCCGTCATCTGTGCATCTTGTTATATCCTACCGTCCTTCTTTTTATGGGGCCTCCCCGCGCGGCATGGTGATTGGATGGTGTACGGCTCTATTCTTGGGGGATAAGGGATGTCGTTGGGGTATTTGTTAATCCGTTCTCTTACACACACTATCTCTCTCTCTCATACAAAGCACTGAAACAGATAGTAGCCCGTTTCTATTAGTGAACACAGAGTGGACCAGCATATGTATTAGAAAATGCTTGGCTGTTGCAAAACGTGACACTATGCGCTGGACATGTGTGTGCTGGTACAGACACATCATCGCAATAGCCATATGGAGCTATCATGATATCATGGTCCAAGCTTGTGTGGCATAAACTATTTTTTTCCCGCGGTGTTGAGTGTGAAGACACGGATTTACCATCACTTTTCTGGCTTATGAACCCACGCTCTGATACAATGCCTTGTTCTTTACGCTACTACGTAGCTCCTTCTCCTTTTATAAGTAGTATAGCAGATAATTTGCAGATAGTGCTGCGTGCTGGTGGTATAGTAAAAAGTTATACGGTGCACCATGTGAATAAAAGTAGCCTGGGAACTTAAATGCACTCATAGTGTAATGATATCCCCACCCCCTTGAACTCCGTATGTACGTTCTGCTCCAATATATACGACGATATACCCAGGAAACAAGAGATCTCTACTAATATACATGCGCTCTCTGTACCTTTTCTCTCTTACTAAATTACATGCAGCATAGAATATGAAGATGCTGATGAACTGAAGATATGCATACGTGTATACTCATAGTCGTGGGGCAGAAAGACGGGAAATGTACAGGGTACGAGATAAGTAAGCCTTATCTCCCATAAACAAAAGAGCACACACCACATAGACCATCATCGTCATTGTTGCTCATGACCGCCACCCCCCACACAGCAATACACGCTGGCACAACAAACAAAGACATAATGCCGACAATGCTCTACTAATATCCTTTGGCCTTTTCAAATGATATAAACAAAACGGCTACTTTTGAGTGAGATCGTCGCTCAGCAGGACGCACATTTTGTTCTCGTGGGTTGTGGTAACACCATATTAAGCATATGAAGTCAGATTTCGTGTTCTATGAACTATAATGCACAGAAACCCTCTTTCGTCTTTTGCTTACCGCAACCAGATATACACAGTGTCGAGTCGACGACGACACCAAGAACAATAACAAAAAGAAGTCATGATTCTTGAGACAGGGGCAGGTACCATTTAAAAGAAGTTGATCACAAGGTGCTGGTGACGATAGATGCTGGCGGTGCGGCAAAGAAAAAGAAAATTATCTTGGTAGTTTGGTGTAGTATGGGATGGGATGGGATGGGATTCGTTTTATGACCAAGTGCAAGCTCAAACATATTCGTAGTATATTCTAGAGTGAGAGGTATACATCTTCCGACCTCCGGAAGAAGTGCTCCAGCATTTCTATTAGCAGAATCAGCAGCCTTCGTACGCCACTGCCATGCAGCAACGGTATCTGGCTATTATTAGGGTGCTACGGTCAAAGCATGTCTGTGGTGTAAACAATGAGACCTTGTAACATATATTTGCCTTAGGCAAACAAAAACATATCTGCATCGAACGCACACAACATTTGCCAAGGTCGGGTTTGCAATGAAAAACAGCAAAGAAAAGGCTGGGGGGGGGGAAAGGGAAGGAGAGAGGGGAGGTGTTGAGAGGTTTGATGTACTACCACCTCTTTATGGCAATCCTGTCCCTGTGACCAGAGAAAGTTGGTATTTAGAGCGGACCTCTTTTGCTCTTGCAAAGAGAACATACCCCCTTGAATTTCCTGATAACCCCCCCCCCTCCCCTCCCCCCCCAACCAACCAATCCTTCAAGCCCCTATCATACAAATGTGCTCGCTATCGCTGGCTGCCATATTCGGAAGAATCAATTTCAAATATAAAAAGGCCATCTCCCCCCTCCTTCGTCCTTTCTCTTTCCATTTCCAATCTTTCATTACATTTTCATATGCCGCGCCGAGACACTTTTACTACTGTTACCTTTACTGCTACGGCCACTCCTCCTGCCGCAAAGGCAGCTAGCCGAGACGTGTTCCAAACCCGTGCAAAGCTCATTGCTTCTCATTCTCCGAAGCCCTATGGTGCGATCCCGAAGCGCCGGAAGCACAAACCTCAGAAAAAGGCAAGTTATCCTGTATCAAAACAAGCTTTGCTTTCTCTTCCTCCTAGTGCTTATTGTGTAGTGTGAGTGTGTGGCAAGAAATGTGCGGTTGTGCCGAGCCACGTTGGGTACATGTCATTGATGAGAGGTCAGGGGAAAGGAAAGTCTATTCGTTCGTCAATGATGTAATGTCACTGCCACATACTATCACTACTACGGGGCACTACAACAAAAGTTTGTGCGGGACTGCATAATAAAATATCGACTTGAAAGCCTTACACGTACCTTTGAATGTATCTTTCTTTTGGATTATAATAGCAGAAGCAGCAGCCACAGCAGCAAAGCCATGCTCCCTATCCATACTACTTATTTGATGATAATAACCTGAATTCAGCGTCTCTCCTGGCATCACTTCTCCAACGACTCTTCTCCTCCAGATCAACGACAGCACTAGACGTCGCCGCTCCATCCCCTGTTGGCTTCATGCCACGCAGTAGTCCTGATGTTGCCACTTCAGCACTTGACGTAATTGCTCCCTCCAGCCTCCCAATCACCATCCACAATAGTACCAATAGCAGCATCTCCTCCTCTACCTCCGATGAAGACAGTTGTAGCTGTCTAAGCAGTAGCACATCCTCTAGTGGCAGTCTGTTAAGCAGCAGCGCTGAGAGTTATTGTAGCAGCTGTAGCAGTATTAGTACCACCCTCTTTGATGACGAACGACTCGTTTTTCCTCCTTCCGACTGCAGCAGCACAGCTGCATTATCGGACTTGCTTTGCGACCATTATGTTCAGTCGACTCAGGCAGCAGCAGCAGCCGCCGCCGCCGCTGCAGCAGCAGGTGACGGCACTGTCACTTCCACCAACTGCAACAGCAATAACAACAGCTCCGGTGTAACCAGTACAACATCCTCCTCCTCCTCCAGAGATTTGCAAGACGACCCCTATGACGATTCTGTAAAAGACGTACCACTGGAGACATTCCGCATGTTTGAAGCACCTTCCCCGGATGACGATGAACGGTGGGTCATTTGGCAGAGTCCTAAACACTGGACACCTGTGGATGATGACGACGACGACGACAACAATAACAATAATATTAGCACCGACAGCACCGACAATGCCGATGTAACGCATAGCAGCCTTGTTGATGATAACAATCATCACAACAACGATATCGTCACCAAGAAACTACCATCCACAGTAACGACCAAAAAGCCCAAAAGACAAAAGGGAGGACGAAAGACAACAATGCCTAATCCTAAGGAGTGTCGGCGAGTCCGAGACCTTCGCATCAACTGTGCACATCTACGCATGATCGTTGCCGAGGCAAACATGATGCGGGCCCAGAAAATTGTAGGGCCATTAAGGCCACGAGGTTATCTACCCAAGCGGCTGGATGCATTTGCATTGAATCGTCCGAGCTACTTACAATACCCAGTGCAATAAAAGAAATAACCGATAGTCATCTATACGTACTACTATACCATACGTTTTTTTACATCTTCTACATACATAAAAGTAACCTTTCATTATTTATCTATACACCTTATTGGTCTTTTAATATAGTAATCCATGCAGATGTTCATGGAGAGACTTCTTTTGTTACGAAAATGTACAAGCGTTGATGGAGACAACGAGGATTTTGGGTGTGTGAGTGTTGAGTTGTATTTGCGTGTGACAGAGGGAGAAAAAGGGGGAGTATGTGCTAGTATATGGAGTAAAAAAAGCGGGGATAACGTGGTTGACTCGGATTCGAAGAGAAGTATTTCGTCTAGAAGCCGGGAGGAGCAAGCTGCTGGGGTTGACCAGGTTGCTGCTGCTGTTGTGGCTGACCGGGCTGCTGACCGACCAACATCTATTATCATTCACGCATCATTTGGAAAAAATTATACCTTGTTAACACCCAATATTACCATAGCTACCGTTTCCATTGCCACCACCAACGTTGATACGTTACCTGTTGAGCACCCTGCTGCTGCATGGCTTCCTTTTCATAAGCCACCAAGGCCTGTTCCTTTTCGATTTCCAAAGCAAGCGGCAATACCAAAAGTAACATGGACGTGGTAATGACCCAAGCGCTCTTGCCTACAAAGGTGACGCCGGTCTTACCCCATGAAGTCAACGTCGACGCGCTCGATGAGAATCTGTTGCGGTGCTTGAGCGGGATAATCTCTTTAAGGGCTGCAATGCGATCCAAGATGGATTCGTCTTCGTCATCGTCAAAGTCATCGTCGGAAAAGTCAGAGTAGTTGTCGTCACCGTCGTCGCTCAAAGCTTGCTGATCGACATTGTCGAATTGTTCGGGGGAGACTTCCTCAAGTTTGACCATGGTTTTGGCGTTTTATATATAATGTGCGCGTTGTATGTGCAGTTGAAGAAAAAAGAGTTTTATTTTTTTTTTCATGGTGTTAGTTCCACCCAGGTTTCCCGCAAAGACAGCTCCGCTTGTGACGGCCATTGCTGGGCTGGCTGGCTGGTTGCCATGGTGATTTTCCATGATATATGCCCTTCGTCAACGTGGAATCAACTGAAACTCGGCACCAAGTTCCGATAAACATTGGGCATAATTCATCAGGTTGCTAGGCAACCATCAATAGCAGCCGTGTGTATGTTATCACAAGTATATAGGCAACGATGAAGGTTCATTCTTAGGTTAGTACGTGAGTATACTACTAGTAGTATGGAGTTTTTCTGTAATAGAAACTTTATATTTTTGCACCATGGTTGAAAATGACGGCATGCACTTTTTTTCTTTTTTGTGCGACAGCTGCCGAATAAGGCCAAGAAAAAAAACTGGTCAACACTGACTCATAGCGAAAAAATCCTGTGGGCGATCTCCGCCCACTTACATAAAACTGATAAAACTCGGATCCATCTTTTTTTTTTCTTTTTTAACTTTTAAATAACCCCAACTCACCAACTCTTCCATACATACTACACAGTCATGGGCTCCATTACAGCACTCAATGAACTCGACGACAAGAGAATCAAGGTCATTAAGCCCTTGATCCCTCCCCAGATTCTGATGGAGGACATTCCTCTGACCTTGAAGGCCGCTCAGACTATTGTTGGAGGCAGACGCGAAGCCGAGAATGTGATCAAGGGCTCGGACGACCGTCTTTTGGTTGTTGTTGGTCCTTGCTCGATCCATGATGTCAAAGCTGCTAAAGAATATGGTAAGTTCTATTCAAATTATGAACAGTATGATAAAGAGACAGAGGACAAGATGGAGGTGGGCCCCCTCTTTATTTTCAAAATACTGACGTGACTATTTGACGTTGTATAACAGCTACGCGTTTGATTGAATATAACGAGACCGCCAAGGAAGACCTGGTGATTATCATGCGAGTCTACTTTGAGAAGCCACGTACTACCGTTGGCTGGAAGGGTCTGATCAACGATCCTCAATTGAACAACAGGTATGGAGTTTAGAAAAGGAAAAAGTGGAGTAGATGTGATTTTCCCCCATATATGGTGTTTTTCAGTTGACAGTTTTTTCTTTTGTTAATTTTTAGCTATGAGATCAACAAGGGTCTCCGCATTGCACGTCAATTGTTGTTAGATTTGGTAACGTGAACAAAACATTTGTGTGCGTATCACCTGAGAGTTCCACTTGTAACTGACAATGTGTTTATTTTCGATATTGTTGTTAGAACGAAGCCGGTATTCCCACTGGTTGCGAATTCTTGGATACCGTAAGTAGTAGTTATGTGCACCTTGCTAGTGTGCGATTGTATGCTGAATATATTTTAATTGATATAGATCTCTCCTCAATACACTGGTGATCTTGTCTCGTGGGGTGCTATTGGTGCCCGTACCACCGAATCCCAAGTTCACCGTGAACTTGCTTCTGGCTTGTCATGCCCTGTTGGCTTCAAGAACGGTACTGATGGTGGCATTACTGTCGCCATGGATGCTATTAAGGCTGCGTCAAACGGCCATCATTTCTTGTCTGTTACTAAGCAGGGTCTGTCGGCAATCGGTAAGTCCCACTCTACAGTCAAGTGCTTTCGACATAGCATCAACTTGGAAGCTCACATCCTGCTGAATTTTTATATTTCTCCAGTCTCCACTCATGGCAATGACTCCTGCCACGTCATCCTTCGAGGTGGTAAGGGTGGCCCTAACTACGATGCCGAATCTGTCAAGAAATGTATCGATGCTTTGGAGAAGGCCAAGGCTCCCAAGTCTATTATGATTGATTGTAGCCACGGTAACAGCAGCAAGGACCATAATCGTCAACCCATTGTTGCCCAAGATATCGTAAGTTTTCTCTCTTTCTGGCAGTAGAAGGGTTAGATTTGATGTTTTAGAACTGTGTATTTGAGAGACTGATAGGAAGACGTGTACGTGTTTGCTTGGGATTATGCTTCATACGGAATTGATCAGTGCATTAATGTAGTCTATTACTTTACATTCAGGCTAAGCAATTGGCTGATCCAAAGAACACCGGTGACAGCATCACGGGTGTCATGATCGAGTCGCATCTGGTGGAAGGCCGACAGGATATTCCCAGCGAAGGTGCTGACCGTTTGACTTACGGCCAGTCGATCACCGACGCATGCATCAACTGGGAAGATACCGTCAAAACCTTGGAAGTCCTGAGAGAAGGTGTTCGTGCTAGACGTGCTGCTCGACGTGCTTAAAAAGAAACCCTAAAGGAGCTTGCGCTGCACACGCTCGTTATTTCCTATATCTTTTCTCTCTTTCCCTCTTTTGCGTGTTGTATAGATCTTTCCTACAAACCCCATCTTCGTCATTTGAAGAAAAGTAGCATTTATAATTTTCTCTATTGTACAGTGTTTTTTTTGCGTTCACAAATATTAAAAAAATTGAGAGGCACATTTATCCTCTTTTTTTTTTGTAACCCATAATGATTTTGTTTAGCTATTATAAGAAGTTCTCGTGTCCAATTACTGATACCAAAAAGCTCTGTAATACAAGCAAAAACAGTTCACACGTGAAAAGCTATTAGCATCATATATGACATTTTGTGTGTGTTAATTTGTTGCTTATGATGTTTATCTATGGGAAACGGAAAAATGAAGATAGTGTTTTATTTGGTAAAGACAAATTTACATCGGCAGATGATACTTCATTACTGAAGAGAGATTATTACATGCTAGACATAGTGTTGAAGGAGGTCAATTACTGGGCCACGGCTATTGCCTGAACTACTTTGAGCAAGCTGAGATTTACCCGTAAGAAACTTTTGAGCAGCGATATTGATCTATTGAAATTTCGTCAAAAAGCTTCTTTGTGTTCTTGTGATACGGCATACAATGCCTCCGACCGAGATAGTCCATTATCGTCCAAGAACAAGAGGATCCTAAAGAGAGCAGTATGAGTTATATCATGCCTGTTATATTCAATAATAAGATTCACCCTTCGTTATAAATCTAAATGCTCGCAGTTCGCGCCGCTTGTCTGAATATTTCTTCGCAAGTTGTACGAACATGTCACTTAGTGCCTTGGTTTTCAAGCATCTCCTTCGTGCCGTGCTCTCCTTCGTCCGTTTTCCCTGCCTCTCCGCGGCCGAGCTTTGAGCCGTTGTAAACAGTATGTATATCGTGTCTTAAGGAAAAGTATAATCCATCGAATAACTCTTCTCGGTTGATGCGTCCTTTGTAATTACAGCGGTATTACCCGTTATCCTTCTTTTTGATAGAATATAGAGTTGGATATACACAATAATAAGATATTATTAGAGGAAATCACAGAAATGTACAGTAAAAGGGAAAAGATATATTCTTTCGTAAACATGCTCTTTTATTGAACAAATGCTGTATCTTTTACTAGCGCTTGGGGTCGTCGGCCAACCTGTGTATCGTACAGCATTATTACTGTACGAATGTATAGCGGGAAGTGACGGTACAGCATTTACAATAGCATTCATACATGCCCATAAGTGCCGGTCCATTTAGTCTTCCATAATAACACATAATTTTTAACCTAATAGCGCTCATATTTTTCAGAAGACTTCACCTGATGAATGTTAGTAAAAAGGAATGATGTTTTTCACTGACTCCCTTCTTTGAACAATGACGGGTTAGCTTAGTAAGCGTTCTATAATGCAGTTCCGATCTTGTCGACGGGGTTTTGTCGCGATATCCGAGTACACGTCGTATGATTGTCAGTACAATATCTCTCAAAGATAATGCTGTGCTGTACATCGTATTACATACTTCATTTCTCCTTTGTAAGTACTGACGTCACTTATCATACTATGTGGTTTATAAAAGCAAGCAAATGCATTCTACTTGTGATACTTTTTCCTTGTTGTTTGACAGGTATCTACATTGATGATATTGTAAAAGGATACATAACATTTGTCGATGATTATGTTCCAAAGATGTAGGTCATAGGTTTTGGCCTGCTTGTTCATTGTTTACAGTGGATATCGGTATAGTGCTGCATACGTATTGCTCTTTCTCGCCTGGAAGCATTGAGGCCAACCATCATAATATTTGGCTAGCAGCAAATATATTCTAACTGTGATCATTTTTCTTGTCTTCAGAAAAGCCTGTATCTGTCGACGAGATAGAGAAAATTGACACTTCTCTATCAAGATGCAGACGTATGACAGCACGGATTCTTATGTTCTGAGACCTCATTGTAAAGTGCCCTTTTTTTTGTCCTCAGTAAAATAATAGCGAGGTATAAGAATTTTCAAATTGGGCAACAGAGTTGATCAAGATAATAAAGCTTCGTTGGAAGCTGAAGACAGCAAAATTTATTATCAAATTTGACTGGTAGCAACTATACTGATCAAGCTATGCACGGATGATGTGAGCGGTTTAGGTCTACAAACACTCAGGCATCACGTTCTTGCAATATACTGTGTGTCCTTAATATAAAAGATTTACTCTCTAGTTATTCATCAAGAAAATGCAATTAAAAACAGATCACCGTACTGTCGGCATGTTATTGCTTGCTGCAATTGATTCCAAATTGTAGCGCAGATAGGATGTTCCAGCAAGCTGTATACTCCAAAAGTCCTCTCTTTTATTCCTGTCGCATTATCATTACGATCACCAGCGCCACGTTTTTTCTGGCCTTTTTTTTCTCCGCACATTTCGCTCTTATTGACTAAAATGCAGGTGTTGACGGGTTGGATACTATAGAAAATGCATATTAATACGGCACGACTTTACCGAGATTAGAAGGTGGTGCCAAATGAAAAGAAGAGACCTTTAGTATTTCATAATGGTATTTTAAAAAGCGAGACAGAGGAATAATGAGCCCTCTGACTTGTTGCTACTGCTATGTGGTTCTACTCGCTACATCCTATAGGAAAGTTACAGAGAGCCCGACTAGTGATAGTCATATAAAATCTTCGTAAACTTGTATCATGACCAGATACGACAAGGTGAAGAAGCCCCTTTGCTCCCAATTTGATTTACCGCGAACCACTTCCTGCCAAAAAAGACGAAAAGATGCAAATATAGAAGTTAGCAACGCTGTGCGCTTATTACTAAAGCAAATACACACAGTGATCGAGAGTTGTGCTCGTCAGGAACTCTCGCCGTCTCATCAGCGTTATGTACGGTGATGATCATTCAGTCAAAAGAAATGGTGTTACAGACACTAAATAGAGTAGTCAACATGCCAAGTCTCTAAAAATTGTCTTTTGCTCAAATTTGTCCATACCGAATTGAAAAGAAGCCAAAGAAAAATAATGGCTGAAAGAGAATTTAATCCAATATAACCACGGAAGGCAGATAAAAAGTAATAGGGAGGTGAAGAACAGCAGCAGTTATACAGCAAGCAAGAGGAAAAGAGTATTCATTGCTTCTTCAAGGTAGTGAGAGACCGTAGTGTGGTTGCACTGAACGAAATTTTACTCGAGGGAAACAATTCCAACAGCACTTGCTCAAACATAGTGGTGATTGTGTTCTAAGGAGGCTTCGAGTATCCATATGGCTTCTGGATGGATGGTAGTGATCAAAATAATTCTGTTTGTGTGATCCCAAATATGCCGATCCGTCCTGTGGCCATGGGGCATGGACCTATCACTTTACAATCTGTAGGCCCCATAAAAGGAAACGAGATGAATCTCGAGCTGCTGTGTCACGTTTCGCTATTGAAAAATAACCCAGCGGGTCAACAAAAACCAAAAGAAAACAGGCCCGAACACTCTTTTTGGCCACTGATGGATGGAAGATCGCGCTTCCGAGAATACAGAACAAAAACCTTGTTATCCACTGTTGTTGGCCCTAAATGACTACGTATGTGCCAAGGTACTAGTAAGCTTTCAGGAGAGATATTGCTGCTGAATACGGGAGAAAGAAGAATGAGAACAAGATGTACGCACATATCGCAAAAAGTAAGATGTGTAATCATGGCTACTATTAGCGAGGTCATAGTATATGCCGATCATTGACGTTTTAGGCCGTTGTGTGCCAGAGGATGGAAAGACAGTCAGCCACCCACGTAGTTCAGGTCGGCTAACCAGGAGAGAGAGAGAAGGAGGGGGGGACTAGGAACAGGTTTTCTGAATATGGTTCAACAAGGATGATGGTTGGTACCTTGTGTAATCGTACAAAGCCCCACCACACCATGCAATTAAAGACTGAACACAAAGAAAAAGAGACTTCCCTTTTTTTTTCTTGGTCGTTGCCTATAACTCGCTCTACCACGCACACGCCCTTTTCTTTTTCTTCTTTCTCTTTCTCTTTTCGCTTTCTGTCTGTTCGTTGTGTCTTTGATCTTTTCCACTTCTTTACTTGCTATTTTCTGAAGCGCGGGTCAACCTTCCCACAAGTTCCAATCTTTCTTTAACCACTCCAACTGCACAACAAAAAAGCATACCAACGACCGTAACAATAGCATCAACGAGACGGCAACAACAGACGGATAAGAAAAAAGGCGTCATCGACTTTCAATAGCAGCAATGGACAACCACTATTTCGAGCCATCCACACAGCCCGATGGTGGTGAGCTGGCGTCGAAAATCGTTTCGCTTCTTTCCGTCGGCGCCATGTCAATGTTATTCGGCATCAAAACGTTCAATGTGCAGTTCAAATACCTCACCTATTCGCGCTGGCTCGTCTTAATTCTTTACATCATTTCATGGGGATTCACCTGTGCTGGCATGCTTTTTGTCACTACCAACAATGGTAAATGCTCTACTGCTTTGGGCCAAAAGGGGATGGAAGCCTGCGAATGCGCACGGAAGAGTAGGGGCAGGGTGGCGGCAGGGAGCTACTCCGAGCATGGAAATGAAGGAGCTGCATGCTGCATATTTCTTAATTTTGTTTCATCTTTTGACACATACCATTTCTCTCACGCTATATAGGCAATTACCTTTCTTGCTTCCTCTCCGAAATGGCGTGCGATATTTTCTATTCTGCTACAAAAATCATCATTTATATGTGGCAAGTACAGATAAAGAAAATCAAGCCAACATGTATTAGAAGCTAATCGAGAGCACAACAACATACTACAGGTTGATTGAAAAGGTGTGGGTTGTATCGTCAGTCAGACAATCGCGCTGGAAGACAAAGTCGTACAGAGTCCATATGTTGCTACTGTGTCCATACATCGGCATCGCCGCGCTTTTGATTATCTTCCACATTGCAGAGATTGAAGAAAGTGGCATTTGTATTATTGGTTTGCAGCCACAAGCCAGTATTCCTCTCTTGGTAAGCTTTCTTGTTAGCTTCCTTCAACTCAACAATGACTATTTGCTGATCTAGGTGTCTATTATTGTAGGTGTATGATTTCGTAAGTATAGATCTGCACAACAAATAAATATGCGACGCTAATTCGACATAACACATTACACTATTGCTAGATCTTCAACCTGTATTTCACCGTATTGTTCGTTCGACCTTTGATGAAGATTGGGCGAAGTGTACAAATGGATTGGAAAAGCTCACGATTACACGAAGTCGCCTTACGTACACTTGCTGCTTCCACCGTGTGTTTACTCATCTCATTTGCCAACATTCTGACATTGGTCGTCATGAATGGTCGCGAACGTGGTGTGTTATGTTTGACATGTTGTACTGTCGATGTCACAATCAACGTCATCACCATCCACTGGGTGACAACCAACCCCACTGGTAAAACGAACAAAGAGCACAACAACATCAGCAACTCCAATCCAAACGATTCAATGGATCCGGACGATCCCACATCCCGAGGACGCCAGCACATTCACCGTCAACATGACTCACAAGATAAAGACACCACGTTCCGACGAAAAACCGATCTCTACAACCTCGGTATCGATGATTATATTGCAGACACAGCCATCACACCTTCGTATGCAGTTACTTCTGGTGGAGGAACTGTTGGCTATGCTGCAAGCGGTAATCTAGGATCGTCTGGTGTGAATCACAGTAGTAACAATAACAGCAATAGCAACAGTAACAGTTTAATGCAGACAACTACGGGCGCAGTACCGATCGGCATGCATGATCATTACCGCTACATGAACGGCCGATTCGTCATGATCACAGAGAAGGAGGACACTGATGATGATATTGGAGGGGAGAGCAGGCCCTCTTCTATCCAAGAATCTCAAAGCAGTCGTAAATCGCTGACCAAGTTTGGATCATCACCCACATCTTGATAACAACAGCTGCAACGTATATATAATACTACAGCATCATCAACACCATCCGCGTACTCAACCTACCGTTCTCCTACTATCACTCTTTCTATCTCTCACACTTTCCTATACACGCAACAAGTATATCATTCCCTATACATATTATATCATACGTACATACTCTGGTGAAGGGGATGATGAAAGAAGGAACGTGGGAGACGTATACTTCTCTATAAACTTGCGGCCAATCTGCATCATTGCCCTTCTCCTCCTTTTACCCCAACACACACACAAAACCCCTTACCTACCACGACCGTAGTAATATATAGTGTTGTACTACCAAGCAACAAACAAGACAATGATGACGATACGGACAGCAACAGTCAATGTCTTATTGCTTGCACGTTTAACAGATGCGGCTTCCTAGTGATATGTTTATGCCCTTATTTTGCCAGCATTGCTCATTTGTTCGCGACGACAACAACCTCGTTTCTTCCATTACCGCCTCTTACATAATCTTTTTCTCTTCCCATCCCATCATTATGTGTCTTTTCTTTTCTTTGTATATGATACAATTCTTATTCAAAATTGCTGTTACTCTTTATTTCACTTGTTAAAGAAAAGTAGAAGCACTACAGTTGCACGGTTTTTGCAACCCCTGGGTTTGCAATTCCTCGTATATCTGCAAAAAAAACTTAGTAGTTTCGCAAATTTGCAACTTGCAAATGAGTTTATACGATTTGCACGTTATCGGGGTAAAAAACAGCTTCAATTTTTTCAATATCAACTGAAAGAAGCATCTGTTGCGTATTATCGAGGAATAAAATGATACGGTTACTGCACTAGACAGCTTTAATAAAAGAACGGTCTTATATATGCAAGTAGTAACATTTAGAGCTGTGTGAAATCCCCACAGAACGTATCGTACATCATCTCTAACAGATAAACAATGGGCTAGTGTTTATAGGATGACTTATCCAGTGTCTATTTGAAGCAGAATTGTTTACCCCGTTACTTGCAAATCCTCACTTTTTGCAAAAAAAAAAAAAACGGAAAACCCTCGGTTGCAAAAAATCGGGGTACAACTGTATAGCGATAGCTGTATGAAGTGTGTGGTACTAAACTCGTTCTATATTATAGCTGTCATGCAATGGAAAACTTCATGGATAAGGGTGCTTCGTTCATATAGCATCCAATTAGGTGTTCTTCATATACAAATGTGGATCTAGTTTATGTTTGACAAGATCACTGCTAGCAGATCGTTACTTTATATTCACCCAGTCAATCCCCCGTGGTATCAACAAATTAATCAAGCAATCTTTGAGGTAAATAATAAAGTCGTCAGCTTTGATAAAAGGGTATATATCTTTTGTTTAATTGCAATAGATGTGCTTTTGTGCGTCAGCAAAAAAAACAATCCTACGCTATACAAATATAAGGGGGCCTGAGGGGAGAGGAGAAGGAGGAAGGGTGAAAGGGGTTGGATGATAGTGTATACTAAGGAGAAAATAGGACGACAAATCATACGAAACAGTCAATTTTGACTATTATACCGGTACAGGGACGGTGACGTGTGGCGGATAATGCAAAGAGCCAGCATATACGACGATATCGATTGGTCGAAAAACCCGTGATGATAGCGTCCCTTCACCATCACTACTTTCTCTAAGGATCCGCTTACTTTCTTCTGTTTCGCTCAGATCTCGTATCCAGCGAAGACATAAACCGGATTTTGCTTGTAAAGACGTGGATCAACAAGTTGGAACCCGGTATACAACAATGCACGTAACACTATACCTATACGACATCATAGATTAACAAAGTGTCACGTAGTGTGAGAAGTTTAGATACTCTGATACGTTTGATCATCAATGTTCCCCCCTTTGGACTCATCCATGTATAAACATACTTGAGCTTTTGCTATTCTTTTCCACCGCAATAACAAGATATTCACAGTCTAATGTTTCAGTGATTGCGATCAATTCGCTTACGCTGCTTATCGGATATATACAATGGTAATAAAGTGTTAGTAGACTTATGCATTATTTAATATGTTTTCAACCTTTCTTCCCTATCACAGACACGCCAGTAATACAAAACGAGGCGGCTTCCTCCTCCACTTCTTCCGCAAAAGGATTGTAACCTACTATCGAACAAATACAACTAAAAGTCATGTATGTACATATATAGATAGTGGAGGAAAAAAGCTTCCTGCTTCTTGGAAATCCTGTCCTTTTGTAAATGTGTATTCATATATGTATATAATCAACTCACCAAGCATAGAACTCGTTATGGTCCTTATTTTGAACCATCATTGCTGGCAGTGACATGAACACGGTATCCTGATACATAAACGCATGGCAATATACGACGTCAGGCGCGACAGATGAAGCAATGCAGTTGTAGTTGTAGTTGTTGGTACAGGTGTTAGAAGTACCGATGGATATAATGTCTTGGACATGAGGATCGGCTTCCGGTATTAACGAAGCGACAAAGTCGTGCTGACCAGCTAAAAATATCGTGATGTTCGTTGTATTCTATTTTAATGTAAAACATTCACAAAGGAAGAGCGGAATCCATAAATAGAAAGTAACTTGCCTCGTTTATCGACGGATAATACTTGCAGTGGACACCTCTCAAAAGAAGTACTGGTAGTAGCAGTAGTAGAAGAAGAGGAAGCGGGAGAAATATAGGAACTCCTTGTCGTCGTCGTCGTCGTCGTAGGTGACATCAATGTTGAGGAGTATCTACTCCTACTACTACTGTCACTTCCACCAGCACTACCACCACCACCATTACTACTTCTTCCACCAGGAGCAGCTTCAAGAGTTGAAATAATAGACAATGTGTCAAGTGGGATGGCGTGATCATTAAGAATTGCATCATTATTGGACATAATCATTGATGAGGGAAGAAGATAATACAAGCTGGCAGTAGTATTGTTGTTGTTCTGCGTCTTTTAGTTCTGTAATTCCCGGTCGTTGGTCGTATTGGTAGTAGCCTTGAAGAAATTAGTTGATTTGTCCAATTTTGAGAGTTTGTTGGGTTGTGTTTATTGCAAAGACAGTTTGAGGCGTTTAAATTCCTGGTTGTAACTTGCATTGTCTTGTGTTAAAAAAAAGTAATTGCAAGAATAAATTCAGCTGTAGCGAAATTTACCTGATGAAGAATGAGCGACAGAGTTACAAAGAGAGACAAGTGCCTAAAGCGTTTCAGGAGCCCAAAGGATACGTAAAAAGTGGTTTTCAAAGACACAAGAAGGTACAGCCCCTTTCTCTCTCTCTGAAGAACGCTTGGTTGGACAAGTGCACTAATGACTGTCGGCATTTACTAGTCGAATTGTGTAACGTGCAAAGCTGCTTTTTCTGTCCAAGGAAGGCAAGAAGAACGGGGATCATCCCATCAACCATGAATTGAAGGTCTTGTTTTGCTTATCATGCCGTATAGTCCATGATTCCTTCTCAGGAGCTTCCCTATTCTCAATCTCTGTTTCACGAGGCCGTTCCACCAGAATCTGCTGCTGTTTTCCCCTTGGTCTCACTGCTGACAATGTGTTTTGGTTTCACGGCATGATTTTTGCATATATGTTTCGCCAATCCCAAATAAGAGACGGTCTCTTTGTAGTAAGGAGGTGGTTAGAGAGTGGGACCCAGACACACACAATCTCTTAATGTAATTTGTTATGTGGGCTACTATATTTACTATCTACGGCTTGCTATACTGGGTCGATTGATGCTTGCATTCCATTTTCAACCGCCTTTTCATTTCTTTCTTTCTCTTTCTCTTTTCTCCTCTCTTTTTCTTTCTCTTCTCACTTTTGCTTTCCTTCTTTTATCCTTCATACAACGCCAACAATCCTTGTCGTTTGTCGCAGCGCGATTTCGCCGATCCCTACCTTGATTCCGTTTTGACATGCCTTGAGCATATCCTTATGGACAACATACAGGCTCTATTTTATCACGCAACCGATTGTCTCGGCAGTGGGAATTTGAAGGTAGGCACGGCAGCTTATGCATATCACACATTCTCTTTCTCTAACGTATAAAGCATTTTCATCACATAGAGCTCATATGAACTGTATCTGCAGGCACTCGATGCAACACTATACGAGCTTCATCAAATCAAGTTCGTTGACCAATGTAAGTAGTCTCGCTGTAATTTGTTTCTTTGTGTTTAAGAGTAGATAGGGATGTGGACTATAATGAGATGATGTCTTAATTTGTTTGTCCTTATTACTATTATCGTCAACTACAACAACAATCACTACTACTCCTACCTCGGTTTGCTTCTTTTCTACATAATCATAATAAAGATGCCCTGCTTTCCGATAATAAAGATGGGCTTTTTACCATGGCAAAAACGTGTTTAGAGAACACGCAGACGATTTTGAATAAACGACGACCTGCGGTACAGCCCCCTCCGGTTCCTCCCAAGCCGTTATCAATAAGCGAGCGCAAGCAATCCAATAACAGCAACAGTACTACGAATAACGTTAAACCCAGTGTCGTTAGAGACTTGACGCCCACGACCACGATGACGACAGCGATACAAACACCTCCAGCTCGATCTGCAACTAATGGTGTATGGAAAAAAATGGCACAAAAGCCGGCTGCAGTAATTGTGCCAAAGAAAAATAAAACGAGTACGACTACATCATATACATACACATATACAAATACAAATACACCCATCATAACTTCAACACCATCCGATATATATGTCAACAGTACCAACAACAGCGATGAAGGTAAGATTACCTATTGTACACGTACCCTGAGGGGGAAAAGGGGGGCAATACGGGATACTTTAAATACGAGTCACCATGGTGTGTGCGTGTATTAATCTTAATTATGACACTGGTCCCCTGAATGTGGTACTGTATAGATAAAGGAGATGAAGAACTAAAACCCAAGCCACATCAATTACGACGACCATCCAACGCTTCAGCAGTAGCACTGCCCTCATCGCCTCTCGTCAACCCTATCAGCGCTGTCAAAACGTTCTTGTCATCATCAGCACCATCTGCAGCAGTAGCATCATTGGGAACAGCAGCGCTGTCAACAAGCGGTGTTTACACTACTAGCAGCAGTAGCAACCGAGAAGACGATTTCATATTGATGGCCAGCGGCGCTGTTGATCCAGCCTGCCTTGCACCTGTCCAGCCTTCTCTATCGGATACAGTAACCAGTACAAATAGACCATCAATACCACAAGCACCACTACATATCATTTATAAATCGCTGCAGCAAAAACTAGAGAATCTGGAACGGCACAACCTGCATTCGGCTGAAGTCAAGCAAGCCTTGAACCGAGTCCGACATATCCACATGACCGCTCATACCCTCACGACGCTGTTGCCCTTCGCACCTGTACTGGTTGCGTACCAACTGACGCTGATCGACTCTGCCATTTTCCGCAACATACAGCCGTCCGCACTTTTAAATCACCATGCACCCAAGTCGCCCCATCCAGCCATCACCGCCTCAACTGACTTTTTCAACTATCTGACACGCGTTATTGAGCATGCTGTGCTCACGCCGTCGGAAGCCTCGGGCCGAGCTGAGCAGATCAACTTTTGGATTAAAGTAGCTATCAAGTGCCACGATCTGAAAAATTTTCAAACGCTTAAAGCTATTATTTCTGCTTTGGGCACCCCGCCCATTCAGCGCCTGAAACGGTCTTGGGCCTATGTCCCCAAGAAATCCATGGCCCGCTTAGACGTCGTCAACGAAATCATGACTGAGCACAACAACTATGAACGGTATCGCGATCGAATGGCTCGTGTAGTCCAACAAACTTTCCGTGAGCCCGTCGTACCATTTCTGGGCGTGTTCATGCACGATGTGACCTATCTCACAAGTAGCAGTGCAGCATGCAATGTCGCAAAGTTGGACGATCTGCTGACATTATTTACCAAGCTGCACAAGCACCCGCCTTACTCTTCTGCACTACCGCCCTTTTGCGTCAAAGATTTAAACAAGAAACAACGAAAGCCGTTTGCAAATGAAAGTTTGGAAGTTCAGCAATGTCTTGTCACCCAATATCTGGTAAGTTTATCCATCTTTAATAACTGCTTTTTGCCCTATTATGGTATATGGAGTTGGGGCTTCCTATACTGAGCCAAGTATATCCTATTTGAATTGTATTTAGTTGACCAGATCTTGGGTCAGTGAAAAAACAGTTGACGAACTAAGCTTGCTCCGTGAGCCGCCCAAAGTCATGCGTAGCTGTTCAGCAACAGACCACGCAATTACCTATGATGGCAACCTTTGGAGCAGTTCAGGGAGCTTTTTATCATTTGTCGGAGGTAGCAGCAGTGGCAACAATAATAGCGGAGGAAGCATAATCGGTGGTGGCAGTACCAGCAGTGCATCGTCGAGTCGGCCGGTCAGCCTGGAATCGGATGAAGACGACAACGATTCCGATGTAGATAAACAAAACAACAAATTTTGGGTTTTCGGGCGCAAGAGTGTAGATCATCAGCATTCGCACCATCAGTCCAAGAAACCCGTCTTTGATAGCAACAGCAACAACGTACCGATGCTACCTTCTGCCACAAATCATCTCCGCCGTGATCGACTATCTCGTCATTTTTCGTTTGAAGATCTGAACACCCGCAAACATCAGCAGCAACAACAACAGCAACAGCAACAGCCTACAAGTTTATCCATCTTCCGTAAAGACTTTAACTTTTGGCGTAAAGAACAGCAGGATGCCATTGAACCATCATCACCACAGCATCCGTTGGATTATAATCCAGTGTACAAACGCAACAGTGTCACTTTGCTCGAACGGCCTATTACAGGCTGATACTGTACTATTTTCTTCACAAAACTGCACCTACTTACCAAAAGACACCTGTTTACTTGCACGCAACCCCTTTTGTACATATTTTTATCCTTGACATCACGCCACACATTTTCAGCAGCCCCGTTCTTCTTTATTATATACACACACATACATATTCTTCCATTACACTCGTTCAATCACTTCTCCTAAATCAAAAAGATCATCTTCATCACCGTTCCCTCCCATCATCGCTGGCACCGCTGTTGTATTTAAACTTGCCAAAGAAGAAGAAGAGTTTTGGTGTGATAGATTTGCATCGGATGTTGGTTTCTTCTTCGATTTGGGTTCTGGTAATGATACCAATGATTGCATGATACCGGGTATCCTAGAAACGTTAACCTTAGCAAAGTATTTTTTTAAGACATGAAAACACTTACTGAGTATGCCCACTCCAACTTTCTAATGATTCTTGACGTGCTTTGGTAAACGTTGATGGTAAACAGACTTGATCGACATCTGGTTTGAGATGCTGTTCCTTAGCCTTGTATCCAGAAGCAAACGTCAAATGCCACGGTTGGATCAAATCATAGCATTGTTGCAACTCGTTCACCCACGTATGTGATATACGATAGAGTCGACTCAAAATTCCCATATAGACCAGCATTAATCCTCCCCAATGTCCGACTCGTAATGTTTTTGTTTGTTCGCTGGTAACAAAAGAAGAGTGCATGTTAGTTATTATTTGTTGTTGTTGGTTTTTTTTCGACTGGGATATTATTATTTACTTGTAAGCTTTCATCAACATTGCCTGTAACTATTTGCGTAATAAAATTAGATATTCGATGCAGCATTACATCCGTAAATATGCACTTCAAACAGTTAAAAGGTCCTCTTGTTCACCTTGTCAAGAACGAGTACTGCTGAAATAATTCGATGCATAGTATACTCGGCGAATTCTTTGGTAGGTATGTAATTCCATGGCCCTTGACACTTTTCCAGTCTTTTTGTTTGTATACATTTGTAGGTTTTTACTAATTAGTGCCGCGGAATACTCTTTGTTAAGCTCTGAAGAACTCACGTTTTCGCGTTCCAAAACGTCAGATAGAACTGTGTTACTACTTGATCGATCTTGAGAGATTTGAATCGTTTAATCAGCTGACGCGCCTTTTCAGAAAATAAATCACAATCAACAGATCGAATGATTAGTTGTCTTCATACGAATTGTGTTCCAGCGAAGGTTATTGCTACCAAGTCTTTCTTTGGATCTGTCTTACTTGAGCAACAACGCGAAATCGAGGGAACAATCGATGAGCATTAACGTATTTGTAATGCAACCGATCTAGTACGGCAGCTTCGACCCAAAACTTTTTCTTCTCCATAAGTTCGACGACATTGCCGAGTCGCTTGAGATTTTTGTTATGATTGATTGATGACTTCTTTTTATCAAGACGGTTGTCAGGCAACACTGTTACAGATGGTAAGGGCGGATTGCGCAATGTATATGCTGAACTCGTAGACATTATAGTATATTTTTGTTTTTGTTTAGAGAAAGACGACTGGAAACCCAAAAAGAGCGTGTGTTAGTGTGAGGGTGAGGGAGGGAGTTGGTGCGAGTGTTGTTATGGCAAGAAAACGAAAATGTTATGAGGAAAGAAAAAGAGAAGTAATAAAAAAAATTGCGTGTGTGATTTTAATCGACAATCTCCTCGGTTTCGTCAATAACCTCTTCGACCCATTCTTCGATGGTTTCTGATTTGCCTTCATCAGCAGCAGACCGCAGCTCCTTGCCAGCAGCCTTGCGTTCGTCGACCATCTTCTTCTCGGCCTTCTTTCTCCAAGCATACCATTCTTCAATAGCCTTCCGACGAGCAGCAATGACACGAGCAGCGTTGGCGTCGCCAGCAGCCAGATCCTCCTCATCAAACACCTTGCTGTACTGTCTCAAGTTCTTGCGGATCTTCTTCTTCTGTTCAGCGCTCAACAAGCTCTTGGGGCGAGGGCGCCAGAGCAACTGCTTGAACTTGTCAATAGTTTCATGCAGCAACTGCTGACCCTTGAAGTCCCATATGCAGAAACCATGGTCAACGGTATTGCGCCACATGCTAGAGCCACTGACAACATAACGACCAGTAGGATCCCATTCAATATCGGTCACACCGAAATGTTCCTGAACAGACAATTGCTGGACATTCGAGCCCAATTCAGGCTTGGCGTTGCTCTTGCTGCCACCTGCTCCTCCTTCATTCGCACCCACGCTCAATGGCTCAAAGTCCAAATCCCAGAATTCGATATCGCTGACGCTCGAGCTGCGCAACGTGGCCAGGACAATATGACGGCCCTTGGGCGACCAGAACAAGTAGTTAGCCGTCTTCTTGTCAACCTTCTTCAATGGTCGGAAACCGGCAACAGCTTTGCTCTGGTCGAGGTAATAGAATGTGACGGCAGTCTTGATCGTAGCAGCAGCACCGCCTTGGCCAGGCATGGCGCCGTACGCTGGGTCGTTCGTCGTAATCGTGGCAAATCGTTCCCCTTGGGGTTCCCAAGCGAAAGCAAGAGTGGGGTCTTTGATTTCCAAGGTTTCGACAGGAATGGCCTTTTCGCAAACACGGAAGATTTCAAGATTGGCAAAGGTGGATTTCTTGGTCTTGGTATGACGGTCAACCTTGACAGCCAAAAAGTGGCCTTGTGATTGCCAGAACAATTTGCACTAAGTGACGGAAAACCCCGTTGTTAATGTTAAGTTTCTGTATCATTACACGCATTCACACTTCCAACAAACAAGCAAAAAAGAGAGAAAACTTACGTCTGTGACATTGAACAGATTCTTTGTACGGATAATCTCCTTGCTTGGCACAGCCATCATGGTGACACGCGCAGGCTGGTTACCTACTTCGGGTGTCCAGTACGCCAAAATCTCCTCCTTCAAAGTAAGCTTAGGATCGTTCTTGTTGTCTGCACGAGCAGGCGACCATTCAAAGTCCACAATACCATCAATCTTGATACTCTTCTTGCCAACCAAACCCATGGAAGAGGCTTCATAGACAGACAGCTGTTGACCGGGTACGACACGAGCAAAGTATTTGTCAGAAGCAGACCACTTGAACATGGGCCATCGGACAGTCTTGTTTTGTTGACCCTCAGCCTGGACCGAAGGGAACGAACGCAGCAAGGTGCCAGTCTTGATATCCCAGATCAAAATGTGGTTACCCTCGTCGTATTCGCTGAATGGATGTGATGAGCCTTCGGGCATACGGTTCAGGCTGATAGGCTCGTTCGACCAGGTCACCAAGTAACGTTCATTGGGCGAGAAATCGATCAACTTGACGCCAGGATGGACAAAGCGCACAATCTTGTTCCAAGAGGGACCACCCCACAAGGCAATGCCCTGAGCGTGGAAAGTAGCAAGGTAGCTACCGAGGGGAGACCATTGAACATATGTTTCCGTCCAGTTCTATATCAGATCCCGTTATATGTAAGTATGTACTGTTTGCACGCCAGTCTCACGACGTTTTATATATTTTACTGCTCTCTCCTCCTAGTAGCTTTTATAAAAACTCACCGTTCGTGAATAAACGTGCTCTGGCTTTTCGGTCTTGCGATTCCAATAAATGCTGACATCGTCACCGCGGTACATGACAAACTGGTCGCGTGCCTGGTAGTCCATAAGCCAGCTCTTCAAGTGCTCCTTGGAAGCGAAGTCTTCAATTTCAGGTTCGGCGTATTCGTCGTTCAATTTAGAGTATTTCTCGACATCGGTGAATTTGTTGACAGAAAGCTGATGCGATTTGGACATTTTATGTCCATCCAAGTTCTTTACGGCGGCATGAGCACTTTCGGGCGATTCAAAGTCGATGAACAGATAACTATTGTAGTTTTGAATGTCAGTAAATATATTGAAATACGTAATAGGCAACAGTGATACTGATAAATCGCGTTTTGTCATTATATGTCTTATATTTTACCCTTTGCTCTCTTTCTTGCCCTTATCGTTAGGCGCCATTGGCATCCACATGCCACTTTCTTTAATTTCGCCAGCATTCTTGGTAAACAATTTCTTGAGAACGCTCATTAATTTTTCTTCTTTGGCTTCGTCGACAGTAGGAGCGCCATCTACAACGACGATCGTGTCCAAATCTTCGTCGACTTGGACTTGGTGCTGTTCATAAATGTCGCTGAAGTCGATGTCTTCTTCCCGTTCGGGTAGATTGTTCAAGTCGAGGCCGGGCATCGCTTATGTAGAAAAGAGAGAGAGAAAGGGAGGACGGAATCAAGAGACGACGGAGCCGGGATACGCCAAAACGCAGGTTGGGTTGATTGTATTTTTTTGCTCGAGCCCTAAGTGGCTTATAAAACACGAGAAATACGATCGGACCTTCCTTGCCCTGAGCGTCGCCTCAAACGGTGGCCCGAGTTTTGCACATTATTATTAGAAGGTATGAACATATATTTTTGAGCAGCTTTACAAAGCACATATAGATTATCCAAATTTATTAAGCTCATGTACAGCGTAAGGTTTTTAAATACTATAATAGGTTTCAGTGGTAACTATAAGAAATATGAGAATCATTTGAAATGATGCAATCATTGTAAACCACTAAGTGCTTGGTGGAAAAGCTTTTCTTTTTTACAGGTCAAAGTATTGCAAGGCCACTGTACGTGAATGTGGACAAAATAAGTATGATCTCAACTTAATGACAGCAGGCGATACGTTATATAGCTCTTTTAAGCCAAAACATTGTAATATATCTAGCATGATAAAGTTGATTCATAACTATAAAGAGGCTAAACTGACCTTGTCAGTAGTGCTTACCGTTCTTCTTTTGAACGTCGAACGTGCTTGCCTCTATAGATTAGTACCCACAAAGCAAGCAGAGAACCTATATAATATCAATGAAAGCAGCATCCTTTCTCTCTGCTTTTCTTACTCGCCTCTCTTTCTAGAATTTCTGATAGGACGTGATTAACAGCGGCATAAACACACTATAAACATAAGCCAGGATACTTTTATTTACACCGTCTTGGGTACATAGTGGATATCTCATCTTTAACTTTGAGTGAACGAGCCATTTGGTATGGCTTTCTGTAGATCGGATCAGCATACGAGTAATAACAACAACTACCTCCGCTTCTCAAAAGCTCTAGGATCGAGCCTATATAACATAAACCAAAGTACAATCTGCTCATTCTACCGTTTTCTATCTATTTTGAATAACGGATCTTACTAGAAGACCAGTATGAGCAATAACCTATTTCCAACAGGATGTGCAATCGCATAAACGCTCTATCAGTGAAACCGACAACATAGCTTCCTTAACAAAAACACCTTGAAAACATCTGACTACAAATAGTTTCTTTCTCTATCATTTTTAAGGTTATGAAAATGACCATCTGCACTTCCGATTGCCGAGCAGGTCGAAATTGATGTTCATCAAAGTGGAAGGCTAGGCTGATGAGCTTGCAAATAAAAGTACTAGTCGTGCGACGACAGATATTAACACCATTGCTTTCATGCTGGTAACAGAAGACGGCCATTGTTTCCATGTTCCTTCTCATCAAACAGTACTCTCTTGAGCAACCAAGAACATCCACCAATACAGCAATCTTGCAAATATTGATCTACGGCACCTACCGATATATACAGTACTCAATGAACATTGGAATAGAGCGAAGCTCACGAAAGTTAACTGTATTGCAGCTTCTTGAGGCAACGCTTTCGATACACTCCCGAGACTTCTACTGTAGTGAGGCTTCAGTACAACTAGCAGAAAATAATGGGAAAAAAAGATAACATTATAAGAGAATCACTTACTCTATTTTGGCAATACTGCACACAAAACGAATTGTTATTACACAGCATCATCAACTTGGATATCCTGGTCAACAGGGGTAAAACACAGGTCCTTACTACATTAGCTAAAAATTACTACGATACAATAATGTAAGATTGACTAGGCTCTCTGATGCACGCAATCCTACGATAAATGTGGATGTCTATTCACTTCTTCATACTGCACATACGCTCCGAACGCAAAACCAAAACCAGAACCTTGACTATAATTGCGTGAAGGTGCGAAGGTCTTGCTTCACCACAACAATACTTCTTCATACTGCACACACGCTCCGAACGCAAAACCAAAACCAGAACCTTGACTATAATTGCGTGAAGGTGCGAAGGTCTTGCTTCACCACAACAATATAGCTACGGGTCCGTCCTCCGCAAAGCATAAACCTGCCTTGGCGGCAAAGAGGGATTTGGTGTTCTCTCAGCCAGGGTTCCATAAATCATTAATGACTCAAGCCCAAGGAAGCTGGCCCTTCAGCAGAGATTGCCATTGACAACAACAAATTTGTCATTAGGACCCTTAAACATAAAACTCGCACATATAAGAACAGCTGTCATCCAAGCCAAACGTGTGCAGTGATCCAATTGGTTTGGAATATTTAGGCAATGGAATTGGAAAGGACTACTTTCACCTGTGGAGGGAACGAAATTTCCGAAGACAGTTATATGCAAGGAAGAGGTGTGTTGGACCAGAACAGAAGTTAGCGAGAGTCAATGGTGGAGACACAACAGGAAGTAGGACAAGTGTGTTTCTGCTCAGAAAAGTACCCGACGACTACGAAAGAGAAACAAGAACAGTAGTCCAAACGAATAAAAGCTTAAGTCCAAAAAAGCTAATTCACTCTCTATTGAATGAATAGAGATAAACAAATAGTATGGTCTCCTGTCTATTGCACAAGCCTGGATTCACGGCATCGAACAAGTTTTATATGCTTTTCAACTATGCAAGCAGCATTTCCCGAATATCATCGATGTTGTTTGGAGAACGAGCTTAGAAAGATATATCGATATACAAATGGGATTTTTCTAGTTGCAATCCAGAGTGGCCAAATCAGCCCTAAATCGTATGCCTCAGAGATTGTACTAATCAATATTTGTCGCCAGTTATATATTAAAAGTGCAACAAACGCGGTTGATGTAAACATATATATTTATATATGCATAATCAGCTGATATCGATGCTAGAATAGCAGTATGGACATGTAGCGAAAAGAAGTCGTTGATGTTTGACGATTCTAAAATAATGTGTGCCAAAGAGGGAAAAGGAAATAACTACAAATAAATTTGCTCTACAACATCATCATGCTCCCAAGTATGATTCAGCCCTGCTGATGAAGAAGGTGGTGGGATTGTTGATAATGATGATTTTGTGATGAATGGTCCTCGCTGCGGACGACGATTACGGAACATGGCTCTTCGGCTTTCGATGTCTTTATAAGTCAAATCAGACGAGATGCTATCTCGTTCAAAAACATACTAGAGAAAGAATCAAAATATACTGTTATCAATATACTTTTTCTTACACAACGAACACAGAAAGTAGGAAATGTCAAATAATACTCTACCTGCATGAATTCATGACAATCTATTAAGCGCTTTGGTATGTTCTGGAGGAGCTGAAGTGCATCGATAGGGTCCTCGAGTGCACATATTGATGGCTCGCTTAGCTTAACTATGGCCAACGCTACCCGGAACAGGACTTTGTATCCTTCACTGTAAGCGTATTACACTACTGTAAGTAATCCCAAGTATTATACATACGCATATATCATCTTAAACAAAAGGAAAATTATTTTCCTCAACTTACACAAATACACAATCCCAAACGCGGGCAACTGTTTCGACAGGCAATATGTTAATAAAAAGAGTCAAAAACCAATGGTTTGTCACTAAAGTGATGGGCGGTAAATCTTGCACGCATTCCCAGAAGCATCGTTTGTTGCCAAGCTTATTCCAGATAGCAGGCATTTTTTCGTATACAAGCTGCATCAATACCGTCTGATCAATAGTAGATCCATCCATAGAATCATCAAACATTTGCTCGGGATAATAATCGTTGACCGTCGTTTCAAGGATCCAGAATGCTTCCTCCTCGTTGTCGACGAACAAAAGAAAGAATCCGGCCAAAAAGTTGAGTGACTGGCAATAGCCGATGTTTGGCGAATGAACACTAAAGGCGAGCAGAACGCGTTGTAATGCACATAACCGAGGATTAGATTCTGGGATCATCAAAACTGATCCATCGGGTTGTGGCACAGCGCATGAAAAGTGAGAATTATCCGGGAACGTGCGATGCAGATCTGTATATGAGATAATAAGTTGAGCGCTCTAGTTGATGTCCCTTTGATGTTTGATCTCTCTCTTACCTCGATAAATGATTTCAGCATACGGGTTTGACTTGCCCATTTCTATTGCTTTTTCCAATAGGGATTTATATTCCGTGGGTTTTGAATCCATCTTGGTTTTGGCGCCGCTGTAGTGCATCCATGCCTGAACATCAGTAGAAGTAATCGCCATCAATTTTTAGATTTGCCAACCACCACAAGGTCACACAAACTTCGTAATGCTTACCCTTCCGCGCAAATCTCGAGGAATGCCTTTTCGTGCATAACGTTTTACTAACACAGTTATTGAGTTAGGTTTTACGATGAGATCTCCTAGGAATTCTTTTCACCACACACACACTTGTAGAAGATCGTCTTACATTTTGATCCCAAAGGTGGTAACTCGCCACCACAGTCTGCCAGCAGCTGATTCCACTTGCGCGCTTGACGATGCAGAACACTTCGGTAATCGCGATCGAATTTGTAGAGTGTTTCGGTGTTAACCCAGTGCGTTGGTAGCTTGAAACCGTAATAATCACTGTTGTATACATATTAGACAAAATATCTATGTTTAGAAATAGGGCATGTTTAAAAGACTATTACCCCTTGTTTGGATCAAACAACGAGGCACTACTGCTACCACTCGCGGTGGTGGTGGTGCTACTCTCGCGTTCTCGTTTGTGACGTATGTGTTTGCTGTTAGTATTTTGGGAGATGGTTCTTGTTGCACGGTGTTGATGATCATGACGTGTGTGGCTTTTTGCTGGTATCTTTAGAGGAGAGTTAGTGTGGTTTTTGTTGGTATAGCAGTATCTTTCGGTTGAGGAGGATGCCGTAAAAAATGAAGGGGAAGAGGAAGCTTCTGAAATAACAGATGCTGAAGATGATGGCGGTGAGTATGACGACGACGACGACGACGAACCGCTGCTATAGGCGAAACTAGACAACGAGTTACTGTAGCTGGGTGAATAGTACGGAGAAAAAGGGAAATGTTCGTCTCCGTAGGGTGTTGTATCAGTCGAAAGAAAATGGACAGAGTTGTTGTACAGTTCACTCATGGCTTGCTGTTCGGACATTGTACTTGCTTTATCCGTCGATAATGTGTGTGTTTGGTTATTTTTCGTTGTTGCTGTCGCCGTCGTTGCATTTAAGTTTGATGTCGTCGAAAGGCTTTGGAGAGCCTCGAGGAAACTGTGTTGGTCAATCGTCATTAATTTTATAGTTAAGGAAGATATTTCAAGTTAGGTATGTAGGAAGACAGATTAGCTATTCTGTGTGCTGAGTATTTGGGTATGTTTAAGGATTGGAAGGAGAAGTACGAAAGGAATGAGAGGAAGGTTAATTTGTAAAAAGAAAAAGAACAACAGAAAGAGTAATGTATCGCTTTTTTTGGTTCATAGAAGTAATATAGCACCAGGAATAGTTGCAGTAGCAGTTACTAGTGTCATACCAGATAATATGGTATGCTGTAGTAGAAAAAGAGAAGTTTACCTGTAATGGTTATAGGGAGGTAAACTCAACGACGAACACGCATTTCTGCTTTGTTCTCCTTAATTGTGTGCAAGCGTCGGTGTGTGCGAGTGGCAAAGTAAACAACACACAGAGTTTGTGAAACAATAGCGTGCATAACTCCACTTGAACGCTACAGCACTGAGATGAAATGCTGAGATAAACAACTATAGTAGAAGGACTGTTCCAATATATGCAGTAAGATGACCATCATCGTTTGTGAAATTGCAAATGATTCTATCAAAGGCGGTATGTAAAAATTCCAACGGCCCTTTTATTTGGTTAAAAGAGTATGTATTATTCTCTCTTTATACATACTTCGTGTTACATACCAAATCTAACCCCATATATGTAGCTTCTGATTCATTATTACTTTTTTTTCGTTTCATTCTAGCTATTACTAATACCTACTGCGTATACTCGGGTCGAACGGGTGTAATGGATGCCATGTGCTACTGTCTGCTGCTCTCCTTCCTGATGTATAGCTTATAATTATAGTCTTCACCCTTTCATCACCATTACTGCTACCATTAATACATACGTATTTGTAGAGACTGTAAATGACTCTCTCGAGGTTTGAAATGACTTGAACCCTTTCTAGTACTGCAATATTATGTATCCGCCAATTATCATGCAGCAGCAGGACTGCCTGTCTGGTGTATTACACATGTGATGACAAGATCCCTGTTTTCTCTTGCATCTCCTTCATGTCGCCGGGTTTTTGACAGCGACGACTCTTAATGCCTCTCTCGTGTTGCTCCTTCTCTCCGTCGGTTCCCTTGGAGCTGCCCCTGACGGAGCGGTAAAAAGTTCTCGCATCACTCTTCTGTATTCCCGGGCTTCAAGTGATAATATAGCATGAAAAGGCGGCTATATTTTTAGGCATATCTACCGATCAAGCTCTACCCTAATTTCACTTTTCAACATATCATCTCAACCATCATAAGTCTCTTCGTGGTTCCATTTTGAGATAGACATAGTGGCACTTTGATTTTGTTTATTTTGAATGTCAATGATCGATATATTTTTAGTAACTAGTATTCTTCTTCCTTTATACTCAAGAATCCTTTCGCCCTATCCCTATTCACCTGGGGCATACATTGGAAAGTTGAGATTGCAATCTGACCCTTTTGAAGCCGTTATGAGCCTTTGAAAGCTTTCTAGAGCATTTGAAGATTCCAAAAGGCACCAAATTACATAATAAATTTGCGACGTATTACAGTATAGTAACACGCATCGCATAAAGAATGCAACATAGAGGGCCAATTTTTCTGTTTTTTAAGGAACATCAATGACAGGAGACGGAATAGAGAGGCTGTGAAAGAGAGTAAAAATATGTTATTGTTGCTACTACTGATGTTGCAATCGATATCGGTGCTAGTGCTTCTAAAACCATGTGCGACCCCTAGTGAGCACATATAGCTATGCGTTAGATGTTGTTTAGGTCTTGGAATACACATGCAGTAAAGGAGCAAGTGCTAAAGTCACTACGATAGATGCTAGTGTCTTATCTCTGCCATGGTAACACATTGCTTCATTTGATGATACAATTTGTAATTTGGGCATACATAACTCGGCCTACTATCTATGTATGTCACAGCTCAGGTATCGTTTCTTGCAATTTCTCCCTTCTCAAACCAGTTTTATATCTGACACACATCTCAACATTACGTATGTATGAAGAAATCTAGTTCTTTGTAAGTTCTATGTCCAATCATTGCTCTTTAGAACACATTCTAGGAAGCAAGAAATGTATAAAACTTGATGCACGCCTTTGTATTCTAGTAGCAGTAATTACTAAAGCTTTTTAGATAGCATAATAAGCTACTTAATATGATTTTCTGCTGCCATGTCTACAGATCTTTGTAGAGCGCCAAATCGCTTATTAAAAAGCTTATGCTTTCGACCAAGAGTTTTATGAGTGCCAAATACAACAGGGCCTTCAAACTATACGATCTATGTACACCGACAGCTTTGTAAGTGCTTCTGAGCGGGCTATAAGGATATACATCCTATATTATTGTAAATGCATAGAGTTAGTATGTATTCAATAAAAACATCTATATATGCAGAAATTCGAGAAAAAAACTTACAGTTCTGTACACAAGCTTTCCTGGAATAACCTTGCGATGTTTGTCCCTGCGAGCAATCTCCTGATAGTGTGTATGTACCCACTTTTGCGACTCCAAGCGTATATACGACTCATGCAGGTTGCGATACACTGTTTCTTCAGAATTGGTCAAGAAGAACGAAAGCCGAATTAGCTTTATGACCCTTCTGAAGCAGAGTTGCGGTTGCGGTTGCGCCTGCGGAGTTGCACAAACTACATCATCACATTGCTTCCTCTTTCAGCTGATAGAAGCTGTCGTTTGGAAGTTGACGATGATTTTGAGCAAATGGTGCATCCCCGTCTCATTTACGCTTTTACAAGGATGCAAAATACGATATTTAACAAGAAACAGAAAAAAAAAGAATATCAGAGACATAACTAGCTTAAAAGCTTCTCCCATCCTTGTGGACACAGCTCCCGGATGATGCTGTTTTCATGCTTGAAAACTACATTTCTGGGGCCATTGGTAATCCCTCTCGTCGCTCTCAGCGGCTAGGATATTATCTTTGGCTTTGCTGGCGACGAAAAGCTCGCGGGGACGCTTTCAACGACCTGAATACATGTTTAGAAGGATGTGACGCATAGTAACCAGCAAAAGGATGCGCAAGTCTCGTACTTCAGAAGTTGATAGAGCAGAAGTGTTGCCGTCGTAGGTCAATTCCAGGCCACTTTCTATCGATGGCACCGACTACCACACAATCCAGTATTTTGCAACCCAAATTTCGGGGTACTGTAGTCACTGATTGGTATTTGATACAATGTTAGTCATGGTGGTCAAGGTGGTTGATTTCATTGTGCGCAGTAGAGAGAAAAGACCAACGGTTGGTGAATTGACAGCAGTCCGAAACAATGATGGTCCTTTTCAAGGGTCGACAACTTTCATGTCGATGGACTATGAGAGGAACGATATTTTTAGAGTTTGTGCGCTTATAAAATTTGCAAATTTATGAATAAATGGTGTGGGGAGCGATGTTTGCAGATATTGCTTATAGCTTTGAAGTAATAACGCTGGTATAATCTAATTACAAATGCAAAGTAAGGGTTCTGGTGGTTGGGGGAGAGTAATGGGCTTTTTTACATTCTACGAGCTTTTTTACAATCGTCTTCTCGTTCTTGGCCGTCTTCTTCATCGTCTTCTCGATGGGGCCTCTTGTTGCTGCCAGTTGCCTCAGCCATTTTCCTTGCCATAGCATCGATCATCAGCATGGAACCTACTTTTGTTCGGTTTTCTCGGAAAAGCTTGTCGTATGGTGGTTTTGCTAAACAGACAAGAAATGTTAACCAGCCATGACCTGACATATTACATAAACTTTCTATGGTTTATAGTATAACAACGGAGATTTGTACCTTGCCCAGGTGGGAAAAAGTACCATTCTGGCAGGAAATGGCGTGCATTCTTGGGTTCATGGCTGTAGACCAAATCCTCTAGCTCCTGACATCGTCGATATAGCGCTTCTTCATCTGTCACAAGAAGGCCTGCTTCTGGCTTGGTTGCTTGTATGGCACGGTTCAGTATTACTGCCTCACCAAATTGTGTTCTTTGGTTTGTTTTGAGATGAAGGTACATGAGGAGTGTCTTGGATGCAACTGTCTCCATGCTCTTTGCAAACGAAAATAACTGCTGTCGCTGTTCTTCGTTGTGGTCAAAGACGGCAAGATCTCGGATTTCTTGGGTAGATGGGACTGTAGAGCCTTGGAAAAGGTCTTTGCACACGGTGACGAGTAGATTGTTCCGGATATCCATGTCTCTAGGTGTTGACTTCTGAAAAAGAGGGTTGTTTGAGTTGTCCCAGCATTTCTCCCTTAGAAGGAATATATCAAAAATAAGTATGCAGACTACTCACAATGTACTTAAAAACACTCTCCAGAGAGATGTCTCGGAGGAAGTGCACCCAGGAATTAGGTTGGAATATGGCAGTATCGGTTCCTCTTGTCGCTTCAATCTCCTCTAAGCATCGGTGGGCTTTTTGCACACCAAGACCCTTTTCCAATGTCTTCATGATCTTGAAATCGTACGAGGAACTGCTGCACTTTTCGCTTTGTAAGTAAGTCAGAGCCCGCTACAGACAGGTAGTATTAGTCGACTGAATTATTCTTTTCCATACATAGGACGCATACATGTTGCTTTTATAATAAAATTAAACCTACAGTATACTCGCATCGGTCAAACAACCAGTAAGCAGTGACCAAGTTTGCATCCGCTTCAGATATATGAATGAGCGACGTGCTAGTTACTGCATCACCAGAATCGCGCAGACTGCTGTAATATCGAGCGAATGTATGTGCTTGGTAATTGGGTTGTTGTTTATCCGCCGGACGTGCAAGAAGCAGTGAAAATTTATCGCTCAAGTTGGGATAGTTTTTGTTATCTACGTATAAGAGGTGCATACAAGCATATCATTTCTCAGCAACAAACAAGAAACGATAAAGTGAAGCCCCTTCAGCATTTATCTCAAAGACACTTACATTCATGACCCAATAACTCTTGGAGTATCAGATCAATGAACAACTGTTCATTCACTGCTTCGTGTCGACGGATAGGTAACTGTTGCTGTTGTTGTTTTTGTTGTGTCATGGTAGGACTATATACAGGCACAATGCTTTTGTCGTAGTAATCGTCATCATTTTGGTAGTCGTTGTAGGAATCATCATAGTCAGGTTGCCGTTGTGAACTTGTTTCTGTTTCTTCTTGTATTGGCATTGGAACGTGCACGTAAGGTGATGATAAAGAACGGTGGTCTTCATCGCTGAGACGCAAAGGAGACGGGGATGTGCTGTCATAATCAAATGCAGGCAGCATTTTGGACGATGAGGTGGTACTGGATGATGGTGTTGTTGTAGCAAAGGTGGACCAGACTGTACTATTATCGGCGGATGTAAGGGTATGAGACGGTGACGTGTGTGGTTCTTGCTTTTGTTGACACGGTAGCAGTTTTTGCTGTGGTTGTGGTAATGACGGTGGTGACGGAGCCTTTTGAATAAAGTGCGCAGAAAAAGGTAAAGAATGAGGTAAGGAAAGCGCTGCTTGTTCCTCCACCAGCGGCATGGGGAAACGGTCATTCAATGCCGCAGGTACAACGCTTTGAGACTCCGGTTCAATCTTGCTGTCTGATTTATCCTCCTCCAATGCCAATTCGCTGCCGTCTTGCTCCAAATCAGAAAGCTGTTGCTCACAGATCGCCCGGGGTTCCTTGTGGTCCTTTCGGCATGAATTAGAATACTTAATGGGCAAACGTATAAATTTTCAGGTGGAAGACCTGAGGGTATAGATAAAGAAAGGAGAACCGGCTTGTTTCAATACACATACCGATTCCTCTGTTCCTGATGTATCTGGTGAAGCATCAACATCTCCTCTTCTCTTTTCAGTCATTCTTGGGCATCTTTCTTCGTCTTCCGAGGATATGGAAGTATCTGATGTCGGCTCAGCTGTAATAGACGGTACAATCTGCAATTCTGCTTCGTAATCAGGGTATTTGGAAGTAGTAATAGCTTTGTCGTTTTCAACTTCCATTAGGTGCGTTTCACTTTGATGGTATATTAATGCCTCGTCAACGAACTCGCCCTCTGTAGTATCATTCTCCAAAAGACCACCCTGAGATTCATCTTTAGCGCTAGCAATAGTTCCTTCTTCGTCTTCCATGAGCTCATCTTGTTCCTCCATGTCTATTGCCATCTCATTGTAGGGGCCGCTGTCCGCACCATGCGTTTCACTTTGTGGAGTTTCGGTAACAGTTGGGATTTCGCAAATAGCCGTTTGTTGTCGCTCGTCGACATGGGTTGCTTCTGTCGTAATCATCCCTTGTTCAACAACCTGCTGGAACGATTCACCAAGGACTGTTTCTTGTGACAGATGCTCATCACCAGTAAGTATCTCATCTGGTGCTGCATTAGTTACTTCTTGTACATAGTCCAGTTGTTGCTCCAAGGCAGCAATATCTCCAGCATCGTCCTGAGTTTTTTAATACCCACTGTTAGTATCTGTATTAATGTACCTTAGCTGCAAAAATATACATTAGACTTTACCCTTGGAAGCATATCTTGAGTATTAAAGCCACTTTGGCTTCCTTGCGTATCACCCAACTCTACACTAACGGCAGAGGCAGTCTGATATACATAGTGCATATAAAGATATCACGACTAGATTAGATTATATATATATTTGAAGGGAGAGGAGCCATACCGAGTCATAATCTGTTGTCGCTTGGGATTGGCTTTCTACAGAGGACCCTCGTGAATACTGGTTGGTGGTAGCCACCGTGAGTGAGCCCATGTTACTGAATCCACCCTGCTATCAATGAGTTTCGGTGGAAGCCGTTAATACGCGAATGATACATACATGTACATACTGGAGAAAGGTATACAGATATGATTTCCTCGTTTTACCTTAGACCCAGTTATTTTGTCCGTTATTTCGACGTTTCCACACGAATCGAATAACAGAAGACGATCGTTCCAAGACACATTAGAATCATTAGGGTTCTAATAAAGCGTGTAACAGTAAAGCTGTTAAATATACATAAAGATTACATTCCTGTCATCCTTTCTTTCATTTGGCCTTTTCTTTTACCTGAACAAGTCTCCGCTGTGTAAGTGCTAAACAGGTATCTTTAAACGGGTACGCATCCTGTTGTTTGATAGAACCAAAACGACAAAACAAGGTTATTGTTACTTACAGATGCATCTCAATGACCAATCAACACAATATTTTTCTCCCATTTCCTTACCAGGAGCCGTTCGGATCCAGGTATCGTCACTTCTAAATCTAGTTGTCCGTCATGAGACGATGAAATTGTATGACGAACAATCTCTGAGGCATTCCCACTGATAGCACGAAAAGCGATAATAACAGAATAACCCACGGTTGCTAAAATAGTATGATATTTCGTTCAGTCTACCAAAAGAGCGATAAGCCAAACCCTTACCAAAGCACCTAGCGTAGAAGCACTTTACCTGGAATCAATCGCATGGATGTAATTTCACACATTTCGTTCAGTTTGTTAGGACGAATTATGAAGAGCCACTTCTTCTTGTTATTGGCATAGAGCTCAATGATGTTGACGCACGCCTGTTTGTCGCAATTTTGTGTTCTATATCGGCGTGGAAATCAACATACTCATGTCCAGAAATCCACTAAAAGTTTTCAAAAAGAAAAAGAGAGAAAGAAAACTTACGTATTTCTTCCAACATCCAGCGACGAATCCTGACCGACAGCAAGGATGCATCTGGTTTCGTTATTAAAATCACGCAGCGCAGTGATATGTGTAATAGCGCCTTCAACCAGCGTTTGTTGTAGATAGAGAATCATGAAAAAGAAAACATTTTTATTAGCGTAGCAGATGACACGTCGATTATATACGCACGAATAAGAGTATAGGACAGATCCAAAAAGACAGCAAAAACGTTTTCTATTACTGTTAATCCTGCTATTCGCAATATACCTTCTTCATACGCAGTATGTCGCTTCAAACGGTTCGGTCTTTTTACATGAATCGTATCCAAGGAACATATCTTCAAGTGAATCAATAGACCGCGGATAGTGCCGGCAATTAAAAGCGCGTGGTTGAGATATACACGATCTTGGCTCTTCCGGCTATCGGTTGTATGAATGTTTGGAAGTATTAGCTCGACTGAAGTTACAGGTGCTCCATCAAGTTCTGATGCTTTAACCGTCGTTGAAGTCTACATTTGTAATAAGATACATTGTCAGAACCACTGATTGCAGCTTCTTTATTTTGACGCTTTGTCCCGTCTTTTCTTCCATCTCTTCTGTCACACCGCTCTCTTCTTACCGTGCGTACAACATCACCCTGAATAGGATATTCCAACATGATCACTCGGATAGAGCCATCTTGCATACCCAATGCCAAAATATGGCGCAAGACCTTGGTATGTTTTTTAAGCTCTTCCCCCGAACTTAATGGCTAGCATTTATATAGAGGTCAATTAATTAGCTCTCGCTTGTTGACTCAAAAAGTATATCTGGTATCTAATCCTATTTTACAACCTGATTTTTCTTTCTCGATGCCTTCTCTTTTATCTGATGTTGGCAGCATATTACTTACTACTTCCATAGGCACATGCATGATATTCAACGAGCAAATCACGCCGACTAACGGTTCATCCAAAGCAACGAGTTTCAGGCTTTCGGAAACAACATTAAACCAAAATATAGCATTGTGTCCATTCTTTTCTTCCTTCTCGTGGGAAGAACTGGCTACGATGATCAAGACGGGGTTGCCTTTGTAAGCGCAGCTTAATACATGCTTGACCTGTTATTATACGTGTGTATAGTTTTGTTTGCTTAAGTATATACTATTCATAGATAGCTCCACTTTATATTGTTATGCAACATACGAGATCTAGATAACTTACTTGTTTGACGAGAGTCAACCGATTAAGATCTTCAAGACTGACTTGTAACACACTTGCTGTTGTTGCTTTTTCGTTCTTCAAAATGTCGTTGTCGTTGTCTTTGTTATTGTTGCGGAAAACTTGTACCGAATCGTCGTTAAAGCAAAAATACATGTTTGGATTTCTGTTGCCACCACTGTTCCGTACGGTGGTAATACTGCTGCCAACATTATTACCACAGTTCTCGTTCTCGGTGACAAAAGGATCAAAGAATCCACCGGAGACAGCAGCAGCTTTAGAGATGGTTTCTTCGTTGCCCGAGCTCATCGCTTGCTTGATTGCGAAGGTGGAGGGGTTGTGAAGAGAATATAAAATTCCTTTTTCTCCTACAAGTTGATGCCCAGGAGAGAGAGGTGGATTTTGATAGAATTACTACAATTAAACAAGAATTGTCACTTTGGGAGAAAGAGAACGATCCGCAGGTGTGTGTGTGTGTGTGTGAAACGTTCGCTGTTGCTGCTCGCCATTTCCCCGCTCGTCGCGCATAACGGCGTGTGTACAGATGGACAAAGAAATTATAAGATAAACTAAGCTGCTATGAACATGTTAAGAACTCGTAATATCTCTAATATAATACTGTGGGAGTCGATATCGCTTACTTCCCATCGCAAAGATAAATAAACAACAGAACATATGAATATAAAAAAGAACGAAAGGCTCTTTTTCGGCTATCATCCTTCCAGCTTTCTTTCAGCATGGCTTCTTTCAGCATGGCTTCTCAAACAGAACCATCTCATCATAAGCACAGCAAGTATATCCTCATCAGTAACTGTGAATCGTATGTTGGCCATGCCTTGGCACACCATCTTGCGAGTGAACTTATGCTCCGACCTGGCATGATGAAGAAACACTGGCGTGTTCGTGCCCTGTGTCACAACTTGCAAGGAATGGAAGACTTGATCCAAGCTGGTGTCGATGTCCAGGTACAACTTACATACACACCTTCATTTTATCTCGTCTCATTTGTGTTACCGAAGCTAATGATAATCTTACAACGATACGCTGCTGTTGTCATCGTCTTCTCGTGAATATGGTAGCAAGTCAATTATCAAGACGAAATGATGCTTCGCAGCCAAATGAAGCACGTCCGCTCGCTTATCATTACAATGGGCACCAATGAAAGCCGTGTTACAGACACCATCAAAGTCATCACTGTTGCCAGCTCGGAAAAGGTGAAACGCGTACAAATGATCTCCTGCACCGGATGCCAATATGCCGAGTCGGAACAATCACCCATGGGCCAGTACCATATGCTTGAGCAACTTATGCGCAGTACGTTTGCCTATGGCCGCTGGTGCGTGTTTCGTCTTACATTCATGAACCAAGGTTTTTACTTTTGGAAAGACATGATTGAGCATAGCGGAAAGATTGGCATGTCTATGTCCGAGACCACGCAGTTTACGACTATCAGTATCCAAGACGTGTGTGACGCTTTGGCCACTCTGGTGCTCAGTCCTAAGAAGCAAGATATAGAAGGCAGTAGTCTCCTTGCTGTCGACGACGACGAGGATGATGAAGAGAATCCTGAGCATCTTAAACGCATATATGAGCTGACAGGTCAATGCCCGTACACTGGAGAATTCGCGGCCAGAAAACTCAACGAAGCACTCGGTGCCGAAGAAGGTGAAATCCAGTACGAAGAAATGAGCGAGGAAGAGTTGCGTGAATACCTGCATCGCATGTCTGCTAGACCCAACCAAGCAGATCCACCAGGGCTGGTGCCTGATCCTCATCGATACCTTAATGAGCAAGCCATTAATATTATGCTCGACTGGTTCAAGATACTAGAGCGTACGGGGATGGGCCAAAAAGTGACCGACGACATACGTGATCTGACCGGAAGAGAGCCAAAGGATCTTGGCCAATTCTTTATTGAGAACCGTAACGAGTTCAGACGCCCTTCGAAATAGCAATAGCAGTAGCAAGAGTACGAATTTAGTAGAAGTTGTAGTAGTAGCAACTTTAGTATCGTAAAATGAAAATATGAAAGAATATAAGCAAGTTATTCTTGTGAGATCATCTTCCTTGTCTCCTCCAACAGTCAAATGAAGAGTCCAATGTATTTTTCAACTATTAAGTGACACCGGGTAGGGGGCGGTATATTGTAAGGTGAAAGCGTTACATTCTGTGAGGTAGTATGGTGTTGGTGGCTAGTATGGTGATATCTTTATTCGTAGTCGTCGTTGTTTTTATAGACGATATCCTCCACCAAGTATTGTGGAAACGATAGAGTAACGTCAAGAGTAGTAGCGATGGTAAGCCTTTATTGACATTATTTCAAAGAAGTGGTTTCAAAAAGAAGTAAAACTGGACAAACAGAAAGGATGTATTTGATTATATATACAGTAATATTAATGATGGTAGATGTTTTCTCTTTAGAGGCAATCCACCAAAACTGAGGAAGAGGATTACACACAAAAATCGCTTTTTTGTTATCTAGTCTCTAGTCTATTGACCTCAAACCATTCGCCACTTTTAGCATCCAATGTCTGGATGTAAAATTGTTGTAAACCATCCACGGCTCGCTCTTCAGCTTGGATGCGTGTTAAATTCTTTCGCGCTTGCTTCCCCTTGATCCAAAGATCTTCTTGCTCTTGCTGTTTTTGAATTGACTGGAACGAGCGTGCGAATTGCTGCTCTTCTTGCGAATGCTGTCTCGTCATGGATGCATACTTGCTGCGTCGGATAGGTGTAAATGAAAACCCAGCACCCAAGCTACGTTCAGGTTTAAATAAGTCGTCTTCTTGCCCCGAGTCCTCACTACTTCGTCGTCTGGGATCGCTCAAAGTAAGGTCGAGCTCATCCTTGGATATATAGCTACACATACCGATGATCAGTATATACAATTATTAAACTCTTCGCTCATTTTGTCTTTTTTTCGGTTACTAATTACATTTTCTTTCCTTTGGACCCATCGTCTAACACTCCAGTACTCGATGAACCTTGGTCAAGTATGTTTTTCGCTGTCCTCTTCGTATCGATATTACTTGAAGTACCGGAGCTGGGAGAAGAAATAGTGGTAGTAGCTCCAGTACCGCTGGTACTGGTGCCGGCGTTGGCGCTCTCTTTTGCCAAAGACGATGACTCTGGACCCGGTCGCCCCATCTCTGCCGGCGAAGGAGCGGGAACATTTGCCACCTTGCCCCATACTGGCTTTGGTGTTGCTGCTGCCGCTGCTGCTGCTAATTCCTGCTGCTGTAACTTCCTTCTTTCTTTCTGAGAGAGCTTTTTTGAAACATGCGGTGGAGATGGCTAAGACATATAATATGTGCATTAGATCAAAATTATAAAGTGCAACGCTGTTTATACTTCATTTACCTTGCCGAAGGAGGGCGGTGGCGTCGACGACAGCTCGGACGGTTTAGGATGTTGATCCAATACTTCCCGTAAAGATACCTTGGATCTATGGTATATTCATGCATGTCAGACAAATAGATCACCGTTGAAGGGTTAAAAGATCATCATGACTTACTCTAAAGATCCAAGGGACATGGCTGGTGTTGGTGCCCATCCTTGCCAGCTCGTTGTTGTCGCTGTCGTAATGTTGTGAGTACCCTGTTGCTGGCGACGACTATTCTTGCTCTCAGGCGGTAGATATTTGGAGCTCGATTTCTTTTTGTCGACTTTGTGCTGATCTTCATCCATGGCAAATACACCTTCACCCTCTTCACTCCTGGGAGTCAGTGGGGACGCTGGTGTTTCTGGAAGCACAGTCACCAGTGTTTCGTAATAGCTGCTCACAATGGGAGTCTCTTCGCGTGACAGCGTATACAGAGACGACCCAAACTCTTCATCTGTATCTTCTTCACCGGTGATAGGAGCCGGTGACGATAACATGACATTTCGCACTGACGGTAACTGATATGCTTGGCAGTAGCGAACATGTCGCTCGAGCTCCTGGATTACCTGTGGTTCTATGCCTTCGAGCATACTACATGCATTTAACAAACAATCATCAGCCATCCGCCTCAAAATAGCATGCCATCACACACCCAGAACCTGATCAGATGATTTGATTACCCGCTAGTCAAAAAGATATCCAGATTTGCTGCAATAAAATCAAGGCACGCATCCTTAAGCCAGTTGGCCAAGTAGAGATCCGCCGATTCGAGTAAATGGCTAGCCGTGCGTAGCTTCAAGAAGCGTACAAGCGCTCGCTCACATGACCGCTTTAACCGTGTAAGCAAGAGCTCGTCAGCGATACGTAATACATCTATTAAATAGTGCATCATTTCTTCGGGCGTTTCCTTATATAATCCACCAAACAGCTCGTTTTCGTCCATGTCCGCATACAAGTATTGTAATAGCGGCCGCATCAAGTCTTTTGATATATGCGTCATTTGTACATGTACCAACGGATCTTCTGATGAAATCTGCTCGCGCCTGGCTTCCATCCATACCGACCGTGGTTCAAACAGTGCCTCGAAGAAAGGACATCGTTGTCGAAGAACCACTTCGTGGCATAGAACGCTGTGCCCATCTTTGAGATCCAACACAACATCACACCCATGCTGCTCGTCAAGCAATCGCAACATATCCATTTTTAGGCTGGGTCGTGGCGTATTACCATACGCCAGTGATGCCGAGTCAAGTAATATCTCCATATCGAAAAGTGTCGCTAGCATAATCAAGTCTTTTTGGACCATCGTAGCCGTTGGAATAATAGCTTTGTTGTTGTTGTTGATGCTGAGATTTGGCTGCTTATAATACGCATTCATTGGGTGTATATATGTGTCGGTATATATATAGTCGCAGAATAGCAGCATAGCTGCTGCACTGATGGGTTGTCGGATGCGGATTTCGACGCGTTTTTGACTGGATGTCCAAATGATCTTGATATGGTCCGACTGAATCACCTTTCCTTTATCCTTGAACAATCGCTTGAAGAGTGGGCTGCGACTGATTAAGATGGAGCTATGGCAAAACATTGGACTGTGTGTTTCGGATACGAATACCACATCGGCAGTGTTATCTTCAGACCCAATTACAACCGCTCGATCCCAGGCCTTAGTAACCGTGTCTTTAAGCCGCTCCTTGTAATCGCGAACGATAGCCTTTTCTTGTACGACAACATCTTCAGCATCAGGGCCATTATCCATAACTTGCGTTTTATGATACAGCAGTTCAAGATCGGCTCCTTTTTCTCGTTCTAGCCGCTTTACATCGCGCTCGAGTTGATCAGATACCATGACATGCGGTAACGACGACGCCAAATCGTCTGCAAAAGTCGATCGTTCCCCGAACATTTTTTTGGGTGTTACTTCTGAGCGAATAGCAGCAAACGCGTTGCTCGGGCTTGCGCAAACTTGGATGCACCGTTGGAGCTTAGGGATTATGCGATATTTGTAGCCATCTTTCGTCGGGCTTCCGACAAATACTTGTCCAGATACAGTACAGACGATGAGTTCTCCGTGATGACCCAGACTAGCATCAACTGCGGCCAAGTGCGGCTTTTTCAAATCCCAAACACGCTTTGGAGAGCTGACGATGGCTGATTGCTTTTGCGACGACGATGACGACGATTTTCCTTTGTCTGCTTGCTTTGATGAGCTTGGCCGGCAAGTCCAAAGATAAATCTCGCCCAAGTTCGATATCGCTCCCAGATACTCATCACCACTTTGCAACAGCTTGACCATGTAATGGCTTGCACTTGTATATACTTGCATGTTAACCGGAAATCGGTTTGTTGGAAAACTGTTTGAAAAACTCATCTTTAGCTATTTTATATCCACTATTGTACGACTAAAGAGAAAATTACTTACATGACTTTCTGTTGAGTGTGATTGCATAGCAACAAAACTTCTTTGGATTCTAAAAGCACTGCTGTGGCATATTCCTAAGATAAAATTTACACACATGGATTAACAGAGAAACTTTTCCTGACTATCACTAGTAGGTCCACTTACCATTGCAACCACTTGCTTGATTCGATTGTTAAGTGCGATCTTTCTTGGAGTGGATTGACGAATATCGTCGCCAGCCGCATGGTATCCTTTTCAATCTATTTAATAAAATAGCGATCATAATCGATAGAGTATAAAACAATCTATACTTACCCAGCTGGCCTCTGTTATAACCAAATGTGAATAAGTCGGTTTGCGTGAAGACTACGGAATGCACTGTGGATGCTGCAGCGCCAACGATTTCCTGTCTTTTCAAACTCGGTGCCTGAATTTTGCGTGGTACGAGCTGCTGCATATCCTCGGTCTCGTAGCCTAACATTATCGCGAGTGTAGTGATGCCATAAAATGTACGTTTATGTAAGAGATTACTTGCATTATGACCACACACAGGCGCAAACACACAAACATCATACCCATTACGACACTATGAGACTTTTATAATGATAGCGTTCATACCTAACTGGCCATACTCATTACTTCCAAAAGTAATGACACTTCCGCGTACCGAAACTGCAACTGTATGATCTCTTCCGAGCGCGACAGCCATAATACGCTCAGGCCATTGAACCGGCTTTGGCACCAATTGAGCATCTGCTTCACTTCCTGTACCCAGCCGTCCTCCCCGTCCGAATCCACACAAAAGCAGATTATGCTTTTTTTCGCTCGTCAACACGGCCATATGATTCTTTGACATTTTCACCGATTCCATCAATACTGTCGTACGTTGCATAATTTGGCCAGTTCGCTGTGATTCCAGCTCCAAATGGACGTGTTCTGGATACGTTCTGTTTTCGGAATCCCGGTGGCCTAGCAAGTAATTGGTGTTGCTGCCCCAGGAGTACAAATCCGTACCACCCGACCCTATCATTTTTTTGCTGGATCCAACCACATCTTTGAGTCCTGCTGTGTCTTCATCGTCGTCGTTGTTAAATTTATCGTCTTTCTCTAAATCGATACTTTTCGGTACAGGGAAATTGTGTAATGTGATCGACATAAGCTCGAGCGGTCGAATCCCTTCCCAATCTTTAATATTGAGATCTGCATCGCCACGTTGAAGTAAGAAGAGTGCAATTTCAAGGTTGCCCAGATACAGCGATCTAGATATAACATATAACATACATGTCAGCACGGCAGTGGGAGACAAGGAAGCAAGCAAAGACAAAATACATGGCCCGACTTGCAGAGGCTGGAAGGTGGATGTAAGGAAAAATGGATAAGTAGAGAAATAACTTGCCTATGAAGTGCTGTCCAGCCATTTTCGCGATCTTGAATATTAATATTGACGAGAGGACACGCTATCAAGATTTTTGCGATCTCTGTTCGATTCCATGTTGCTGCACAGTGTAATGCTGTTCGTCCGCGTATGGATCGTTTATTTAGGTTGAATTGCCTTTGTCCTGTTGCTTTGGTATAACGCTGTAAAAGTTGGCGATAATGGTGTTGTTGTTGTTGTGGTTGTTGCTGAGGTGAATGCTGATAATCGTGGTAGTTGTTAATATTGGCAGCCGTAGTACTATTAACGCTGGCAGGTGGAGTCGTCGTGCTGATAATACTGGTGGTACCGGCGGATGCCAGTTGTACGAGATCTCGAACGGTGTCTACATTGTTATCTCTTACAGCCTTGAAGATCGAAAGCATCTGATTCACAAAAGGGTTTCAGATATTAAAGTATATAGGGCGAAAAAGAGAGGGACTAGAACGAAAGGACAACCGGCGAACAGGGAATGATGCATGCCGCAGTGCGTGATGAGTTTTTTCGGTGTGCTGCGATTTTGAAATTTGATTTGTTGATTTGCTTTGGGTTTCGGAATTCAGGCTATTCCCTTGCATAGGCACCGCATTACCAGTCGCGTAGCAAGTGAATTGCTACTGTACATTTTACAGCTGCTCTTTACTGTAGTTTAATGCGATCTATCGTTTAATAATGACAACTTGCCGTACTACTGAGAAAGCTTACACCTTCTTTATAATGAGCTTTTCGGTCTGCTTTTCGACTTAACTGCGAACGAGCGGTGATAACGACGAATCTGTGTACGGCACAAGCCAATGCTGCTTAACGCGCACTAATCTGTATGTAGCACATGGTACACCGTGCCTATCGTTTTGGAGAATACACACCCTAAATCCCATCAGAATTGAGTAATCCCGAAGTCTGACCCACATTTTAAAACAGGAGATGGGTACCATCGAATATGTTATCAATGGTACATAGAGAACGTCGCTTAATATATAATTACTGGCAAAAACATCTTACAAGTGCTGACACCAGTGCCTTCAGGTAACAGAATTGGCCTTTTAGATGTGAAAATGTTAAAGGATATATCATGCGCATTTGACGGTTAAAAATCTAATAACGAGATAACGAGCCGCACGAGCGGACAGAAATCTAGGCATTAATACAGTATACAGCGAAGTAAAAAAAGGATCAAAGTCCCAAGGCGTGCGTATGCGACATTCGGTAATGCAAAAAAAGACCTTTTTTTTATTATTACTATCAAGTTACAAGGTATCAAGATTGTACGGGACAATAAAAAACTTTAGCCCACGATGATATCATTTCTACAGATTCTTTATATAGTCCATGACCTTCTAAGTATATGGTAGAGCATATCTTTCACAAAGCAAAACCTATTGCATGACCCTCTTTCAATTGTTTTTCTTCATAGTATCGGAAGCAGTAGCCTCTTGCTGTTTGGACCGATTTAAGCAATATCCCAAGAAGACGGCAGGGATTGCGAACAAAAGTGGTACGACTACGCCGGTCAACAGTGGTCGGACACTGTCGTTCTGCTCCACCATAAATGTATAAATGGGTGGCATAATCCTCGGTGAAGTAAGATGCATAGTAAGGATCGAGCCAACAGTAACGAGCGTCCACAGATCCTTGGGCGAATAAAGTCCACCAAATATGCAAAGTGCAGCCTCCAAATAAAAGGCTGCTTTAGGATTCGTTTCCATAAGTCCTGTGCCACCAACGATAACCCTGCTTATGGGATCAAGAGGCAAGTCATGTCCATGAACGAGCCAATCCGTAACGAAATGAGAAAACGACGCGACGAAACCGGGGAAAAACAAGGATGCTGACTTTTGGCTCCGTCGAGTAGCTGCAGTAGCAATGTATCCATAGAGAACGGATAAAAGAGCGGCACCAACCAAGCTGTGAGTATAGTCGCAACGGAGCATTATAGGTCCTAGTGCGCCGGCTTGATCGTCCGGAAGCTTTGAGATACCCTCCAAATCAACGAATGCGAATAGGCCGTGCATTATATCGAGGAAAGCGACACCGAAACATAATATATTGGGCGATGACTCAGGGAACCATTCACGGAATAGCAGTGCTAGTGAGAAATGGCCAGCAAACATTCTTGTACAAAATCTGTGAAGGATGTAATAACTTACAGATTTATATATTCATCTATTCGTGTGTGTCACCTATTTTGTTGTTTTTTACTATTTTGAGTCAAATGCTTCAGCCTGCTGGGTTTTAGCAGTGCTTGGCCTTAGTAATTATTGAGGAATTAAAAAAGCACGCAATACACTTTCCAGAAATCACGATGAAGAAGTTCCTGAAATGCCCAGAGTCTAATATACGACGGCGGTAAAACTGATACGTGTGTGATTAAGCTCAAATGAGATGAGCGATGTGGGGCACGCATGAGTTATAACTAGAGTCTTTTTGTTATTACGTGCGTAGTTGAATAAAACTGGCACATCAGAGGGAACTATAGGTAGCAACCATTGTGCTACAAAGCGGGAGGGAGAACGAAGGTTGCTGATTTGGCTGGAGTTCCTGACGTGAGAAAATGAGCCACGAATATGAAGCTCGCCAAAAAATGAAGGGACCTGTTACAGATGATGAGAAATCGAAACAGATGGTTACACTTGCCTGCGATGTTTGTAATAGTGTAATAATAAGCATGAGTATCTTTCGGAGACTTTACTGCTTTTCCAAACAGTAAAAAAACCGTGGAAAGTTCAAGAAAGCACACAAAGAAGTCAAAACAGGCCTTACTAGCTACCCAAGAGAATGGATCCGCTTTGCTCATTTCACTTTATAAAGCATCTTCATATAGTAATGTCATATAGACGCCCGCATTAATAAAGTGATACTTAAGTACGCAACGCAACCATTTAACACACCTTTTTTGTACTGGACGGTTCTTCTCCTGTAACTACGTAGAACTGCTTTCACATTTTCATCCATCCAGTCTCATTTGACCTAACGATAACTACACGAGTTCCGAAAACATTGGATGGTTATCCGTTGAAAGTCGTCCATCAGCGACGTCGGTTATAAGAGGCTAGGAAGAGTAAGGTATAAAAACAGACGCAGGCAAAAGCATTGTTTGTACTATTTCTGTTTCGGCAGAGCTAAACGTGTAATTTTTAAGGTTAGTGAGACGGGGCCGGAAACACTATTGATTCGGTTAACAGGAAGTCTGATTATAATCTCTGTGTACGCGCCGGTAGGTGTGTGCTTTCTCGCTTCTTTATGTAGCTTTTATTTTTTACAAAGGTATCCCTTCCCCAAATGTCGTAATCCCAGAAGATGTTTGCGAAGCTGCTTGTGGTCATTGGGACTTCGAGGCATCATGCATAAAAGTCGTCGACCCTTGAAAAGGTTCATCATTGTTTCCGGATGCTGTCGATTCATCAACCGTTGGTCTTTTTCCTCTCTCCCATTACTGCGCACAATGGAATTGACTACATATCTCGATCACCATGAACAGCATCTATCACATTTTGAAAGCTTTTTTTTAAAGATTATGCGCCAATCGGTGAATGCATTATCTCGAATATTGGTGTTTTTTTGAATTTCAAGAGCTCTTTTGGTCTAGCGAAATATTGGATCATGCGGTAGTCGGTGCCACCGATCACGAAAATGGCCTGAAATTGGTCAAGCACGACAGCACCTCTGCTCAAAATATGTGTTGGTTCCCTTTTGCTGGTTACTATGGGTCATATTCTTCTTACCATGTATATAGGTCGTTGAATGCGTCCAGTGCGAGCTTTTCGCCGTCAATGAAGCCAATGATAAAATCCTGACCACTGGGGCCTACTCGGTAAGTATGATATTAGTTATAACTGAAATCAATCTGCCTACCCAGAACCGCACATCTGTACGATTTGCTCAGTAGCTCGAAGCTATATAAAAAAAACTCTGCAGAGCATCGAATGAGAATAGCAATGATCAAAGAATAGCTGTCAAGCATGAAATCACAATTGTGTTCATAAGGATGGGAGGAGCTTTAAACTCGTGGCTATGTCACTGATCTTCTTTTATTAATTAACGTATTTTGCATCCCTTTTAAACGTTGGTAAAACAGTGGTGCGCCATTTGATCAAATTCACTGTCGTGCATGTACGACTTTGAAATGACAGCTTATATCGATTGACAGGTATACCTTTTTTGTGCAAATAAGGAGGTAGATTGGAGGCGCTTTTCATGCATTGTCTAACAAATGCTCATAAAGTTTTTTGTATAGTAAGTTTCTTCTCGAATTGCTGCAGTATGGGTGCTTTAAACTAGCTCTGTACATAAATAAGAACATAAGCATTGCTATCTTCATTGCCCACTCAGAAGTACTCTCAATAAACTGTCGGTAATTTTGGATCGTATAGTCTTGAAGACTTTATGCACTGTATTTGGCATTTGTAAGAACCCTTGGTCAAAAGTACAAGGGCTTTGTAGAGCTCTTGGTGTCCTTCCACAATGAATGCAAGTAAAAAAATGTAACCTAAGGTTCCGTAATTAGAATATCAAAAATGGCCAAGATATGGTTCATATAGCAAATGTGCAGCCGTGGTACATTTCATACATGGCAACAAGAAATTGATCATGAGTAGCTTGCTATGCCATCCATAAAACTATAATAACTATTGCTGTTAATATATTAAGTCGTACACCGACTCTTACTCTGTTTCCTGCTTCGTCGAATGTGTTACAGAAGCGCGATAGCTTGTCTTAATGCTTACAAGAACTTGTTTCTTTAATACATACATTATGCAGAAATATGTGAATGTACGACTGGAAAGGATGCGAAATAACAACGGGAGCTGTTGTGACACAGGACATAGATGGTCCTGGATAAAGCATGTGTTGCCATAAAACTGATACGACATTAATACCTTTAGTATTGAATTTAGCGCTTGCTCTTTCAAATAAATTTTGCAAGGCTTGAAAAACAGCTAATGCATTATTTCTCTAAGCTCAGTTTTACCTTAGAGGGGGATTATAGCAGCAGTTGTAGTCGTAGTAGCAGGAGTAACAACACTTATACTTTATATCTCTCAAACACTCCCTATCATGTGTTCGCTAAGCATCAGAAGAGTAAAAGTGTCCTAATATGGATATCACTTATGCTAATGTGGGATGCTGTATTATGCACACGTGGACTGGGACAGGACCGAAGGAAAAATTTGCATGTAACTGAGTACTAGTTATATGATACCGTCAAAAAGTACCCATGTGTATCTCTGAAAATGGATTAGGATGGTACTTAAAAATGGTTGAGTGGTATATCATGTACGTAAACTTTTGACTCGTCGAAGAGAGCAAGAGTTCCGAAAACAATTAGAATTGGGATATTTCGTTGCATGGTTGTATTAAAAGCTTGCAATAAATAAAGATGATAAAAATGACGATGATAATAATGATGATGACAACGACGAAGACGAACTTAAATTGGGAGAAGCGAAGCTGCTTGTCGACCCACATACGCACTGCCGTATCTTAATGTAGAAACGCCTCCAGGGATGTACGATCCGAAATACCTACACGATATTACAATTCAGCCAAGAGATTAATAAATCGCAGCACCACCACTCTTGTCCACCTTATAACGTGTGATAGTTTCCATCCTCTTTTCATCCCCTCCTTCTTTTGAATATACATGTATATGCACGCACCATACTAGAGCAATCAGCTGCAGAATAGCGAATATTATGGTAAGGACATAACTTCGTACCTAAACAAATCGCAAACGTTTTATAATTAGTAAAAAGAATGATTGAAAATACGGGATTCACGATAACCATTCTGCCCTCCCGTTCTCTCGATCTTTTCTCGGTACACATTCCAATCCATGACCGTATAATAATCGAATGCTACATACACCCAGCGAGAAATACAATGTCAATGCCATGGTGCCAGTGTAGGAAAGGGTAAACGGTAGTCGCTCCATGGTAAGCATATGCTTCAAATGGGCCATAGGACCTCGAAGCATAGCGATGCTGACAAGAATCAGAATACTTGCCACTAGAGTCAAGGTGATCAGTTACTGTAGATACTATCGTCAAACCTTAAGGGATAACATTCCGGTATATGATCCGTTTACTCACATGTGAACGTTGCAGCGAATTTGCCTGGGCTCAGAGGAACAATAGGCAAGAATAAAAAGAAAGCCTGCATAATATACATATATTGTTAGTACGCATAGTATGAAACATATACCACACTATTGCTGCCAAGTGTTTTATATTAAGGTGTAAGAGGAGGAGGATCACACGACCAGTTCACCACTACTTACGAGGAAGAAGCATGCTATGCCAAGAGCAAGACAGAGCGCAAATGCCATCACTCTCTACATAGATCACCAATTGATTTTCAGCAACTATATTGTTCATGATGCGGCATTAAATTGAAGAGTTACCTCAACACGGGACATTTGATACCAAGGTTCTTCTTCTTCATCGCCAGTTAAACCGACCGGAAGATAACCCTGGACACTGTTTGAAACATTCGAGAACATGTTGGAAGCGGAATCGCGGATCGTCGCAAAGGGATTGTTGTTGTTCGCTGGTGAGGTATCCGTAGGTAACGATATACGTGGGGATGACCGTGATAAGTTTAAGCCACGAAGGGAATTATGAAAGTTGTTTTGTGCTTGTTCACTCATGATGTATATACAATATTTCTGTGTGTGTCTGTGTGTGTCTGGAGTCGGAAAGGGTCCACACCCGAAGGAGGTCTGTGTGTGTAGATTGAGTCGCGGTGAGGGGTGCGCCACGTTTGATCATGCCCGGTAGAATAAATCTCCGGAAATTTACTTTTAGAACAAAACATTTCGCAGCAGTGCTCGCTTACTCCGGATAACGAAAGGCGCAAGTGACACGATCAAAGCGAATGTTTTCATGTCGATCAAAGAAGACAGATAAAGAAACGTGTGCTTTTGGCAAAAGAGAAACTGACTGCATATGTACACATGGATATATGGACGTGTGTAGCACCTGCAATATGCGATAGCCCCAAATCTTTCTTTGTGAGAGGGAAGGAGGAAATAGATGGCAATTGGGGTTATTGAAAGAAAAAGGCAATGGAAATCGAAAATAGCGTGTATCTTTAAAGCTTAGCAAGGTTGTTTTTCGTCTTGCTTGTCCAACTGAGTATCACACATCCAGCAGGGAGAGGACAACACAGAATGACAAAGTTGTTATCTACTTGTGTAACATTGATCTCCACAGTTACGGTTGAGCGGTCATCCAAATTCTATTCTGTAACGCAACTGTTTTTGGTAGGCACCGAGATAACAAGAGTGAGAGAGAGAGTCCGTAAAAGCCAGTTCCGGGTCGCCCGCTGTACAACTTCTTTCTTTTCTTCTCATGAACACGTTACAATCAGAGACCAACGATGTTACTGCAGCTGCAGCAACTCACGGCTGTCTTGTCCAAGCTGGCATTTTGGGCCAATTCTACCATGCACAAGCCGAAGACATTTTGACTGACGACGACCTATTGGATTTATTTCGCATTGTCAAGCAAATCTTGCGCAAAAAGCCAGATACCGACCGTGTAGCCAAACTGTTGTTTTGCGTGTCGTATGCATTGGGTGATAGCGTCAAGTTTAGCAAGGCTATCCACGATGATAGGATCGTGTTTCGCGACTGTAATCATCATATGGGTACTGTCGTGTTGCCACCAGGAACGAGTGCAACCTGTTGCAACGGCGGTGGTGTTGTAGTCAGCAACAACTCCAACAATAATAACAACAACAACAACCATAACAATGCTACGGCTCATACTGTCATGAGCGCCTCAAGTAACAGCAGTAGCAGTATTTCCAGCTACCCACAGCAACAGCAACAGCAACAGCAACAAGAGGACGATCAGTGGTCGTCTTCCACATCCCCATTATCGCGCCTATTTTCAAGTAGTGGTATTGATACCCCTGTCACTGAGAATGCCTCGACCGAATCTTTTCGAAGTTATACCCAGTTCCCTACACCCCCATCTCAATCGTCATCGTCTTCTCAACATCACCATCACCATCAACCACAGCCACAACCACAGTTACAACCGACTACTCCACAGCACCAACAACCTCAGCAGCTAACACAGCAACAGCAGGAAGATCCAATGCAAAAGTATCCTTATCTGCGTACGTTGCTAAGCAACGCGTTGACAGGAAACGCAAATGAAGTCTTGATGGAGCCCAAACAACGCGGATTCTATTACCAGGATGGCCAAATTGCGCGTGAGCCTGCATTGCTACAACGCTATGCGGAACAGGGCGTATTGACGCAAGCGTCCCTGATGCGGAAACGGAAACGACAGTTACCCGACTTTAATTTTCCATACGAGCTTGCCACTTTACCCGCACCAGCAAAAAAATCTAAAATGCCTCATCGGCATGGTGAATTTGAACAAAGACGTAAGTTGCTCTTTGGGGGGAGGCGCCAGTCTAGGACATGCGGGTGTGTGGATTGTGTAAATGTACGTGCGTATGTGTACCTGCACCTGCCTTTTATGGGGGTGGAGGAAGGGGTGTGGGAAAAATGTATGTCCAGACAAGTAGCAGTACCTAAAGGAGTGGATGACGAGACAAAGAAGAACGGGAAAACCTAAACATTCTCTATGATGCAGGCGACGAAATAATCAGCCGAATGCGAAGCATTACCTTGTCCGACCTAGAACAAAAAGCACAGCGTCTGACGGATGATTTCAGCTTAGCCATAGAGTACGCCCCTGAAGTGACCGCGGACCCTGATCGAACACCTGAAGAAGCTGCCGATCTTCTAGAGCCGGCGCTCCGCATTTTGACGATCCACTCGAATATGAAGCCGCATCTCGACAATGGCATGAATCAAAATGGTATTTACTACAACGCCGATTATTTCCGTCTGTACCTAGCCTTTGAGCAGTTCCAATCACGGTTTGCGCTCCTGTATCCGAACGAGGTGGTCAAGCTCAACGAAGAACAGCAGCAACTCCAACAGGAACAACAGCAACAACAGCAACAGAATGATACCATGAGCAACAGCAGCATAATAGTAGCTAACGCTGCGGATCGCGACCGGGAACGCAATGCCAATATGAAAGCCTACCGCGGCTGGGTTGAGCCATTATTGACCGAAACGAACTGGGCCGCATTCCGACGCAATATCGTGGTAGGCGAGCGTATGAAGCAGCTGACCCAAGTGGTCGGCCAGGGCATGCTTTTGATGACCAAGGAACTCAGTGGCTCCAAACTGCATCTGACGTTTACAAACAATGAATGGGAGGAGTTTATCAATGGTCTGAGCGAGGGCAAATGGGACCATACCATCAAGTGGGACAGTGAGCCGCTGGCTATGCGCGGTAAAGATGGCGAATCGATGCTCGTCACTGAGCTGCAGCGCAAGTTTGGAACACAACATTGGTTCGGTGCGGATGGTAAAGTCACGTCACAAGACCAACGAAGAGTGTCATTACGGAATAGTGCGCGTCAGTCCGTCGATTCTCCCTCTTTGTCTGCTTCATCGTCCTCCTCGCCGGTCGTCGAGGACAACCACCAACGGCAAAATCAATGATCACAATTGTAATAACAGTGGTAATAGTAATGATGCAAAAGTGATGACAGATAAGAGTGTTGTACAGATATTGATAAAAGATATACCAGAGTTTGTTTGCTTTCTTTATACTTTCGAAAGCTGTTATTAGTATTACTATTACGGATGACAATGATTATGATGGAGAGATTGACGGAATCGTCAGCTCTATGTGGAAATAGGCAACAGAGAGATAAGGAAGTTGCTGTCAATGATAAGAGAATTCTTGTGGGGGTTGGTGCTGGAGGTAAGAGAAGGAAACTGATTGTACAGATAATAGAGATAACACGGAGTTAAATCTTTTTAGCGCCAATGCCGCCCTTTTTCTTTTCACGTAATTCGGCCATGCGCTATTAGGGAGTGTTTATGCTATCTCGTTAGCCACTTATCTCTGATGTGAGGCCAAACTGCCTAAAGTTTGCTATCTTCTTCTTTACCTGCCGCCTTTCTTCTCTTCTTCGTTCCATTTCCGCCCGCTTTTCTTCTTTTGACATAGCAGGAGCTGTCGTTGGGGGAGAATTTGTAAAACCACCACCACCACCAGTCTCTTCTTCTTCGTCAGCAACGAATGCTAAATATTCAAGTAACGATTTTTCTCACAAATCAGTTATCATCGCATTATATGCTGTGTCTACGTTCGTTTTTCCCGCGCCCATGCATTTCTTTCCCACAATATTACCTAATGGTTTGGGTTTGGTTTGACCTAATTTCATGGGAGCCCTGGTAGCAGAGTTGGTTGGCTGGGACGACGTCGCGGATCCGAATGTCGATACAGCTGCACGCGCACTGCCTGTTGAAGGTGGTACAATGGCTGTAATCGGCTCCGGTTCGGCTGTCGACGGTGCATCGAATGGTTCTATAATGCATCCAAAAAGGTATATCTTATCCATTAGAGAAACAGGGGGAAAACAGATAACCTTCTCTCATCCTTTGTGATACGATCATGGGAATCTCTATATATTTCAATTTCTGTCTTACCCCATCCATCGTTCTCTTCAAACCCAATTAGACCACCGTCATTTCCACCACCATTATCCCAGCCGTTGGTATCATCCATGTCTACAGGTGCTAGGTTTAGACGGTTCGATGCTGGCTTTGCAGCTGCAAAGGAGTCAGAGATAGGTGCCGATGAGGGTCGATATTCTTGTTGCTGTTGTGGTTGCTGATTGTTACTAGCGGCCATGGGATTGCTGTTGATCTCTCCACTAGGTGTAGAAAGCTGAACAGACAGTAGTCAGTATCAAAAAGAGGATATATTTTAAAATGTAGGATAATTACTCGAGCATTAAGGGATGACACGGCCCAGCCGGCTAAACCTTTAGTTGCTTCACCAAAAACACCAGTCATCGATACACCAGCCGCTTGTGCACTCGCTTCGGTACTAGGCGTAGGCGATGTCGTTGCAGAAACAGGCTCCAATGCGGTCTCCGGCTAATAGATATATTGATTAATATAATAAGGCTGAGAGCATCACATTACTAACATTTTCTTTTTTTGCATACCATTTTGTCTGCATGTTCTTGCAGACGAGTGATAAATACGTTAATTGCTTTAAACGCTTGCACGCGTACAGTCCTATGTATTCATTTTATAGTTAGCGAAAAAATATCAGGCATTCTTTTCTAATCATGATAACCCTGTATTGGTTACTTTTTCTTACTTTTCTTTATCAATCAATACTTGGGATATACAAGGTACAATTCTGCTGGAGCATTCTTGGACATCAAAATAATCGGATGTGGCTGTATGATAGAGAAAACACCCATTAGTTGTAGCAATTTATATAAGCACAATTACTTGCTTACCCATTAGTGCCATAAGAGCAGCTATTCGAGCATGGTGGAAGCCATCCCGAAGGCCTCTAGTAAATGCCGGAACGAGAACCTTTTTGCGAGTCTGTTAAGGATCAGAGAAGATACACTTAGCAAATCGATTTTTGAGACTTGGCCGATATAAAGGATATAACAATCCTACTGCTTTGAATAGCAGCACTTACTCCGTCATTCAAATGTTTTGCAATCTTGCCTAAACAAATCGTTGTATTTGTTCTAATACCAGGCTCTTCATCCACTTGTAATTTTGCCAAGTATTTCAGCAGATCATAGTTGATGATTCTGTCATTCAGCTATATGTAACAATGTCAGCTTCTGTTCCTGTGTAAAACTTTAAAGGAAAGCCATGTAGGGATGTTACCTTGGGAACAATATAGAGAATGGATTTGATAGTCTGTTCTCGGATTATCGGAACTGTATCTGTGAAGCCTGTCGCCTAAATTCATTGTTGCTTAGTGACAAAAACGATACCCAAAAACCCCTTTTCGCGTGTGTGTAATTTTTTTTTTGCCTTTCCGCGTACACAATTTTCAATATGATTTATTATTATTTTAAAAAAGCTTACCACATGAGGGAATATCTGATTGCTAACAGCCTTGTTGGGTATATGTTCAATAAACTTTGGCACGTTTTCGAGCAAACTGACACGGATAGCGCGATCCGGTGAAGCAAACATGCGTACAATAGGATCGACAATGACTTTTTCGTACTCCTCGTTATCCAAATGCTGACCAATCTTCAAGATAGCACCCAATGATTTTGCTCCACCGGATCCAAACTCAAAAGCCTTGACCAGTTCAGGCAAAATCTTGTACTTTGAAAATTCGCTCGGGAATGTATCGATTGAACTATCCAGCTTTCTGTGTAGCCACATACATATCATCTATTAAGTAACCTTATTCGAAGCCTCCAGACCTACCCTCTCCCATCGTTCTATGTAAGTGAAGCCCCAAGGATTCCTCATATATCCTTACCTAAAGAAGCCTTCACGTTCGCTCTGCTCCTTGATACTGATATTTTCCAAGAACAAATTGAACTGAACAAAATCTTGGGCGAAGAAGCTATGCAATCCTTCGTCAATAAACGCATCTGCGTCAGCTCGACCAGCGGGAGATACACGAAGCAACGCTCGGTAGATTTCCAGCATGGCAGGTGGAATATTACCACGCTGCGTTAGCAGTTGATCCGTAGTGTCAAATCGGTTGTTGTATGCTTCATAGATAAGACATCCTAGATGATATGAATCGATAGCTGCTGTAGGCAAACTATTTTTGAGAAATATGGCGTTGAGCACTTTTATCAGTAAAATTGAGGGATGGCTACTTGGTGAATGCCATTTTACTCTTACTCTTTGATAGCAGTCCATCCAGATTTTTTGACTTCAGGCGGTGCATAACGCTGCGCTTCGGGTGCTAAACCACCAAATGTCTAAAGAACCATATCACCATTAGATTTCTGAGGCTACCATATACTTGGACCAGTATTAGAACGTCATTGTACCAGAATCATAGGGCTTTCTTCTTTCATGGATGAAAGTAGCTCAAATCCACCGAGTTTCCATTCGCCTGCTTGATTGATAAAGATCGATGCTACTCGTACGTTGCCATGCACCATCCCACAATCGTTGTTGATAAACTTCAATGCGTTCTAAATGAGAACATACATAGTTTAACATATGCATCCATGGATATAGATACAATTTCGAGTTCACCAGAAAAATTATAGAAACGTACTGCCACTTTATATAGTCCCCACAGCGTCAAATTCGGGTCTGGATCTTGATTTAATTGATTTGATAAGGGTTGGATAGGATCTGTGACAAACATGATCGCTTGATCTGTCTGTATTATGGGAAAAACCGACATGTGTTCAAATTTATAGCACACTGTACATAGTTTCTCTCACGTGTATGTGGCAAAACAGGTGTAATATGTACCTCGGCACCGTCGATATATCGTAACAGATCGGGATGACGCATAGTTCGAATACGTTTAAAAGCATTGCGTGCCAACGCTACCTTGTCTCGGTTTTTTGTGCAGTCGAACGTGAATACTGATACAGGCGATCCGTCGTCCTAATTGACAGTTAAAAAGTTATTGCTTTGAGCATTGTTGTAATATAACGATCGGGAGGGGTGGGTTATTCTTTTTTACTTTTCGTGTTCCGTGATGCAGGGACCAGATGGATTGGTCCTCATACCAGTCGACTTTGGCACCAACGCTAAACGGGAAGGAAGCGGAATCTTTTCCGAGAAGTGATAAACCACTCTTCACAAAGCCGGATAGAAATGCCATTCTTTTGTGTGTTATGTTCCTGTGTTTTCTATTGTTACAGCACACACACAAAAAAGTAGTTGCTGCCCTCAGACTCTATACAGAAAAGGAGAGACGGATAACTCCGTACAGACAGAGCTCACCCAAATAAATGTGTAAGCTGACCTGATATGGCGGACGGAACTGCGCACGCTTTAACGGCTTTCTTTATTCAGTTCCACTTTAAGCAAACGTCTAATGGCAACTTTACACTTACCTTCGCTCAAAACACAAAAATACGATAGACAGCTTCGGTTAGCAATTGGCCTTGAGAAGGAGTGTGAGAGAAAGAGAGAGAAATATGTTGTTCTTTATTGTAAACAAGCAATCATGTATAGGTTATGGGCGGCCACGGGTCAAACAGCACTCGAGAACGCCAAAATCTGTCTGCTCAATGCCACGTCAACCGGGTGTGAGATTCTCAAAAATCTTGTTTTACCGGGTACGTTCCTACAACTTCAAGCGAGCACGCAATTGTATGCGTCTTTTTTCGACTTGCCCTAATCTCCAAGGTACCAAATACCTACGTGTATATATTATGCAGGTATTGGTAGTGTTACTGTCGTGGACCATACCACGGTCAACGACACTGACATTCGTGCCAATTTCTTCCTAGAGCCTTCAAACATTAACCATTCCAAGGCTGAATCAGCTGCTGCTTTGCTCAAAGAACTCAATGAAGACGCGTCTGTTTCTTTTGAAAACAAGGTAAGATACACGTTTTAGTACATTTGATGGCTGACAAATATCTATGCACTTCATTCATGCAACTTGATAAATATCAGCCTACCTCAACTTTTTCTCCTTCTTTTTTTTTCTCCTAAATATGTATCTGTAACAAAACAACAACAGTGTGCTTCTGACTTGATTCGCACGCAACCCGAGTTCTTTGATCAATTCTCAATGGTGATTGCGACCAACCTTGTTGAACAAGACGTTTTGGCTTTGGGCGATATCTGTGACAAGACCAAGAAAACTCTCGTGACCGTTCATTGCAAAGGCCTTTTCGGCCTATTTCGAATCCAAGCACCTGAACATGCTGTGGTGGAAACACATCCAGAAAATGTGATCGACCTTCGTCTGGGCTGTCCTTTTAAAGAACTGCTTGCCTACGTAGATACTATTGATTTGGACTCGTTGGATCAAACTGACCATGGACATGTCCCCTTTGTCGTTGTCTTGCTCAAATACGTCAATGTGTGGAAGGAACAACATAATGGGCAGACACCACAAACCTATGGTGAACGTAACGAGCTCAAGAATTTGATCAAGAGTGGTATGCGTAAGTCAGACGAAGAGAATTTTGAAGAGGCAGTAGCAAATGTGTGGCGACTTTCATCAACAAGCACGGTAATGGTGGCTTCTCTCTTTACTCCTGCACACAACTTTAACTATAACTACGTAATTAATCTCTATAATGGTGTTTTGTGTATGTTCAACTGTACGTACTATAGGTCGACTCTAGCGTTCGAGAAATATTGGAAGATCCAGCAGCACAAAACCTCGAATCGAATGTAAATTAACAACTCTGCATACCTACGATCAAACCACACACACCTGCTCACATTGCGTGATCTATATATATGTAGTCAGACAGCTTCTGGATTATTACTCGAGCGATCAAAGACTTTGTCGATAACGAAGGTGAAGGTCAGCTCCCGCTTTCTGGCAAACTTCCAGACATGAAATCAGATACGGAAAACTATATCGACTTGCAAAATGTGTATGTACTCCTTTCGCCCTATATTTACAATTGGGAGTTTCGGGAAAGAGGAGGTATACCTTTAAAAATTATAATCTAAGAAACAATCATGTAGCTTCCGACAAAAGGCTATGGCAGACCTGGCAGCAGTAAAGGAACGGGTTGAGAGATTGCTGGAACAATTAAAGATGCCGATAGACAGTATACCTGATGGTGTAATAGAAGGCTATTGCAAGAACGCTGCGACTATTAAAGTGATACGATACCGAACTCTTCGAGACGAATATGTGACTCCATCGACAGACAACTTGGGTAATGATCATCAGCGGATTGTGTGGAAGAGGAAATCCCATTTTACAAGTAAAGACTTACGCTTGTATTATCTTTAAGTTTCATGGCTAAGAGCGGATGAAAACATTATTTTTTATATTCTTTTCCGTGCTGCTGAAAAGTTTGCTGCCAAACATAACAGATACCCAGGTAGCATAACACATCGAGTTATACCTATCCACATATGGTTTCTGTATTAACCCTATACACGTGCTATGTTCTGTGTATAATAGGCGCAGCTGGAGGTAGCAAAGAAGAAGACATCGACTTATTGACAGAACAGGCAGTCGAGGTGCTAAAAGATCTAGGTGTAAGCGAAGGCTCACATCTGCTAGGGTCCGAGTTTGTACAAAGATGTATTAAGAACTAGTAAGTGTTTGTTTTAGTGACATTTAAAGAAAGAAAAATGTCACCCTAGTTGTATAGATTTGACCAACGAGAAAAAATAACTCTTAAAAACTTAGTGTTCAATCTGCCGACCGAGAAATGGCCAACATGGCGGCTCTGATGGGTGGATTGATTGCCCAAGAGGCTATCAAACTGATTACCCGTCAATATGTTCCTATCAACAACACATGTATCTTTAACGGCATTGCATCCACTAGCAACATCTATGCTTTGTAAAAGAGGAAATACAAATCGAAATGTAAAAGCTATGTGGGTTATTCTTATGGGATATTAAAGTACGCAGCCGGGAAATCAGATGCCGTCGATCCGAGTTTACGGTTTGATGGAACAACAGCTGTATTATTTGTCGGTAATCTTATCCTGCGGCGGGCTGCTCTCTATTTCTCACTAGATTCAGAATAAGTCCGCTGCCTGCATTTCCACAGGCCTTTTTGTTCTCGCATCTCCCATTTTTCTTCCAACCAGAGCTTTAGTCTTGAGTGCAGAGTTTCAAAATGTCTTACATTAACTCTCTGAACCTCTTGGGAACAGACCCGCCGAACGACATTTCGGAAGAGACGCTGACCGAAGAACTGTCCTTGTGGGCTAATGCGCAATTTACGTTTGACAGCGAACCTGGATCAGCTCTTTTGGACGATCTCACCAAAGAAGCAAAGTCGTCGGCAGCTTCTTCCAAGACTGACCATGCTGATCTCTTTGCTACACTTGCAGAGTTTGGTAATAATATAACTACTGTTTCTTGCAAGCTACAAGCGGTGCTACCGTGATAATAGAAAGCTAGTTAGTCAAAAGCTTATTAGCTTGACTATATACACGGCAAAGATCATTTTTCCTTTTATTCTGATATATTACATTTGAATCTGCAGGCCAACAGCATCACCACCAACACCAGCCTCAGCCTGAACAGCAATCGTATCTTCCCTCAACTACGGCGACGTCAACGACGACACATACGGCCGCTACGTCGACCGCAAACAGTTACATTTTGCCTCAAATCACTCAACATCATCCTACACCCCAGCAGCAACACCTGCCACGTATTGCGCCAGCACCTGGTTTGCATATCCCAATTACTCCCAACTGGTCAATGTCGTCGTCTCCTTTGACGCCAACTGCGTCGAGCTCGACATTGAATACTTGTTCGTCACGCAAGCGTAAACAGCCACCAACAACAACGACAAACAACAACAACACTAGCTCAAGCGGTGATGGCAACATCACCTCTTCGTCATCTGAAACCAACGATTCGGAAAAGTTCCTCGCCGAAGAGGATAAGCGTCGTCGAAACACAGCAGCATCTGCTCGCTTCCGTATGAAGAAGAAGATGCGAGAGCAAGCGTTAGAACAGACGGCCAAGGAGATGTCTGACAAGGCAGAAGAGCTTGAGAAGCGAGTCAAGGAACTGGAACTGGAAGCCAAATGGCTTCGTGCACTTGTTGTAGAAAAGGATCCGAAGCTTTTAGATAAGCCTACTAGCTTTCCTTCTGAAACTTCCTAAGTAAAATTTCTTCTCTTTCTATCTCTATGTGTTATTGGCTGCGTTCTTTGCTTTGTTTCCCTCTTTCTTCAGACCCCTCCGCAAAGCTCTCTCTCATGTAAAACAAAAACTATTATCGCTTTTAAGTTCGTTTGAGTGCCCTACTTATTTAACATGAAAACATCTGTCACAATACAATGTACGTATATTAGGTCTATTCTTATCGTACTCTCATGTGTGTGTGTACCCCAGGAAAATTGCATATTTTGCTGCCGAACTTGCGTGATTATGGATCCCGCTGATTGGTTGGCACTCACACAGCTATCAATATTTTTATTGTGGTCAAGATTTAAAAGTGCTCTTTTTTTATTCTTTAAGTTTTTTCTTGGTTTCTTCTTGTAGATCCTTGACGGACTTGGGATCGTTGTCCTGATCTGCCTTGACCTATACACACAACACAGAGGGCTCTTTTTAGAAACAAGAAAGAGAGACATCTTCTGCACGACACCTACAGCTGCTTCACTTTCCGAGGCCAGTTTTTCGTTCCATTCCTTATGACCCGATTTGTGATTCTTTTCTTTTTCTTCTTCAATAACCTTCGGATCGTTGTTTGACATATGCGAATACGAAGTCATACATCGTTGTTGAGATGATGATGCTATTGGTACTATTCGGGTTTTTGCTGCGGTTGCTAGAAGACGGGAGGTCTTGAGAGATTGCTGACAGGCGATATTCATTGTGCAAGTGTGTTTATACAGAAAACGTAATTAAAATAGGGAAAACGACCGTACTGTTATATGATTATTTATCGTTGTGCGGCTTTGAGACCCTTTTCTTCTGATGTCATGGTGACTTTGGGACTTATGGCGTAGCATAGCGTCATAGCGCTTTCAAGGGTTTCATTTTTTGATTTATTTAACGCGGTACACTTTTTACGTACTTATCCAATAGAAAATACCGGATGAAGTTTAGATCCAATGCTAAAATCATGTAGTTTGATCGTTTCATATGCATCTGCTCCCACTCACACCCATCACACTTCTTCTCTCTTCCAAGTGCTGCATGATGGGACAACCGCAAGAAAGGAAAAACACTTGCCGCATCTTCCGCTTTATTGAAAGGGCGCTCGTGCCATGATGCATCGCTTCACCGAATCCCCGCGTCAACAATGGTAAATGTTGTACCGTATTCCATTTTATCGTCATCAGTAGTAGCGTCATACAAAAGTACCGACAAAAAGATCAAGTGTCCCGTTATATTGCTTACTTAGCATATTGCTGGCTTGACATTGAATAAAACAAGGTAGATAGCTGTATGCACTTAGACTTGATCATAAGGTTTATTGGTTCACTTTGTCTACATCCTATCATGTAATGCATGACAACAGCATTTAGTAGGGCTTCAATAGCATCGCCCACATAAGCTTCAGAGAGATTACCAAAAGCTTTACCGCGTACGCTTCAGAGAAGGTGATTGGAAATATTGGTCCTGCATCTTACAACGTCCTTATTCATATGAGCTTAACTGATCAAGTAATAATGAATCTACGCAGACCTGAAACCAATTCAATCAAATCCAGGCAGCAACGGATAACACATTTACCTGCTCGTTTCTTATACCCAACAGCAGTTTCCCGTTTTCTACTACACCTTTAACCTTTTCCCTCTGCGTCCGAGCACCAGAGGTTTTTATGCAGCGAGCTGCGACACCACCATTGTTCTTTCGTTTGGGCGAGCATATGTCAAGTTCTTGACGCGGCTCATCACTGCCTTTTAATAAAACACTTTCAACTACTGCTACTTGTCTAGTACTGCGATATGCAGTACACAGGACAAAAAAGCATCTCGGATTTTGTAATATGAGCCTGCAATTATGATTTTTGTAAGTGTAGGTGCCGGGACGAGAACCATTCGGTCTTTCCCATGGTAGCTCGACGAAAAATGTCTTACAAAGAGGTTGTTTTGATTCTGTTTGGGTTTATGATATGGACTATATCAGGTGTATAATGGATTCAAGTAAATAAGCTGCTTCATTTATCGCGTTTTACACTGTCCAATGTCAGCTCGAATCTCTACGTGCGCGCCGCTGTATGTGCGCTTCCTCGCTTCTTTCTATTGCGTCTCCTTTACACAACGGTATCCCTGCCCCAAATCTTGTGGTCCAGAAGACGTTTTGTAGATTTATTCGCCCATGGTCAACGTATACTTTTCTGACAGATCAATAAAGCAAATGTCAAGATACCACACCTCTGAGCGCTTGAGTATGTCTCCCAATGACCCTTCTCCCTCCAAGTAAATGTGGTTTTGTTCAGGTAAATTAAATTAAGGAGTCGCTTGCTTTAACGATAGTCGCATTGCAGGGTATCTGAGCAAGACCTTACTTGATAATATCTGTTGACAAGTCTGTCGCGCTCATTGACAATCTGAGTGATTAAGGCAATGTTGGAGGCCTGGCTAAAAGAGCATATTTTTCCAAGGCAGGTATTCGTTCTAAGGAGGATTGACCCGTGACTTTACTGTCACGATGTGACCTAAGTAAAATCTTAGTTTTCGGGTTTGGGTTATGTGCGCGGGGGTGTGTGCTGTGTGTATTTCTGCACAGTGTGTGTGAGAATGTGTGCGTGAGTCAGAGAGCGTGAACTATATTATGGGCGTAGCGTGTGCGTGCGTAGTGTGTTTGTAGATGTGTGATGTAAAAAATGGGTGAGGTAGAATAAATAAACAAATAAACATCCACATGCAACTGTGCATTTTGTACCTTATCTTCCCTTTTCTGCATGCTGTCATTTGACTTCCGAGAAAAGCTTGGCCTATCATTGGTGTATGTGTACTACAATGAGAGGCGATATCACTGTCTGCTGGTCATGTATTCCTCCATCCACCATTTCTCGGACCTATTCGCTGTCTATAAAAAAACACAAAAAGCACACGACCTCACGTTCCCTCGCGTTTCTATCTCCCCTCTTTCTCCTTCCGAAACTTATTAAAAAAAAATCTACCATGGCAGTTGAAACCGAAGCCAGCACTCCATTGCAGCGAATGGTAAGCACACCGCAGTCCATTCCACACTCTCATAGCAACACTTCCACCAAAGACCGCAGCGGAATCTCTCTAGATGTTCCCACTTGCTCTACCGAAATTGATCTCACGCAAGTATTCATTTCCTCATAGCGCCTCCCGCAAATTCCTCATTTCTTTCTTTCTTCTTCAAGGCGTTCACTCTCTTATTAACTAATTGTACTTTTTATTTTTTTAGGGTTTTGAAAGGCCCGGCACTCGAAACCGCTGTAACCAAGCTACTAAGAACATTGTTTCCAGGGCTAGTTAGCCCACATCAAAAGATTGCCATGGAGCGAGTGAGTGGCGCCTTGACAAAGTAAAATTCATGTTTCACTTGTTGCATCATGGGGTTCACGTTCTATCGCACATGGAAGCTAACGCTGTATGTGTATGTGTCCGTATGTGCTACCAGTGCGATCTATTTTGTAACGGTCGGTAAAAGTAAACTGTTACTTCGAGTATACGGAGTCGGATGCGACGAATTCATTGATAGAACAAACGAGCTTCGGTGGTTGGCACGCCTGTCAAGACTCAAGCTTTGTCCGCGCTTATTGGCCATTTTTGGCAATGGCCGATTTGAGGAATACCTGCCCTCCACTACACTCACTGCAAGTGACATTCACGACCCAATGATATCTCAACAACTGGCGCTGCGATTCCGTCAGTTACATTCACTTGTCCATGTATATCCACTAGCCATTTCAAGCAATACTACTATTTCTACATCGTTATCCGTGTGGCAATGCGTGGATCGGTATTTTCATGCTTTACAGCAGTCAGCAGCTCAAATGCCAGAACAAGTCAATATGGCAGCTTTAGGTCACGAGATTACCATGGCCAAATCGATACTGACCGCGGTGGATAGTCCGATTGTATTTGCCCACAACGACGTAAGCGTGCATATTTCATTACTGCTGTTATCATGTGGGACAGAGGTTCTAAATGGAGAACGTTCTTCTCCCTGGTTTTAGGCGCAGTACGGAAATGTTCTTCGTTTGACTGGATCCAATGATCTGGTAATGGTCGACTTTGAATACTCTGGATACAATCCGCGTGGGTATGACTTTGCCAACCATTTCTGTGAATGGATGTACGACTACCATAGCGAAACTCCTGAGAGTATGGACCCCAGCATGTTTCCTTCTATTGACGAGCAACGTCGTTTTTTGACTGCTTATGTCACTGCTACTGGTGCTGATAACAATAATAAACAGCAGATGATGATGAAGAAGGTGGGGGATGTTGACGCGCTTCTTCAAGAAACTTCAGCATGGCTCATGGGGTGCCATCTTCATTGGGCACTGTGGGGTTTTGTACAAGCGACTCGAAGCGAAATTGATTTTGATTACTGGTCATACTCTCTCCAACGTCTCCAAGCGTTCCGTAAAGAACTTGCTTTTTACAAGTAATTTATTTCAGTCTTCATCTTTTTCAAACCTGCACTCGATCCCTTGCTACCCCTTCTTCCTCATGATTCAACAACTATAATTCCGATCTATCATGTATATCTTGTTTAGCTATCACCCTCTATACTACAAAGTCGCTGAGCGTACTACCCACATATGTAATAATCTCTCCTATGTTAATAATAAACTATATATACTTTGTACATTTTACAACCTTAACAAGTCTTTCCCATTGAATATGTCTTGATTTTATCACGTCGTGACATTTGATTCTGAAACAACTTAATAACTCGTGCGAAAAAAGAAAAAGTCATACATGCAGTAACAAATGGAGCTTGACTACGGATGATAACTACTACACTGGTCGATTGACACATGATGCTAAAAGGCCGAAATAAGAGCTATCACTGCTTTGTGTCGTTATCAGCGCACACTACATGGGACATCGTATGTTCTGACCAGGATATACACTGCAGGGCATTGATTTCTTCTCTAGAGGTCAATGGCGCAGCTGTACCAGTTATCTTCCAATAGCATCTTGCACTCGAATAAGCGCAGTTTTCATTTCGTCCTACTGTATTCTATGGCTGTAGTGTGGCATTTGTACATCAATTTCTGGCATCAGGATGAACGATAATCCACAACACAAGCCCTTTTTGCAAAGTAGGCTGACCCATCCGCATTACATGTCAAGGGTTGTATACGACATTTGAATCATTTTTACTAGTCGCAGTTTCAATCACAACTTCCCTTTATTGAGATAGAGAACCCTGTTATTGTTTGTATGAAACTGCACTCTTTTTATCCCACATAAATTTCACTCCTTGTTGCATTTCCCAACTCTCTTTTTACGCGAGCGCCACATCATTTTCATTGGCTCAAGCCATGACCGACAACAACAATAACTCGCAGCCACTCCTTCAGCATCATTCCCACGACGTCTATGGTGCCAACCCAACCTTGGCAGCTGCAGCTGCTGCCGCCGCTTCATCATTCGATCACGCCCAAGTCGAATCGTACGATCAACGTCAGCCCTCCCAACATTTAAGCTACCAACAGCCTGGTTATCCCATGGCAAGTGTAAAATCCCACCCCTTGCTCGTGCACACACACATTCAACCCACGGACACGGATACCTGTACACGTGTGCACACTCAGCAACACGCTTCGTTGTACTCGACGCGTAACGTAACAGACTATAATAGAAAGCACTGACTATCTCTCGTCTTTTTTACTTTTTTTTTTCTGTAGACTTCAGTGATGTCATCACCACAACAACGACATGCTATTCATCGACCTCCTGAAGAACAACAGCAGCCGCAACAGCAGCAGGCGCCTGCACCCCCACCACCTATGGCAGGCTTTCAACGAACGCCACCACCGGTGGAAGCTGTTGAAGAACCCCTTTACGTCAACGCCAAACAATATCATCGTATATTGAAACGACGCGCTGCTAGAGCCAGATTGGAAGAATTAAATAAGGTAGCACGGGCAAGGAAACCGTATCTGCATGAAAGCCGCCATCGACACGCAATGCGTCGCCCAAGAGGTCCTGGTGGTCGATTTCTGAGTAGAGTATCATCCTTCTTTTTGCTTTGGTCCTTTCCAGTCATGATGGTCAGCAGACGATGAAATTAACTAAGCTTTTTCTTTTATGCAGCCGCCCAAGAGGTTGCAGAATTGGAAAAGGAGGGCAAGTTGCCGTCGCAACAACCAGAGCAACATGCAGATGCTGGCAGAAGTCCATCAGAGCCTAAGGAGGAAGAGAAGCCGCCTGCACAAAATATTCGTCCACAGCCACAGGCTCCATCTGCTCCAGCACCACCGCCACCATCATGGAGCGAGCATATGGGATACGGTCATATCGACCCCCAGCAGCACGAGCAACACCACCAGCATCATCAGTAGCACCAGTAGTAGCACATAAATAATCATCACGTACAGTATACCGCAAGTCACCCCTTCTATCCCTCTTCCCTGTCTTTTAAGAATCGCCATCATCATCCATACGCACACGCACTCTCTATCCTAATAAGATAACGGATCCGCTGTAAACGATTGCAATTAATTACACACCATAAAAGTTGTTGTTTTTTATATTTTATATATACATTAGAGAAAAATACGTGTTTCGTCTAAAAGTTATCAAAGTTGCCATAGCCACCACCCATTGTTTTCTTGGCCCTTTTCGGCGGCACTATCTCTTCTATGGCTTCAGGGAGAGTGCCATCGTGATCATTTCTAGAAGCAGCGGCTTGAAGGTACTTGCCGACACCGCCACTTCCCGCAGGAGCAGGCTTTTGCTGTGTAGATGGTATACCTCTCTTTTTGGGGTTACCCGTATTCAGACCAAACCAGCCCATAGTATCCTCCTTTTCTTGCTTTCTCCGTCGCTCTGCTTCTTCCTCATCGGCATTCGCTTCGTGTGCAAGTTTACGCTTCAGTCGAGACTGGTATTCTTCGAATGGATCGACAAAGACAGATACTTGCTTGATTCGGATATCGCGTTCCGGTCGGTCATTGTCGTTTACTGGGACAGCTTCCGTCTTGTTTAAAACATCCAATCCACCAACGACACGACCAAAGATTGTGTGTTTTCCGTCCAAATGCGTGCATGGTCGATAAGTAATAAAGCTATGGAAATAGACAAAAGTTAGTAGTGAGATCGAAACTTACATGGATACACTGCTCTTATCCGTAACTTACAATTGGGATCCGTTGGTGTCTTTTCCTTTGTTGGCCATACTGAGGATACCTCGGTCATCGTGGGACAAGCTTGACTTGATGGCGTCTTTGAAGGGTGTTTTCCAGTAGGATTCGCCACCCTTGCCCGTTCCTGTAGGATCACCACCTTGAATCTGATAACGAGATATTGTTAATAACAAGTTCCTTTCGATCTGCGCATTTCAAGCCGATGACTAATACCTACCATAAAGTTTTTAATGTTACGATGAAATACAGTATCATTATAGTAGCCAGACTTGGCTAGCAAAATAAAGTTATGACATGCTTCCGGTATCTAACATTTTCAAATCAAATAGAGAACATTTAATTGCAAGCTCCCAACCCAAAGCTTCCACGCATTTCTCTCTTTCTCTCACATTCCAGTGCGCAGAGTTAGAAAGAAAAGTCCTTACTTTGTCACAATACAGCTCCAGGTTCAAGTTTCCAAAATTTGTGATCAAACGTGCATAGCCCTTTGTCTTGATACGTTTGTACATGAAAATGTCCTCATCAATCAAAGCCTTCTCGTTCAAAGTGACGGGTGTCATGGCCGACGATGTGAAAGAGGCAGCGACACGACCCGTTGAGAAGTGTGCGGCATTGTATGCTTGACTAGCTTTCTTTTGTTCAAAATGAGGCCTGCTTTTATCCTCTGGTGCCTTTTTGACGACGGACGTAGACTCGGGCGTGCCAGATCTGCTGCCTTCACTTTCTCCTCCACTCTCTTCCTTTTTCTTTTTCTGTAATTCAGCCAACACGCGTCCTGTTGCTCCAAGGCCTTTGACGTTGATATTGTTGGTAACTTCTCGTTTTGCGCGTTCCTCGGCTATTAGCAAAAAAGGATGATAGTTAGAATCTTTCCTATTTCCGCTTCATGCAAACATAGCTCTATTATTACGGATCGCACTATTCTTACCTTCATTTACGACCTTCAGGTCATTGTTGAGATAGTGGAACTTTGACATATTGCGGTTATCCAAGTTATGTGGATCCTTATTTAAACAAACAATTAAGTTTTCTGCTTTTGGTAACACTGTACTATGCTACAGGTTCTATCGCGCTCCCAACCCAACCCACCACTGACGGCTCCTGGTAAAATAGTCACCTGAATCATGATAATATCCTTCTTAGTGAAGGGTTCATCTGTCAACAAATCCTTCATGTGCTTTGCCTTGACATTAAGTCGCTCAATCGTATCGTAGGCAAACACATTCCCGGTCGTTTTGATGGCTGCAATCGCTGTATGATCAGAAAACACCTTGTACGTGACAGGACAATAAAACTCATCCTTGTCGTTTTTATAAAAGTTGAGCTTGATCAAATTCTTGGTGTCAAGTTTTTCACCAGTGACAGGATTCGTGCCGTATTTCTTGATATATGGGATAATGTAAACCAGATCGAAAATAATGCCCTCGGGTGTGCAAACAGGATGTTCGAACGGTTGGAGCGAAAGTGAACAGCAGTAAAAAGGTAGTCGTTTAAATCCTGCGTTACCAGATCGACCTGTCGTGCCAGACGATGCCGAGTGCTGACCCACTTCGCCACTCCATTCCGAATGGGTAATGTAAAGTTTGTCAGTCCACTTGCCCATATTTTATTGAAGTTGTGTGTGATTGTCGGGGAAGAAGAAAATGGAACTGTTTATGCGCTTTGAAAATTTGAAGTTCCAGAATTCGACTGCTGTCATGCCACCTCTCAAGATCGCAGCAAAATATCACTCACACCACACGTCGTTTTCGTGAGTAATTAGAAGTGCGATACATGCTCGTCGAGTACCCTTTAGAGCCCTTTTACTCATGATCCCTCCATGTGATGAGTGCTATTATATATAGATATGTTGCAGAGGTAACTGGATGTTGCTGTCTTTTTCATGCTATACGTTATAGATTTGCATTCACTTTTAAGAGGAGCGAAATATGTATAGACATGGGACTGCTTCTCTTTGTCCGTGAGTTATTGAATCGTCAAAAGCTTTAGTTAAAGCAAAAAGAGAACAGATATATCCCGTTCCAGCCACCGGCGCTGGTAAATAGGTGATATGGTACGCTATCACCGGGTAAGTAAAAAATGTTCGCCCGAAAGAGCATAATGCGAATAACGCGAGATGTGGCGCACGAAATTGCCAAAGATCTAAGCTCACATAAACACAAAAGCGTGCACGTCCGTAAATTCTTCTTTTATTTACTATTATCGATAAACATACCCTTTTCCCTCTACTTTATTTCATAAGCGATTGTTAGCGATGTCTACCGGCCATTTTTCACTCTAATTAATATTTCATCATTGGCTCTCTGATGCACTTCCAAATGTACTCTTCGTAGGTGTAGGACTTCTCGATGTTGCTATTGGCTTACTGGCAAGTTAAAATACGGAAGGAATTTCCCGGCGTGAAGACCAGGGCAACTCTTTGTGTGTACTGTTGCTTTTTGTTGCAATTTCTCATAGTCTGTTGGTGCTACCTTATTATCTGCTTTATGTGAGGTCCCTCGTACTGGATTTGTTGCTTCTTTCTCTCTCTCTTCGCTACTGCTTGGCTTCTTGTACATCCCTCGGATCTGTTTCTTGTCCTGTAGACAAGGTCCTTGTCGGCGGTACCGGATTGTGAGATACTTACCCTACCGCAGCCTTTTATCTAAAAAACTGACCTTTCTGTTGTTGCCGGAATCGATGGCAGCCCCAAGATGATATGTGGCCGCTCGCAAAGTTCCCCGATCCTCAAGCCTCGTTTTCCATCCATCATTATGGTTCCCCGACTCTATGCATATATTCTTGCTCAGACCGATCCTTATCGACGAATACCAACTGGTGGTGCTCTCGTTCCGATACTGATTACAAATCTGGGTTTGCTTATGGGATATGCTTTCATTTGGTTGAAACAAGTTACTGCTGCTGGCAAAGCCAAAAAGGGTCTTTCGAAGTACGGCGAAGTACTTCATATGTTACAATTCATTTTCTAGTGCTTGAGGAGTATTTACATCTATTCGTATAAGTAAACTTACCATTGCAACTTAATCAAGAGCAGCTGTGAGCCGGAACTTGATGCCAAGATGACCTACTTTGCTGGTAGTAACGGCAATACCTAATACGCCTCACATTCTCCCATTGCTACTTTTGGGACCAAGCTTTGTGCATAATCACGCGGTTATTCGTGAAAATGTTTAAAATACCATTACATTGGATAAGGTTATCCCTTCTCAATACAACAACCAAAAGGAAGGGGAAAAAATATGTATGCTGGACACTTTGCTTTGACGACGGTTTTACAACGATGGTTTCCCAACACTTCGCCTTACGTGCTGAGCTTTGGCGTCTGCTTCCCGGACATTGTCAATGGCATTCTCTCATACCACGGCATTGAAGGATTTACAAGGAATGCAAGTTCGGGATTATTAGGTGCCGATTTGCGATGCGACTATAGTCATAGCTTGAGCGGGCTGATTGCCTTATCTACTGTTTTTGCGGTTGTAACAAACAGTGGCGTTCCTGCGCTTGTCGCGTCGTTATCACACTTTGTGCTGGATTGGCTCGTGCATAATTCCGACCTGAAGCTAGACCCTCTATTTTACGATAACCAAATCATCGGCGGTACAGGATTTTGGGAAGCATATCCAGAGATGTCTTACTATTTCGAAGGCTTACTCTGTGTGTCATGTGCGCTCTACGCGAAAAAAGATAAGCTGACCATATCTGTTAATGCGATGATCCTTGCTTTGCATATCCAATTTCGTTTGTTGACCCCTAGTGTCCTGGAACAAGTACTGGCTATTGAGGATGTAGAGCAGCGGCAGAAATATGTTGGAATGGCACTTACCTCCTCTTTTGTAATTCCTGCTTTACTTTTTGGATATCTTTTGAGTAAAAGCAATGCTAGTAGAAGCGCTGAAGCTGACCGAAAGACTATTCTTGATGAAGCAAAAGCGAAATAGCAATAGCCGCTTTAGCTAATTTGAATAAACTCTGTATTATTATAGCCATATTATACTATCTACATCTAAAGATGCTTCTAAAGTTTGAAGCTGTCCAAGTATGCCTAAAGATACGCTAGCGTTAAATGTAGCTTCTCGTACATTCTTTCTCTGATTTCTTATGAAATCTTTCTCGTGATACAGTACTAAAGCAGAGTTGTTAAACATTGCTATAACGACTAATTTCTGTCTCCAGGGAGTATAACGCAACTGAGTAGTACTAACTTGCTGATTTTGTTTCTTTCAGACGGTTGATAAAACTATTAATATGTATTAATGTGACCATGAATGATGCCATAGTTGAAAAAGAATGCAGCCGCTATAATCACACGCCATAAGAGAGTAGAGACTAATAAATGTGGCCCCACAGATCTTTAGCAAAATATCTGCTTCTAACTAAACCTGACTTCTACAAGTATGTCATTGTGCAATATACTAAATCAAGCACCCGCTCAAGGCAATAAATACTCATAATTTACACGTAGTAGCCGCATAATCGGTTTATGTGAAGCCGTTAAAAGCTATGGCGAGGTAGTTAAGTACTTAAGAATAGCTAAGTCAACCACACATAAACATGGTATAACGAAACCGTCATCGTGCGGAGGAAAACACCAAAAATACGAATGTGGACGACGATGACGAAGACTACAGAGACTAGCTGAAACGTTTACAAGATCCCTTATACGCAATGTACAATGTATACCAAAGGAATTATACGCATATCAACAAACGGCGCTATAAACTTTGACTGACGTTGTCCTTTATCAAACCACAACTCTAAAATACTCCCGATATTTAGGTCTTCAATCGCACATTGCTGTGCATTGTCTTACGCTCACTAATGCGCGCAAAAAAAAGGGTCACTACAATATTGAAATGGGTTAAAGAAAATAGTAATTCGGCTGTTAAGATGCCACTTGTCTGACGAGTCAACTTCGAAGTTTGGGGAAATGATGGTGGTGTAAGAGTGCCAAGAGCAATTGGAGTGCGTTATGAAGAGATGCCCATTTTACCTGCTGTCAAATAGAGCACAGGATCATTACTGATTTGGTGCTGCTTTTGGGGAGGAGTTTACGACGAGCCTCTTGCAATCACGAATGGATCAGTAGGTCAGGGCGCCTATACTAACTGTCTACCCAATAAATTTTCTGTCATATTTCAGACACTAGAAGCTGAACACCATGAGCGCACTTTTATATCCTAGCAATATGGCGTGAGTTGCCACACTAGGTTATATGCGACATGGTTTTAGTCGCAATAGCAAATCAATTACTTTACCTACTACCCCGCACAAACCCTTGGTCTGAAACACTGAATCTCATTGAACATTCGTGCTGACATCCCCTTGAATAATAGTATATAATAGATTGCAAAAACCACATGAAGAATGTTATAGAACGACTGAAAGATTAGTTGCGTAAGAAATGGCAGGATCTGGGGTCTGGTTTTGCGAGAGACCTTATGGTAGCTAATGGACCCAGGCAGTATAAAGCAATAGCTAACGAACAAAAATTAACATATACACTGTTTACTTTTCCCGTATTAAAACCACCCATTCACATAATTCTTAATTGCATATCTGGTATTTACTAAGGAAAAATATAAAATGGTATAAAGTACCCTATTGTCCTGCGTCAAAATTGCGCGTCAGAATAGGCACGCGGACGCAGCGCAGCAACGACTCGCGTGTACCTCGCATACAACGACGATGAAGATCTAGAAGGAATAATTCAAATCATTATTTTTAACCATGCAAATAAACAAATTTGATTGGTCAAAAAAAATTAAAGAAAAAAAAAGAAGAGCAGATGATTTAGCCCTGTAAATGTCATTAATGAGCCCCTACTGGGGGTCGAACCCAGAATCTTCAGATTAGAAGTCTGACGCCTTATCCAATTAGGCTATAGGGGCGCAGTTGCTGTTCAATGTTGTGATTTTTATATGATCTACGTTTAATCTATTTTTTTAAATTTTTTGGTATTATTTATATAGTGCTTCTAAGAAGTAATGCCACAACCGATCGAAATTGCTTTTTACATTACAAAATAAAATCATACTATTACAGAACATTTAATAATAAAGGTACTCTTGTATCTGATATTGAATTTAATTTTGTTTTAATGTATTATTAATTACTTTTTCTTAATGTTAAATTACTTAATAAGAAAATAATTTTCAAAGAAACAGAATGTTACGAACATTCCTACTACTAAGTGATCATCCTCATCCTCGATGACCACATATTAAATCACTAAGTATCTATATCATCAATCATCATCCAAATAATCAACTTAATACCAATCTTTCTATTTATTTACATTATTATTATAAATTATAGAAAAGATGATATATATATATTATAGTCTTTACATAGTAAAATAGTTGTCAGTGTCGTAAACTAAGATCCGGTACAGACAGATGTCTTGATAGAAGGTTTCTCTTTACCGCACCGGGATCCAATAAGGGACATGGTTGCGCACATGCACCTAGCTGGATTGAAATGTGAATCCTTCATAAAACTCAGTAAAGAAACCAAGTATGAAACAACCGTCCAAGAACACATCTCAAACCATCATAAAAGTTTTTTATTCGTTCTTACAGCAAAGCACCAGTAAGGTCCTTGCTGACAAAGAAGTTGATAAGCTTTCCACCTTCAGATCTGTTTCTCCGTTAAGACCGAGTTCTCAAACAATGTTTGAAAGTTAGATATAAAAGAAGATAGTTTCTATAGCTGATATTGTACTTTGTTCAATCTTTTGAATATAATCCATTCTCAAACGACTTATTTGTCTTTGTTTATTTCGATTTACCACAGTCAGTTATCTTGATTACTTCCTATACCTTGTTCTTTGCTTCTTCCTCATTATCTAGATCTCTTCTACCTTCAAGTTTCCTTCTTGTCTTGTCCTATTCTTAGTAGTGGTGTTCTATAAACCTAGATTGGATTGAGTACAGCAGGTTCTACATGGATCCGATCTAGTTTAAGCATCAATAGATCGGATCGAGCGAGTGGGTAGGTAGATACAGATCCAATCTGTGGATCCAACTTATATGCTGAGGAGATACACTGCAAAAGTCTCTTTATTAAAAGAAAAAGTTATATAATAGAAAAGAATGAAATGGGTGTAAAAGCTCAGTATATTGAGCATGGCCAAGTAACTGCATTTTATATCATATAGGATACACGTATTACATATAAGAGATTACGAAACAGACATTGTTCTATAGTCGAAGCAGACCAAGAATGTAAAATTTGAGGTGTGGCAGCGTGAGTACATAACTTATTAGACTGGGTTTGTTCTGCTGACTACGCTTAGTCACTTTGCTGTGCTGCTATTCGTGCTACTCAATAAAGCTCGATTTAAACTGGTTACACGTTTTTGCAGAAGAGGATACATGGCCAAGCGTCTGATGAAGAACTCATAGAACCACTATCGGAAGCTCGCAAAGCAGTTCGAAACTTGCGAGAACAAGGGGCTCCAGATAATTACTAAGAGGTAACTTCACTCATTTAATAGATCATCATAGTGTATCTGGCTAAACGGTTATCAAAAAAATAGGAAGCTTACAAAAACGGATTTTGCGGATCGAATAATATCCCATGGACAGTGGTATCTTACTGTCTATCGAGTCCGTTGCCTACATGTTACGCCTAGGGTTCGTCATTCTCACTCGGCGATCCGTCTACTCGATTCGATCCGACCTCGAGTGAGCTAAAGGCGGATCCGATCCGATCCGTGGATCCGTCATTAAAAATGTGTGTAAATATGTGAAGTGATAATAGTGCAAGAGAAATTGTATTAGGAGCATTAAATATTTTATACAATGCCGTACTTTCCGTCCTATAGCTTTTTGTCTTCAAAGTGAAATTAATAGAAGGTTTTGCGAGGGCACAGAAAGTATAAATGGTAGTGCAGAAATGCCCTCATTAAGGTATCTAGAGATTGGCTAGAGATGAGGACCGTAATTTTTTGGCTGGTCGTAGAGTAGAGAGCAAAATCGGCGAGTAACAATGTAAATAAATTACTCATCTGGTTGTTAGATAAAGGATACTGGATCAGAGAACAGCATGTATAAAGATGGAGAGCCAAGGCTTCTCAGCATAAATTGTGAAGCAAAACGTTTATTACATAAGTTGTGAATAAACAACTGTCAAGACAGGTATGAGAGCATAAACAAGCTAAAAGTATATGCTTTGCTATCGAAGACGTTATGGTGCAAAGGACGTAATAAGAAAAGTCACATTATTTTTACCCTAGATCTGTGCTCTTTAAGTAAAACCGTATTCGTAGTAATGGTACTTGAGTTTGACGATTGCTTCGTGTAAAATTACAGACTCGATATAAAACGCGAAAAGGATGTACAATTAAACACATGCCAGTGCATCCATGCTTAAGTATCATAGTGTAAAACGTTTGGGGTAATAAAATAATACAGTAGAGTCAATGAATGGAGACTGATAGACTGGCCGGAATTATAGTATTCGAAGATAGCATAGGGAGCGCGTACCCATTGCTAACATCTTTGTGCCAAGATCCGTTAATTCGAGTAATCCCGGTCATCGTTATATCTACTATCGATAAGTTGCTGCGTAGCTACAGTTTTCAGTAGGCCGGAAATATTGTGAAGTGATGATAAGGATAAGCTATGTTGTTTCATATGGTTGTCATCTTGGTCAGAAGTATAGACTAGAACAGTCAATTGTTGCGTCGAATATGAGCTAAATTTGCTACGGCAGATCGACTACATACAAGAAATTCGATTCAAAAAGGGTAGTATTGTCGTCAAACACCGATAATGGTGCTAGTGGATGAAGCATCTTGCTCGATATTGGCAATATAAATTTGGCGAGAAATTGAATGCAATAGTAATACATTCGCCCTGGTGCACCGTATTGCTGCAGTTTTAAATGCTCATCGAGAATCTTGTGCACTTGTGCGACAGGGTCTTGTAACAAAAAAGACTATAAATGTACATCAGAGTGATGTTATCTATTACGGGATTTTGTGTATCAATTTCTTTTTGTTTGCATATGATGATCATACAAATATAATGATTGAAGGTAATATACATCACTATTGTTGACATTCATATGTGCGTGATAAAAATAGTAAGAAATTTTATTTAATCGTCAACTTTTCGCTTCGCGAATACTGTCGCACACCTGAGTTGTGGTGAATGCTCAACATTTTATTTGCTGTCACAACGACCACATGTGTTAGGCAACGTGCTGTGTGGGCGTGAAGTACCAAAAAAGACAGAACAATGTATCGATGAATATCGCCTATGGCCAGTGATTACAAGCAACTGGAACAAACCGTTTTAAAGCCGCTATCTGTACTCGCCCATTCATTGCTCTGGTCGGTTCTTATTGTCGCTATTATTTTCTCGTTTATAGTATGACGAAGAGGTTGATTGCGAGCAAAATAAACGAAGCGCTTAGAACGCCCAGCATATTTTGTTTATCTTGCCATGCTAATTTTACTGGTCCATAAGTTGTTACTGTAGACAATATTAAACTATGCACAATTATCATACAGTGAATCGGCAAAAGCAAACTCTGGATAACTGGACCGCGTTTTTCTCTTTATATCCGTCAACGGTATCAATTTAAAGGGGTGCCTTGACATAGCACTCGGGAGATCAAAAATTGAGCTGCATTTGTTGTTTGCCTGGGTTCCTGACGATTGAGCAATAAAAGTCTATTTATTGCTCATCACGAAAATTGCGAAAAGACAAAGAAGCGCAATTACCGGGAGTAAATCATGCGATATAAATTTAGAGTTCATCGTTTACATTGGATCAGTCAGTTATTGCCTTTCTAGTAGTAGCTGTTCTTCTTTGTTTGATTTTCCTATGCGATGTCCCAAAAATTCTGAATCAGCTCCCTCGGATAGCACATAGCCTTTTTTTTTTTCGTATTGAGAAAAAGTGTGCTATCGAGCAGCACAAAGCAAAGGCCATGATTCGGTGATTTGATAGAAAACACTGGAAAGGAAAGTAAGGTTGATGTTGGCTTATCATTCGTTTTAGGCCTAACTGCATGTGGAAATTGTTTTACCTTTTTTTTTTTTAAATGAAACGGTTATTTCAATGACAACAAAGGCAATATATGCAAAGCGAAGAAAGACGGCGATGATGTAATTGATTAACGAGGGCAGCAGATAAAGAAACAGGCTCCTCATGCAGCATTATCACGGCTTAGTAAGATAAGCCTTGAAAGAGGGCCTATTTGCAACGAACAGGCGACGTGTGTAAATGATAAAGAAGGCGAGAGAGACTTTTGCTGTGAGGTGCACATTGAACAAACAAAAACGATTGGTCGAACTGGCAACAATTAAAAAAGAAGCAGAGATAACCATTCGAGAGATAGGGTGTGAGCACAACCCCAATAATTAAAAAATTTCGCAGGTACGAAAATTTTTTTATGAGTAATCCGCACACCGAATCAACCAATGAAGCCATGCTATGATGCTATTAAAGACGTCCTTTGTGCCAACCAGCCAGCCAGCCAGCCAACCAGCCGACCCATTAAACACATGTTGGAGTCATCACTTATACATGCATGTTGGTGCATGCTGATGCATCCACCTTCATAGAGTACATATGCCCGCGCTTCTTGGCTCTTAGGAAATGAACGACAGCAGAGTGCATGTACAACAAGACGTATGTTACTCAGCATCTTGGTTATCATTTGCCATTATAAGAAAAGAAAGGGTATATTTGGCATGCAAGACAATATTATTGAAACGTCCCTCTGTTGTTATTATCTGATCGACGAAAGTATCGGAATTCACCACGTACCAGCACGAGACTTGGGTTGCTGCACGTGTATTAGAGTAGAAGGGCGTAGAAAACAAGAAAAACGGTTGGCTAGCGAAAAGATCATCCATCGGTTAAAACAGCCGACTCCGCAAACGTACCCAAAGATTTTCATCGCCGGCCCGGCTTCTTTTGATAGTGCATTTCTTGTAATATGTGATCTTGATAGCGAACAACAAAGCAGGATACGCTGCACACACACGAAAGAGAAGTTATCTTTTGAGAAGCAAGACGATGATTACGCCCTTTCGGGGGTTGCGGGTTGGGGGTTTGGGAGGGAGAGCCCTTATCAGGCCAGCGCACAGTCCATAAATTTCTCTACGTGACACATCACTCGTACCTCGCAACTCTGTGGTATTACTACTCACACCCTGCGCATTTCTGGTAACTGTTTTGCCACTGGTCCACCTGTTGGAGTCTGTGGCACCTAGCAGACGTGTGAAATCAGTCGAAAGAGGTCCATCTGTCTGAGCAATGGAAACAGAAAAGCAGCGCAAAGAAGGGTCAAAAAAAAAAGGAGGCCAGCATGAACAACGAATGCCATCGAGCCCCTTACTAGTTCTCAAGGCGGGCGACTAGAAAGTAAGCGAATGCACGCTTATCGATTGTGACCCACACACAACACTATCCTGGGGACATGTGGACGGAAAGGTGCTGTCTGTATGAGTGGTGTGCGGTATATAGCCCAGCAGCAGTCTTCTTATTATAGCGTGCTTCATCTCGCTCCCCCGGCTCCCCCACTAACAACCATTTGGACCCCCCTCCCGACGCGCGCAGAATATAGACAGCTGGGGGAAATGGCAACAGCGGCTGAAGATGGGGATCGACCCCACCCAAGCTGCAACAGGCACCAGAGTCTACGAGCACGTTGGCATCTGAACCAGAAGGCCCGTGGTGTGGCCCAGTAGCGCAATTTCCCTGCCCGCTGAGACAATCATGGTATCATTGATAGGCTGGAATGGCTGCGGACGCACTGATGGGGGAGTTCTCCCAATCGCGCACGAGTTCCGTCATAATCGTCCAATCAGATCGCACTACTGCGGGTGCAAGGGGTGAGCACGTTCAAGGAGTTTCCTGGGGGGAGCAAGTTCTCCGAAAAAATTTCTCGCCTTTTGGACACACCACACAGTTCGACTGTGACGGGGGGCCCGAGTTGGTGGGAAGAAGAAGAAGAAGACGAAGACTAGACAGCATATATAAAGGCCCGTGTGAGCCACCCGCATTTCCCATCTTTTTCCCCACACACAAAAATAAGCATCTTTAAAAGAAGTCCTATTTCTTCTTCTTCTTACTTCCTACTACTACTACTGCTTCTACTACGACTATCATCACTGCTATCCACACAACAGCCATGAGCGATCTCAACTGGTGCACCTACTGCGACAACGCTGTCAACTCCTTCTCTGTAAGTATCATCAGTCAATGCCAGTAGCAGCTACACGCAAGGTCCACTAACCGATCCTATGTCATGTTCATTTGCAGAATTCTCTTTACTGCTCGGAAGAATGTCTTCGTGCCGACGCATTAAATCATCATCCTCTACTTGGCTACGACTGGCAAGAGTTCAAGGATTTCCCTCGTTCATCTTCATCATCATCAGCATCCTCAATGGCTTCACCGGGCCTATGTTCATCGGCATCATCAGTCGCCTCTGCGTCTCCGTCGCTATCACCCGTCCCATCCTATACACTGCCATCCCCGGGTCTCAAGGGCACCTCGTCACATCACCACCAATGCCGCTCAAGTCGTCTGTCACCACCTATGCTTGAATTAGAGCCGTCAGAAAAGAAGCAGCGACCTTGTATCTCGTACGCCGCATTACAACAACAGGCAAAGCAGCAGCAGCAACACAACGTTGCCATGCCAACGCCATCGTCAAGTCACCGTAACAACAACGCCAGTATCTTCTTTATATAAAGCACATGCACTCCATACACATGCAACTCCATACACACAAAAAAAATACCACATCTTCTTTTTAGCATTCTTTTCATACACACACACACACATACTGCACACACACACACAGCACCAATACTCCATGCACGCTCACAAAAAGCACACAGGACCAAAATAACCCTCCTCTTGTAACTGTAAATAATACGCTTCTTGATACCATGTTTCTTCATTAAAACAAAAAAAAAAAAAGTCCAGTTCTCTTGTTTTCTTCCATTTGCAGCTGTTCCAATGCTTTAAAATTTTTGCACTTCTTGAATCACATATTAGACTGTTCTCTATCTGATATCATTCTTCTCCGATCCGAACCCGCAGATACGAGATATTATACATCCGTTCCTCCCTTCCTCACCGCCCCCCCCACCTCCCCCCTTTAAAAGGGGGCAAAAGAAGTGTTCTCTATTCTATGACGCATAATGATCTTGCACACGGCGAACGGCAACTTGGTTGGAGAAAAGATTGCTCTTGTCTTCGGTGGGTGCCTGACATCCGTGCCTAAAAAAAGAATTGTTTGGACTTCCGAATCTATCTTGGATACCAAACAAGAAAAAAAAAAGTGCTCGTGCGTCATTTGTTTCAGCTACTAGTAGTGTGGGTGTGGGAAGAGAGTCCAGAATCGCTCGCCCTTGGAAATAAGCGCCAAGCTCAGTCATAAACAAGCTCAGCAAAGTAATATGGACTCACAGCGAGTAAGTACACAAGCGCACAGTCAACTATATTCCGTCATCATCGCGTCTTGTGCTACGTCAATTGCATATTTAGCGCGTATTCTGAAAATATTAAAAAAAATATCGACCCATTTCAAGCTTACCTTATCATAACTTGAGATGATGATTGTTTAATAAATGAACGGAGGATGGTGGCGTGATGGCCCATCCAAAGATCATTCGACGAAAATTCCATGATGTGTGCATACAGCTTTTCTAACCGGATCTTTGTTCTTCCATTCTCCCCCACCTCTCCTCATACACTGTCATCTTGTTTGTTATATTAGCACACCCTGTGTGGAGAAGGATCATAGCCACGGTCCTGTCGATCATTTAAGCAAGTGACCCGAGTTTCTCTCTTTGCCAAGTATGCCAGACTGCATACTACCCCGGAAAGGGACAATTCATAAAAGGTTATATGGAAAAAAAACACGTTTATGGTTCCGGTTTGGCTGTGTTGCCATCACCCATCGACGACAACTTTTTTTATCTGATGTGTATCTTGCCCTTCTTCTTCTTATGAGCTGATGAGGGTGTCACCTGTTTTTTTAATGTTGGATGCCAGCTAACCACCAAACCTTTTCTTTTCTGCCAGTCTCTTTCTATTAACTCGTACACAGCACGCCTTCTGTCCTTGTGGCACAGTGCACGGGAACAACAAGTGGCGGAATTGAGGTTAAGTCATTTGCTGGCGCAGTTGCTCTTCTGCAGTGGATTGTGCTGTCATAAGCCACGTACGTCCTATCTTGTTTCCTACGGCATGGCTCACATCAGTAGCCAGTTGCTGAGCCATCAACTTTGTTAAGGTCGTTGGCTTAGGCTATGAGAAACTATGAGTGATGGCGTATAACAATATCCGACTTGTAAAATTTTACACCTGGTGATCTCTAGTTTGTATCACCTTAAAAGAAAGTTGGGGAATGTCCACACACCTTAATTGATACGATGAGTCAAGCAATAGCAACAACGAGCTTATATATTTTATATCAAGATACGGCGATCTTGATCTTATTCACAGCTTCTTCTTGGCGGTTGTAGTGGCTGGCGCTACCGGCCATATAATACGATCAAGTACCTTTTTTTTTTACCCCAACGTCCGCCTCCTTGACATAAGAAGCTTCCTACTAAGTCGTATGTAGTACTACTTACGTACATACGAATCCTTTCCGGAAAATCCTGTAATCCTTTTTCTTCTGGTCATCTGCCCATTTAAGGCTATATTGTTCTGAGAGGTTGTACAACACTTGCCAACCAGCCAACCAGCCCAGCCAGCCAACAGCAGCAGGATCTAATAGAACGAAACAAGAACAAGCTAAAATAACCTGATCGATATGCGTCTCTGTTTATGCTGTACATGTGCATAAAATAGTTGTATATGTATTTCAGGACTAAATCCATTCGAGAAGCCATCTTGGCAATGGTGCCATATTTGTAACAAAACAGTAATGTACAAGGTTTAATCGTGCATGATAAAATCACACAAGTTTCCTGCACACAACCAGCCGCTGTTGTCCCTGTTACAGGAATAATACATCTTTGTTATTCTTGCCTAAAAGCACATAACAATTGGTATGACGGAATGGGCGGATGGATGAAATGGATGAATGTTATAAATTTTATGTTGATGGTGATGGTGATGGTGATGATAATGATGAAAATGTATCCAATACACCGGCTCTCTCCATCAATGATCGCAGTAGACTTTGACTATTATTCAAAAGATCCATCGGTGGATCATACTCCACCAAAGCGCCTTGATCAAATACCATGACCTACCAAGTAGAAAAACATTAAGAATCAGACGTCTACTCAAGCTTTCCGTCATTAAACAGAAATAATAACTTACGCGATCATATCTGTTCACCGTGTGTAGTCGATGGGGTATCACAAGCACAGTCTGCGGATAAAAAGGGGGATCTTAGTATATGTATACTATGATGGTCACAGCCTGTCCCCCCTTTATACTATAGGTACGTACCGACTCCTCAAACTCATCCTGGATTACTGCGTGTACTTTATCCTGCTCTCCAGTACTACTTGACTCTGCTTCTTCATAGACGACGAACTTTGTACAATCCCTCAAAAGAGCACGAGCAATACATAGCAACTGTCGATCAGCTACGGCCAACTGGGCCCCTTCTTTACTCATTTCCATATCCAAATCGTATATGACGGAACCGTCTTTAGCAGATGGTACTGGGGACGGACTTGCTAATCGGACTCGTTGGAGTGCTTGCCATAGCTCATAATCGTCATATTCACCAAATGGATCCAAGTTACTTCGTACCTGGAGGAGAGAAATAGTCAGTTTTTTTTAACTTAATCCACAACACGATACAGCGAGCTATCACAATTACCGTTCCGCTTATCAGCATCCCTTCCTTGGATATATACGTTATCCGTGATCGAAGATCTTCAACGCCAATCTTTGTGGAAAAAACACCCCAATCAGTCCGATTTTGTTAGTAGCCATTGATGAGTAAAATCTAAGAGAAAGATTTCTTCCTACCCATGCAATATTGACGCCATCAATCTTAATCGAGCCACACATGGGCTCCACAAAGCGAAATAAGCAGGCTATCAATGCACTCTTTTCACCTCCTGCTCGGCCAATCACTGCGACTTTCTCGCATGGTTGTATATTAAACGATACATGCTTCAACACGTGCTCACCGTCCAGATTTAAAACCACTGTAAGGTCACGAGCGTGTACTCCGGCACTTGTTGGCCACTAGAACAAACAAAGTAAGAAAAATAACGAGTGGTAACACCGTATTCATGTATCTCTCCATGAGTCGTCCAAGGACTAAAATCTTACCGCTGCGGGAGGACGCGATCCTTCAACGATTCCAGGTGGTTCAGGTGTCATATCCACGTATTCATTGATGCGCTCGATAGCTTCAAAATGCATATCCACTGTCGTCGATTGACGCATCAACCAATAAATATACTCGAGTAGACTTGTCGCAAACGTAAGAGCAATACCAGCAAGTCCTGCATTTGTTGATTTGTAGATCAATAGTATGCCGATAAAGAACGAAAGGAATGCACCCACGAGCTCGACGCGCACAAACAACCATCGATTCGTCGTCCACAGCGTGTAAAATGCTCGCATATTGTCGTCCAATAGCTGAAACATTTTCTTCATCATGGCTCTTTCTTCACGATATGCTCGGATCGTGGCAAGACCAGCGAGTGTATCCGTGTAAAACGAATAAATAGGAGGTCGACTGGCTGCATTTAGTTTCTTGAGTTCGCGCGATGCGCGTATGTACACCGAACCAATGTAAAAGTAACAAAGGCCTACATCAAAGAAAAAGACCGGTTAGTTACCTGTATAAGTCGAAAGCAGGATTTATAGAACATGTATATTTACCGGCAACAATGCATACGATATAAAACTCGGGCAAGATAACACCAATGGTGATGACGACACCCAAAACGCCAAATATGGTCTGTAACAAGAAATTGACATGCCATCCGATGCTAGAGTCTACCGTTTCCATATCTTTACTGAACCGACTCATGATTTGTCCGTGCGTGTTGGCGTCAAAAAATTGCAATGGTGCTCGGCAGATGGCTCTCAGTAGTGAATGGAATAGACCGTTGGATGCACGTAGAGATCCTCGATATTGTACAACCGTTCGAATAAAGTTACAGGCTACCGTGATAAGACATAGGGTCAAGTAGATCACGACATAGTGTTTTGTTGATAGACTTTCGGGTAAAAACATCGTGTCCTCACTTGGTGTGGAGCTCCACATGGGTAAGCCAACATGTTCGTATGCAGTTGACCATACCTAATGAAAACAAAATCGCATCACACCGTGGTAAATATACAGCTTCTCTCTGCCTTTTTCACTTAGAAGGATAGCCCCTTTTTTTCATTTGCTACCTTCCTTTAACCAATAACTCTCCATGATGGAAGTAACACGCGCCAAAATAATAAAGATGGCAGCAGCGAGCCAAAATTGCCAACCACCGCATACAGAAATGTAGGTAGCATAGGCGATTTCTCTAGACTTGGTTTCGTCCCGTATACCATCGTCTGTATATCGTATCGATTCACGCATCACCGATCCTTCATCGAATAATTCGTCGTCCGCGAAATTATTGTCATTTTCGAAAAGCGTTTCGATACGATCATCGTTGACCGTGTCGTCCAAGAGCGGTGCCTCTGCTGTTGTGATGCGCATTTGGTTTGCCTCGATCCAGTCGACGATCCCATCCTCAGTTTCAACCGAGCATACTTTGCCATCTTCTAATCGTACCAAAAGACGAGCATCACGAATCCATGCACCTAACTGTGTAGCTGCCAGAATAACAGTGCGCGCTCGAAGCAATCCACCGGATATGCATTTCTCGTGTAAGAGTGCAGCGGTATGTTTGTCGAATCTGGCGAAAATATCGTCGATCAAGACCGTTTTGGACCGTGAATACACAGCGCGTGCGAGGGATATTTTAAGCTTGAGCGTTTCTATAAAAGACGGGGTGGCCACGTGACGAGCAAAGAGTGAGAATAACAACAGAGGTACAGAGACGTACATGACACTTACCGGAAATGGATGTGCCGCGTTCACCAATAAGTGTCAAATCCCCATTTTCCAACAGTGACAGGTCACGTAAAAGGTCGCATTGATGCAGCGTTTCACGATAACGTCCATCATCCCACGTTTCAAAAAACAAAATGTTGTCGCGTACAGTGCCGTACTGATACCATGGTGTTTGTGGTACATAGGCGACTTTGAAAACGTAGACGGCTTGGTTGATGTCGTCCTTGACAAGACTTGTGTATGGCGATAAGAATTGCGACGGTAGATGCATTTTCCCTGAAATGAGTGTCATTTCGCCTAGCAAGGCAGACAACATGCTCGATTTGCCACTGCCATGACGACCAGTTACTATGGAGAGTCGGCCTGGAGGAAACGACAATCGAGGCAAGCTGAGCGTGAACAATGATGTTGCTGCTGCTGGTACTGCTGGTGGTGGTGGTGGTGGTATGCTTTCCGATTCTACACGCATATTGTCATGATATTTATCCAAGCGTTGTTGTAAATGCTGCTGTTGGTGCGCGGCAGCGTCTTGTGGCGGCGATGGCCATTGGAAGACACTATTGTCGTCAAATGCAACCTTTACCCGTTCGTCGTAAGGTCTATGGATAGCATCCTCATCGTCATACTCGTCGTCGTGGTATGAATTGCTAGAGTCGGTATCAGAATCGCGCTTATCTCCAGTGTTCAAGAACGCGTTGATATGCCTCAAGCTGACCTTTGCGTCGTTGTATGCCATGACTGCTTGTGGCATCACATTTAGAGGATCTCGGAGCATACCAAAGAGTACAATGCTTACAAATGCAGTACTGTTTAGTTTTATAGAAGAAAAAGTTAGCGGAACGGGAAGATTTACGCACTTTTATCGCTAAAAGATAGGATTTGACACTTGCCTCGGATCCAGCCGCTTTTGTTCAACGAGGGTGTACCACGCAAATGAGATTGAAGTGACAAAAACAGGTGTGGCAAACCAGATCAAGGATAGAATGGTATTTTGGGTATATAGCTTGATTAGCTTGACCAGTTCGTCATCGCGAGCATTCTATTTTGTTTGTTGTCAATTAGCGGTAGAAGAAAGAAACCTTCTATCGCACTCCTTCATCCCATTCCGAGTTATACTGAGGCGACTTACTGTAATCACTTGCTCCCATTTACGCTCCCATGCAAGAAACTTAGTCGCCCGGATATTCGACACAAGTTCCTTCACAAGTCGTATGCGCCATGATTTTGCTTCTGTGAGCTGCTTTTGAACATGCACAAGTTTTCGACTGATGTAATGAGTCGAAGGTAGGGCGAATGCCATGACGACTAGTCCCGCCAAAAAGGCTTTGCCAAGCAGATAGTACAAAAACACAACGCCAGTGATAATTTCCAATGGACACGTGTAAAAGATCTACACATTACCTCTGTCATGTTATTCCATACACCCAAACACTTTCCATACACAATCCTTCCTTACATGAAGATAAGATGCCAATTCCGCCAGTCTTTCTGTGTCTTCGCTCATCAAACTGGCACGTCGACTCGCTGCATTTTCATCCATATTGTCAGCACCACCACTACCGCATCCCTGGTCATCACCCACTCTTGTTGATGACGCTGTTTCATCGTCAATACGGCCAAGACGCAAGGTATGCGCATAGATTTCCGAATTGAGCATATTGTTCATGGTAACATGCCAACGTCGACCCCACAACAGTGTCTGTGACGCTATCAACGTACTGATTATGTTGCATACAAAAATGGCTACGCAGTACAAATAGCCCGATTCACGGGGGAACTCGTCCGGTGCCTGAATGTAACTGAGTAATCGATGCAGAAAGAATGGATTGGCGTAGTGAAAGGCGACTGCGGCTATGGCAGTGATGAATTGGAGATGGATTGATTTTTGGTTGGATTGATAGATGCGTACAATGAGACTTTTGGATCGTGCCATGTTGCGAAAGTGTCGGTAGTTTTCTTTGGCGCGTTGGCGGAATGGTAATGCCCAGAGTTGATCTGCGCCGAGTGCTTTTTTGTATCCGCTGTAGAGTAAGCTGTTCATCCAGCTGAACGTGACAGATGACAAGGGTGAAGCGCTCGCCTCCAAACTTAGTATACGACCCTAATTAAATGATTCATATTTTCCCCGTTGTGATCCAACCAAGTCCATCCCAAACACAGGCCACAAAAATGATGGTAAGCTTAGAGCGAGAAACAAAAAGGTGAAGGAAATGTTTCTTGTGTATATTAAAATATGTTGTCTAAGGTTCAATCCGATCACTTACACTGCGAACCACGCGTCCATCGTGCAGGACAAGGATACCTTCATCAGCATCATCAATGTCTAGAAGCTCGCCCTGATCCAGTTCTCCTGGGGTCGTGGCACATAGGATCCACACAGCCAGGCAGATGACCAGATCGATTGCTGCAAATGACTTTTCGGTGGTTGATGATATGATCCAGCTGTCTTCGAGATTGGTGACGAAATACGAAAAGCTGCGAACGATAGCGGAAATCGAGGCGAGTGTGTAAAATACGAGATAATGCGGATTGTAAAGAGTGAATCGTGCGGGCGAAACTGGGTCGGCAGGTGTGGTAAAGGACTTGATGACAAGAATCAACATGTATAGCTAACACATGCAGTGGCATTGTTAGCATCGTTAGCTGTGCCATGTATATGCATATGACGATAGTCTCTCTCTGTCTCTGTCTTGCATGTTTTTTCTTTCACGTTTGCTATTGTTATCAAGAAAAAGAAACTCACTCACTCGGGGTATTAATGCAAGCCCAGGATCGACCACCTGATATAGTGGGGTCCCGCATTTTTTATCGTCACTTGAGCCTTGGCCTCGTTCAAGGATTGCGCTTTCGAGTCGCCACGCAAACAAGAAGGCCCAGGAACTTATCTCGAGTAATATCAAAACGAGTAGTATAAGACTTCGTCGAAGTAGGTGTGCGTCTTTGCTTGTTGGAAGCCGAAGGCTGTGTGGATCATAGGTGCGATAGCGTGACGAGCGCCAGGTACGAAACCGTCTATATACATTAAAAGCAAGCGATAGTATGAAGAATGTAATTGGTATAATGGCGTCGAGTGATCTGTAACACACAACGAAAGGTCGATTCGGTAAATGTATGTATAGTAATAAAAAAAAGAAAAAGCGCGTCAGTCTTTCTGTGTGCTTTCTTGGGCGTTCCACTAGGAAGTTGCTCAAGTTATCCTGATTGTTTGAATTAAACTCACGTTTCTCGTGTGCAGGGATCCAAGTTAACGGTATGAGGATCAAGCTGAAAGAAGAATACAAAAACGATCAGTCAAAAAAAGCTGCTTTTTCTCTTGACTGTCAAGGGGGCTGTTAATAACTAGTACAAAGTTTTACATCTGAATCCCTGGCACAGCCGCAGAATGGCGACGCAAATTTCATAAGACTACTCTAACGTCGTCGGGAAGGGAAGGCAACAGAAAAAAAGAGAGAGAGGGATCTATATTGACTTTGACGTATATCAGGGGGAGGTGTTCGGTGTATGTATATTATGAACGGGTCTCGGGTTGGGAAATATAAAAGTATACGGAAAGAAAGAAAAAACCCCAAATGACGCGCCGAAGGGGTGGTGGAACAAAAGGGCACAAAGCAGCACTTTTACTTTTTTTGGCGTAGCACAAGGTGCTTTATCTGCTGCAAAGCAACAGCAAACAGTATATTCCGTCCCTTTCTTTCTTCGATCATGTTATCCTGAGACGGTTATCGATGTTTGTGGGATGCGGTGTGCGTGTATGTGGACAGAGTGACTGTAAATATCACAAGACGAGTTAGTACGCACGTACGTAGCGTCATCTTCAACCTTAGATACAGCAGCAGCAGCAGCAGCAGCAACATCACTAAGATGGCTCTGTGCCCAGAGAGCTGCACGATTACTTGCCAACCAGCAGCAAGCCAAGTAACCATGCCACATTTGTTACTATGTATTTGTTGCTATAGACATCCATAGAAACCCTTTCATGCTTCTTCGCCGGAGGAATGCTGCTGTGTCTGTAGTGCACCCCTTCGTTTTCCAAGCAACAGGGCGATCCCACACATGCGAGCTCTCTTTAACAATTCAAGCTCAAAGCATGACTTGCTTCTCGAGGGCAAAGCAAAAGCGCTTCTGGATGCTGATGCTGGTGCTGACATTATAAAGATAACCCGTGCTGATCCCTGAGCTGCTACAAAGAAGAAGGGTGCTGCACCATGTCCTTTTCCTTCTTCTTTGTAGACCTTTTTAACTCACATAAATCACATTTTTCATCTTCCACTGCTCTCAGCAGAGCGGCCGTCTGTGTGCAATGCTGCTCTACCACAGTCAGCAAGTGCAGCGTTAATAGTGCAGGAATGTTTATGTCTTCTGCTATAACGCAGTGCCTATACAGACGCTACGTGAGTGTTGATAGAAAGTTCACTTGGCTGGTATGGGCAGCCTGCATCCTCCCGTCAAACACAATTCGATGTCGGTGGAATCTTGGTCCCCCCACCCGCCCCCTATTTTTAGCCCAGGCCCAAAAGGGGACGCCAAATCTGGCTTAGATGTTTGGGCAGTGTACTTGGTAAAAGAAGCAGATTAATGTGTGGATCGCCTCTCTTTTCTTTTGTACCTTCCTTCCGTCCTTCTACCCTTTCCCTTCCCTCTTTCCCGCTTTCCCTTTTTCTTTTGTGTGTCCACTTGCCTCTCTCTCTCTCTCTCTTTCTTTGTCTTTCTATAGAAGAAAGTAAACACACACACACACACACAAAGAAACGGGACGCATGCGCCACAACAGCAACAACTCTGCATTCGGCACAACAACAAATAAAAGAAACATGAGCTTGACACCAGCAATATCGTCATCAGCATCGTCATCCTCTGCATTATCACCACGCCCGCGACGTTTACCCATTCTGCTACTATGGACAATGTCGTCGATGGCAAACATAGCAACAGTGCAAGCGCAACAAGCGGCCTCGCCGACGGTTGACGCGAGCGGATTCAATCCGCAGGACGGTGCTCCAGAGGAAGAGGAAAAGAGTTGGCTGGAACAACACGGACGTTTCGCATTTGTCATTGTGATTGGTTTGCTCATCCTGGGTCTTCTGATCTGGTACATTGTCCGAAGCGTCAAGGGTATGCGTAGACGACTCAAGATGGAGAACGACAACCAAATGCAGATGATAAACCAGATCGCTGCTAGTCGAGACTCAGGGTCGCATCCTCGCCAGCCGGACGGTGCTCATCCATCGCCGTCTAGTAAAAAGGAACATAGTAATAGCAATATCCAGTATCATCAGCAACAAGACCCAACATCTCCTGTGACCCCAACCACGCCCCCGCCACGATACTAGAGAACGAGAGAGAGAAAAAAACACCATCCAACCCGTACCGCAGAAGAACCAACAAGACATCTTCTCCTTCTTCCCGTCCATCATCAATGTCTTTTTTTCCTTTACAATAACGGCCTTTGTCTTTACCTGTACAACAACTATGCCATCAATTGTCTGGCACTTTATATCTATCTCTTCCCATAATTGTGTAATTCATTACTACCATCTCTTATACTTTTCTATTCGTGATCCGTGCTATGGACCGTTTCGTCTTGTATATATCCTTCTTTTTTACTCATCCAAGGAACGTGTTGTGCCTTTGTTGTTTATCCAGAGCAGGTCTATCGTCTTCAAATCATCATCCACGATAACAACAAGTGCTCCTCCTCCATAATATCTTTTGTCATTAGTCACTAATTATATAATGTTGCAAGAAACCCGATGGTGCCCAGCCCGACTCTTTTCCGTCAAAGCTAACGACAAACGACGACTTCTTTCTCCGTGTTACGAAGCTCATCGGGGGAACAAGAATATTTTTTTTTTGGCAGACCGACTATACGGTGGTAACGCGGGAGGCCACTACCGTTACTTCAATTAGCTTTTATCCTCTATTTATTATCACGATTTTCATTAAAAAAAAGTGTTTTTAATTCTGTATATCCGAGTGTCAAGACCTCTCAGTCTTTCTCTCTGTAATAGAAAATCCTCTCCTTTATCAAGCGCGCTAAACGAGGGGATCGGACGATCCTTTAGAGAGATCGTTGTTATTGTTGTTGTCGTTGTTGACGTTGTCACCCACTGAAACCCCATCGGATCGGCTAAAGCTTCACATCGGGTCTCGACCCGAAAGCGGTTTTACAGTCCGAAAAAAAGACCCATTGTTTTTATTACGATATTGCAACGTGTTGAGTCGTAGATGCGTTTCTCTCTTTTGTGTTCATATTACACACTATATATACTAATACCGAAATAAGGTAATATATTATAATAAACATGTTTTCGAGAAACCCACAGGTACAGGTGCTCGTAAGGGTGCTGTAGTACCATTGACTTAAAACAGGTAATAGCAGCAAATTATGATGGCCGGAACACTGTACAACATGTCCAACAAAATATTATCATTTGGGGTTTGACTAGTCTGACACTCGTGTCTGTAATCTACTATAGCGCCATGCATACGTGACGAATATGCTGATCCGATGCTTCGTCAGTTACCTCTATAGAAACGTGATCGCGACATATAATCAACAATTGAGGGAAAAGAGGAACTCAATCTTCGTTGGTAGCTATGATGTAGTCTTGATGATAGTGTTGTTAGTGAGTTAGACAGTCGTCTTGTTATATCAGGTACATGCGTTAGATCAAAGAGTACCCAGGCTTCCCTTACTAAGATAAAGAAATAAGCATTAACTGCTATGGAAAGCATGGTAGTACAAAATGGAGCAGTAAAGCACCTGCACTTAATTGGGAAGGTGCCATGTTGATTAAATCATCATCTAATCCTTGTGTGGTACCGCCACTAGATGTCCTTCTCCTCCGCAAGGGCGTCACTAAGAGTCCTTGTCAGAGACTGGACTTATATAGTGGTGTGTGAGTTTTTCGAAAGAAAAATTGAAGTGGATACAAGATAGCTGACAACACACAAAGTATCTTTCTCTTCCCTTTTTTGATGAATCAGATGTACCGGTGGTTTAAGTCGGTTAAAACGAAGCCCAACAAATTTGTATTGTTAATGCACACGTTTCTGTCAATATTGCCCCGCGGCATACAGGTAGAAAAAGGCTCGGTCCGCCGACTCGATTACCACAATTACAGTCGACCCCCGTTAACGTCAACCCTCAGGGTACCAGCAAAAGTGTTGACCATATCGAGGGTTGACGATCACAGGGGGTAGAGAATAGGCAAAATCTTTAACTGCTAACTTTGAAAGGATACCAGCGAATCTGTTGACGCTATCGGGGGTTGACGTTATCGGGGTTGACGTTAACGGGGGTTGACTGTAACAAGGATTAAAAGAGGAGCATAAATAAGTAAAAACATGTGTCCATTGAAGGTGCGAGCGTAATATGTTGATATTGGTTGCACAATTTTCCAATGATGCTGATTGAAAGAACTTGGCGCTTATTGCATGATCATGTATATTTTTAGTATTGGCTGTGGAAAGTAAGAAAGTATGACATCGATAAACAAGTATTATCATCACACATTCCTACTATGTATACATCCGACCGATTTACCTTGTCATCAATTAAAAGAGCCTTTCTTTATCGTCCACACGTTTGCCCATCACACGCCGGCAATTGATAATTTCTTTCTTCATTTACCATGCTGTTTCTCCCGTTCAAAGCAACATTTAGACAGTGGGCTAGACTCAGAGCATTGCTCGCATCACCTGTAGTAGAGCCATGATGACCCACAGATATTTGCTTTCGTATACGTGAATGTTTCGTTTCATGTTGTAATAGCCAAGGAACTACGCATATATATGCTGCTGCTCTGAATACTTGCATTTTTGATAAGCATATGCGAGCATTCCACTGATCGAGATAGCTCTCCAAAAGTAACTGGATTTCGCGATGCATCAGTAGACGATCATCTTGCCCATGGTACAGAGGTACGTCAAAACCATCCGTTGGATATGACTACTTTTCCGCGAGAGCATCCCAATGCAAATCCTTAAGTATGAATATCGATCCATCCAACATAGAACAGCGAAGTGGTATCTGCCATCCATCGTCCTCGTGCACCATTCTGTCACTCGATAATTTGCATCGTCACTATGGGAATGCTGAATGGAATCTTTTGTTAGTGCGCCCACACCACAAAACTAGCTCGTAGACGAAAGGGCATTTCAGGGGTCAATATCAAGGGTCGTTTGTAATTAGCAGTTTCGTGTTCTCAATGATGTAGGACTTTATATCTTCTACTATTGTTGCTTCTGCTCCTATCACTCGCAGGCCCAGATCTTCGTTTATCTCTATATCAACAGCATCATGATAGAAGGAAAAGACTTATGTTGTAAGCTGTACTTCTTTCTATTAATAATTAAGTAACAGTAATATCAACGAACATATGCACTACAATATGGCAGCCGAACTTGTATAAGGCCTTGCATGTTTCCGGCCATTCGTACAGGAACGTCCAAGCATTACAACAAGATAATGTTGCTTTTCAGGTACGCTGAGTGTAAAAGAATGTTAATCTAGTCCTCCATGCAGTCGCGTACTTTGGAATGTTGGGATAAGTAGCTGCTGGCGATACAGGCGCTTGCATTCGACGCAGACGATTAGATTAAAGGTATTTGAAGACAACAAGACGCATCAGCCGGATTGCAAACAGACCAACAGTACACTAACACTGTTGGTAAATGAAACGTAGCAAAAAGCGTTCGCTAGTTTCATAAAGTCTAGTCATGTTGTCTAATAAGTGATAGGTATCACGCAAATAAAAGGAGGGACTCAAGTCGGTTGTTGTTTCATGCTATACGTCTCTGGTGTCACAAGTAAACCGGAGAATTTAACAGCAGCGGCACAACTAATTGATCCAACACTCACACTGAATCGTGTGGAGTTTTGAACGATGGCAATATTAGTAAAGTTACAGTTTTATTCGATAAGATAGCTTAGCATTGTCTTAATCCACACGAGGCACATTTAACATGTCGTCCAAAGTTCATGTATAACCTTAGCGTAGAATCAAAATGCAGGGTTATCTAAGACGACACGAGTTGTTAGCATGATGAATAATTGAGCTTACAGTCGAGTAATTACTTTCTGTGGTAACGACTTCGGATATGTGTTTATGTAATAAAGGATATTGCACTGCCGTTATACTTTATTGTTATCTTTAAAGCGCCTAATACGCAATCTTGTGTTAGTAGAGGAAAGTATTAAAAAAGAGCATCCTTATTCTTTGTGAGGTATTCCTCCAGTGTCTCTGGCTCACGACCCAAAGCCAGGGAAAGACCATGCGAATGCTCGAAATCCGGATTAACATCATGAGCCATATCGTACGCCAATTTGTGAGGAGCATAGAATGCGCTGGTAGCCAGCTCATACTGTTCCTTGAACGATTATCGCTTGAAAGCTACCGCGAAGCCGAGCAACTTGCTCAAGGTCTCTGTTTGCTGGTTCGCGGTCAACAATTCCCCAACCATGGGATAAATAGCATCGCCATGCTTCTCGATAGGGTCGCGCAAAATAATAGCTGCCAGAGCGCCGATATCGTCGGTAGAGATCCACCCCTGAGGAGTGTCTGGCGCGGCCACAGAAACAAGCGTCTTGGTTTGCACAACATGTTTGGCGAAGATAGCGTAATTCGACATGAAGCGCCAGGGGCGGAGGATGACATAAGTGGCATCGACGGATTGAATGGCGCGGATGGCGTCTTCAGACCGAGCATGGGCTTGACCAATAAACGTGAATGGATGTACGGAGACGGTGAGGGAGGACACAGCAACGATCTGCTTGACACCTGCAGCATAGGCAGCCTTGGCCATGGCACCCTTGATACGAGGCATCATGCCCAGGCTACGGACTAGCAAAAACATGCGGGTATGGCCACCAATGGACTGTTCAAAAGGAGTCAGATCGTCATAGGAGCCCTGGACGTGTGTCACCTGAGGATGATCCTTGAAACAGGATTTCTCTGGCCGACGAGTGTAAATTGTAATGGGAATATTGTTGGCCAATACGTCTTGAATAGCTTTGGCACCTACACCGCCGGTACCACCAACAAAGTAAATTCGTTCTTGTTCTTGAGGACCCATTATTCCGTGCTTGACGTTGTCGCTTTCTTATCTGATATGGATTGATCAAATTACTGAAACGATAATCGTTGTCAATGTCCTTTATGTATAAGATCCAGGGAATGTATTCGGGCTTCATACAATGGTAAGGCCACGTAACTGTTATTTGCCATAACTGACTAATTTGGTAAATGTCGGGACGTTCGGCGTTGAACACTCCGGCGGGATGAAGTTACTATTGAAACAGGCAGGTAGAATCCAGTATAAACAATCAACCAGTAGCGCGAAAAACAACTGTCGGTACAGGTTATCGTACTTACTCACTCATTATCTATTCATCACTGACTGAAAATTAATTCGAGTATAGAATAGCTTCGCTGCAGGGTGAGCGCTTCTGTTACAATTTTACTTATACACAAACAAAACTACCTCTTGCATTATTATTCCATATGATTGAGAAGAAATCGTAATGCTACTCATTCGATCCCAGCGAATCCACTCAAGCTTATGTCTAAAATTCTTTGTATTTACCTGCAATCTATGACACATAAACGTACGGATGGAGTCACCATGTTATGCGCCAATCGCGAAATCAGGGAAGAGCGAAAATTTCTTTTTCTCTCGCAATGAACCGTTCGAATACGCTGCCTGATTTGTGCATAGTATTGCATCAGAATCACCTTATAAAGACAGCTTGCGATTTGTTTCCTTAACAATTTATCTTTTCTACGAATAACGAATCGCATCAGATTCCTGCAGTAGCTTTATTTATTTGGCTTCATAATAAATTGTTTCCAATGCTATTCGTGGTACTTTAAAACATACATGATGATAAGACGTGAGAACTATGCTTTCTTGCTAGTCATTTCTTTCTATTCTTCCCAAGCAATCAATCTGTAGTAGCGAAAAACGATGTGCAGCGCAGGCGACAATGTTGTATAAACGCGCAATAGAGCAGAGCCGACAGGGCAACGTCTCTAAGAGCTAACCAGCTGAATTTACAATAAACGATATAATCTCCGTTTACTCGAAAACATTAAGTGTAAGACATGATGACTCTAAAGTTTGCGCATTTGTAGCATGCGAGTGGATAGTAGATGCAACCAATACCTCTGCTTCTAAATATCAATGCGTTTGAAACCATTTATCAGCTAAAAGAAAGAATGTCATGTTACTGCTGGCCACCATTATGCAGCATCGCCGACTCTTCAGTGTATGTCTAGGGCTGTAGTCCAGCTATGATAAGATCAACAGTCGTATCTTCCTGTTGGTAAATATTGCTGAGCATCACATACAACTGTCCTTGCACAAGTTAATGTGTAAGTGCTAAGTAGCCGTAATCATATACAGATGAAAGGATCGCAATTTGTATGAACTGCCATGATCAGCATCGTGCCTTCGCCATAACAAACGCAATAATGCTCTCACAGATCGCTTTTATATAAAAGAATGCGTTTAAATATTACTACTTGTGGTGTCCTATGTTTTCGCGCCAGACACCATGAACTCTTACTTTGATCCCAGAGCTGTCCATTGATTTTCTTTACCGCAAACCTCACCCACTGTTTGTAAGCTCACATGATGTAATATATGACTGCGCAGAAGAACGTAAAGCAACAAAAGAGGCGCCTCCTTATTATTATACCATTCTTGTCGCAATAGTTTGTTGATATTCACCTGGCTACGCGAACTCTTTTACCTGCTCCTGCAAAAGATTCGCGCAGCCATATTAGCGGGCAAAAAATGATGGTTTCACAAAGCCATACGTAGCAACAAAGCGGTCATATGTCATATTCCCGGTACTACACAAAAATAGAAGATTATTATATGAGTGAGTACGCTCTTTTTCTTCCTCTTTTTCTCTTTTTCTTCTTACTTATTACTCTAGCAAATCTTACAAACAATCATCGCTTACTCAATTATAAGTATACTATATTATGGTGGTGTCAAAGCAAGCATACAGCAGCCTTTTTTCAGCGTTCCAATGGTCGTCATCAAAGCCAGGGACTTCATCCAAACAAGTTGTTACTACGTTGTCACCATTGGACAAGGCACAAGAAAAAGCACAAAAAATCATTCGCGCTTCACCTACGTCTGCCAAAGGCTATATTCAATCTGCTCGCGTTTATAAAGAAAGCGGCGATCTTCAGAAAGCACTCGGTGTTTACAGACAAGGACTTCGATTCGTGCCGCCAGAAGACCCTCTGCACGCGCAACTACAAAAGGAAAAACAACAAGTGTCAGCCACACTGTTGCAAAGAAGCCGCGGCTTCCATCAGCTGCTGCCATACGACGTTGTCTGTCTGATATTCGGAAGCTTGGACTTTAGAGATATGCTACGTTGTACGGGTGTCTGTCAAGGATGGTGCAATTTTATGATGGATTGGCCGGAGTTTTGGCAACGGATGTCTCGAGAAATGCCGCAAATGAGCAGATCCACGCTGGATCCTTTGTTGCGACGTCAAGCACAAGAGTTTCGGCTGGATGGTCAGGATGCTGGTTTGGTACACGATATCCTAGTATTTCTGGCGCACTCAGATAATCACTTTATGCAAAAACTATGTAAGTTGCTGTGTTGAATTGTTTTAATATTTATGCTTTTACACGATTTTTCCAAATTAACAAAACAATACAGCTTTCAAAAACATTACTTTGACATTTGAGCAAGCAAATCTCTTGGGCACCGCTCTTAAATCAACAAGGTATAATGTACAGTTCAAGCGAAAGGATAAAGTCTATTATTATATCATCTCTATAAATAGCCAGATATATACTAAACTTCGGTTTTTATTTTCTAAAAAAGCCCTCCAGTAAAGCGAATTGAATTTGTTGACTGCAAGATTCCTATAACTCGAATAGTCGCGCCTATATTGCAAGCCTGCTCAAGCATGGAACACATATCGTTTTCGCAAACTGACGCGTACGGAACATTGCCTTACGGTGACGCTCCTAAGAAAAAAGATTTCCGCATGCCAGACTTCGAGTATACATCGCTTACCTATCTCAAACTTGGTGTTGATAATGCGGGTAATAACTACGGGCTGATCGACAATGGTCGGCTCGCTGGCATTTTAAGTCGGTGCCTCAATCTTGTACACTTGTTCCTGGACTCTAACGGCACAACCCATCACGGATACAACATCACACAAGTCTTGAAGCACTGTCATCGTCTTGAAAGTTTGGTCGTAGGCCCAAAGGCAGACTTACCTGCTGCTTTGAGTCACATTGATGAGAGCGAGTTTGACAGCATCAGCAATAATGACAGCGTGGCTGGCCCGCCTTCTTCTACATCACTAAGTGCAACACCATCAGCATCAAACAATGGCAGTAGCAACAAATCCAACAATAGCAGTAGCCCACCACGAGGATTGCGACGTCTCATTTTGAGCGGCAGCGTTAACGTGACTGATAGCGACATGGTTTCAATATACAAAAAGTGTCACAGCACACTAGAGCTACTCTATCTGCATTACGATGGTGCAAGGATTGCTTCCAGTTCATTCTACAGACTTGCATACCATGAAGCACCAAAATTGCGCGAAATTTATCTGGCGACCGAAAACGCCAGTGGAACAGGGAATGCCAAACATCCTCCTATCGCCAAAGCATTGACGGCCCTCTTCTCTTCATGTCCAGCTGTAGAAGTGATAGACATTAATGATTCTCTAAGTGCATCAGCTCGTTCATTCTATGGCGGCTGCTATCTCCGTGTCAGTAATGGGGTGCTCAAGTCTATTGCCGAAAATTGTTTCCAACTGCGTAAACTGAGGATCGTTGGTTGTCGACAACATACTAAAGACGGTTTGATCCACTTTGCTTCTACAGGGAAACTGCGACGACTTGTTGACTTGGAGATGGATATGGAATGGCAAAATGTGTTGGAGGTGGTTAACAATCTTACATCGCTGCAGCGATTACATGTGCGCAAGGATTCGTATGGTACTCAAACGGCCTTCCCACAAAGCCATAAAGAGACAGCGAGCCGGATCTTGGGAGAGCGTGGAGGCGACCTTACTTTGGCGTAAACATATGTACTATATTGAGTAACGCTTGTAAGTTTTAGCTAGCTTACCTTTCAATTGACAAATCGAACGTCACAGCCTTTTCATTTATGCCTATGTAAATTTCTTTTCACAATGATCAATAATAAAAGACAAAGCGGTATGTTATTGACAGCATTGCATAAAGTGCTCTGGACTACTACCATAGCAATACACAAAGTTGGCTTAAGTGAAGATTTGATAGATCACACCAGGTAAAGTACTTTATTAGTAGATTGCTTTACCACGACAGCAAATCCACCTGAAAACCGCCAAAAAAAAATCGCTATATAGTCTCTTGACATAACCGTGTTAAGGCCATTAATAGTTAGCTGAAACAAAGCAAGCCTCAAAATCAATACGATGGTTTGTATACGTATATGATAGGGGCCGAAATGAGCTCACTTAATATCCACGGATTCTCTATGGCCATACATGAAAGAGATCCGTCGAATACTTTGCTTTGATAATCCAAGCAAACCGTTAATTGAAAAAATGTGCAAGCAACACAATATATGAAGATGACTCAAATGCTGCACGAAGGAGTCTTGTTTTGATGCGATCATAGGATGAGTATTTTGAGCGATATCATCAGGCATAGGGCCAAGTTTCCTCCTGCTCTTGCTGCGACTGACGTCGCAGCGATAGCTCTAATGCTGATCTCTACCTCTGGGACATCTTGTCCCGAAATTCCAGCCGATCTAGCAGAAAATTGCATCCCCTACAACAGAGCCGCTCTCTTAGTCCCAAATCTGAAAATTAAACAAAGGATGTATCCTACGTGATTTCTGCGACTAGCGTGTGCTTTACCAAGACATATGTGTGACGTCTTCTACCGCTTCCTATTGTAGTCGATTATAGTCATGGTGATGGTAGCATATGATTTACCAAGGCCATGATATAGATCGTGGATACTGCATGTCAACATTTAGCGCGGCATGATTTATCCCTCGGCTGTGAATGGTACCTCGCGTATTTGTCTTTAGCTGTCAAAGGTTGTCTTTGTAGCCTATACGAACTGTGATCCTTCTGAGGTACTGCTTCGCCATCGTTGGATGATGCTGTAAGAGTAGAGTTAGTTGTTGAAAGGGGAAATTGGTGTGTGAAGGGCTACATATATAACTTCTGATAAGCCCATTAGTATCTCTTCCTTTAAAGAAACAAGAGGGAAGAGAAAAAGTATACAAAACCACGTAAGTTTATATAGCCGTGCAGCTGAGCTGGCTGTATAGAGTGAGCTGTTATAATTGGTGCACACTAATGGTCTATACTGTATTATTACTCTATCATATACAAAACCCAAGCATACAAGAAACATTTAAATAATAGTATTTGCATAACTGCGAAAAATATTAACAGAGTATATCCTAGTGTAAATCTAAGATAAGATCACCGCCACGCTCTCCAAGGATTTTTTTAAGTCTCTCCAAGTGATCTGAAGGAATGCCATATCCCTCGGGCCAAGTTCGCGAGCTACTGTATACAGTGTGCAGCGTCTTCAATGATGTGAGCTTTTGAACGATCCCAAGAAGATAGCTTTGATAAACTATCTCAATCTCCAAATAAGCAAGTCTTGTTGAAGCAAAACCAGACAAGCCCAAGATTGAATGGCTATGAGACCCAGTGACATGCAAACGGCGAAGCAGAGGACAACTCTTGGCGATAGCAAACAATATGTCGTTGTCGACCACAAGGGAATGAAATCGCGAGCTGCAATAAACACGTCCAGACTCGCAATTATCGATCGTTACAACTTCCAAAACGGGGCACCTTGAAAAAAGCGTTATCAGCGCGTTTTTGTGCTGTTGCTGCGTACCACCTTTAATCACCATTGACAAGTTGATCTCTCGCAGCTGGGGTCCACCGTAAGAGACAAGATCCATGAATAACTTTCGGTTCAAGTTGCAGCGTAGATACAGAAACTCCAAAGTTCGGTGTGATCTTTCTAGCAGGATTGGCAGGATCGGCAAGTTACTAAACTCAAAACTTTGGCTACCCAATATGAGCCACCGCAGACTATCAGCATTGGAAGGCTGTACTTGTTGAATACCAACATTATCAGTATCATATTTTGGAGCAGAAGAAGACACGTCACCGGTACTGCTGCTGTACTCGTCAGTAGCAATCGTCGGTTTAAGCTCGGTTTTGTTGCACACTGTTAAATTTCGGAGTCGTGGGCAGTATTTCAGTGCTTGGCTAATGCAATGTGTGTGATGGATGGAGACACCAGGGGACAGGATCAGGTCCATCAAGTTTGGACACTGACAAAGAATTTCAAGCAATCGGGACGTTTGCTGCAATGGTTCAAAATAGTAAAAGTTTCCCGATATTTCAAGGTGTGTCAGAAAATCGAAAGTGAATGGAATGACGACCATACGCTTTGTTTTGCGAGAGAAGTACGACAACGCTGTGCGATTATTATCCAGTTTGCTGCTCTTGCTGTCGTATAAAGTTGTACTAATAGCTCCCGATGGGTTTGTGACCATGGATTGCGAAAAAGAAACATGTGTTGCTTCTGAACATGACTTTGATATGAATTCCAGAAGTTGACTGTCCTGGAAACTGCAATTGATGAATTCAACATGTTTTAAACCTGGACCAATTGATCGCAGTGTTCGTTGCAATAGAGCTATGCCGATGTGCGTAAGGTGTATACTGGTGAAAACTGATGTTGTCCTGCTTAGTACAAGCGTATATTTTAAAGCAGATGAGGGTAATAATGTGTGTAAGATTGTAGAACTTACCGAGTTTTCGGACACGTACGCTGTTATTGTCGGTGTCCTGTGATGGCTGCTCGGCAAGAAGTAGAAGTAGGCCATTCACCGAATCAGGCGTAACGGGACCATCGAGACGAAATTCTTGTGTTTGACGTCGTAGTAGTGGCTCCAACGTCGACCTGCTCGTTTTCGGGATTTCTATTCTAAGTCTCTGCCAAAATACCGGCCAATCCAACATAAAATCAAACCAAGATCGACAGACACCAGCGCACTGCAGTAGATCGTATAGTTCAAGGTCTTCGAAAATCAGAGAGAGGATGTCGTAAGGAAGAATTCGGCGAAAACCCTCAATATGCTCCATGAGCATGTTTAATGCGTTGCGCTTGGCCTTTTCTAGTCTGATATAGTGGCTCCAGGTATTGTTACATGATAGCTGTGGCTGTGGTACTGATTGTAGACCTTGATTGTAGACCATCAACGCGGTACGAAAGTCGTCTTGCTGTTCGTGCAAATATCCTGAGGCAAGGTACCCTTCGGCCGATTTTGGAAACATGCATATCAGCTCCTGAGCAGCCCAGTGTTCCTGTGCCATTTCCTCTGCTGAAGAAAGTTTTGAAGGTGTATTCATACTTCTTTCGGACGACGAAGTCACCGCTGATAAGGAGACTGTATTATTCGCTTCAAAAATCGAGAAAATAGTTTTGTAGATTTTATCGAGCATACCAAGTAAACGGCGGTAAAGAAAAGAGTATGATAAAACAAGAGATCTTTAACCAACATATACAAAATCTGTTGTCGTGACACAAAGAGCGGAGACCACAACGTGTGGCTGTGCCTTTTAACCTTTCTTAAAAGAGGAACAGCACTTGAAGGCATCAAGCTCTACAATAAATATCGGTCAGAATTCGTCAAAGCTCCACGCAGCGCTCAGTTATTCATCTATCCGATCGCCACGTCGGATTATCAGAATTGCATCGTGTCGAAATCGAAAAAAGGGCTTTTATTTATATGTAAACCTGCATCTTTGTTGACATGCAATCTACTATATGAAAAGCACCTCCGAATGTGCCATGAATTTTCTCAACTTTGAGACTCGCTATTGTCATAATATCGCATCAGATACTGTACAGTTTGGCGGATACGCAGTATATGAAAAAGTTAGTCAGTACGATGACTGTAGTTCATAAGGGTGTCTGGGTTAGCCGATTATGCTTCCGAACAAAACTCATATGCCACAATCTATAGTTAATGCCTTTATATCAGCAAGGGTAGTAATACAGGACGAAGTATAATCCCAGCATGCATAATCCCAAGATAACGAAGTTGTAGTGAACGTATGCTCGGAAATGCATCTCGGTCACAGCGTCACATACTTGTCATCGATGATCTGCATATAACCTCATGATTGGGCTGCGAAAGAAACCATCCCTTTTACTTTTCCTGCTTCTTTCTGGCTTTGTTCACTCTTCACTGATTAGATGCTAGCACTCAACTTACTGTTGCTCGTAGCAATCGCCATTTTTGCTTGTACAATCAAAGCTGACGTTTATGATGAACTCGGTGAATCCACTTTTCGATCGTCCAAAAATATCCTTTTTGCTGCAACGTTGGGTGGATCAAGTCACAGCTCCTGGGTAGCACGGCTACTCAATGAGCTGACACTGCGAGGTCACCGTGTTACCTATGCTGCCACCGTATGTGATCGCTTTTCAGCAGACACTTACGAGAGAAGATCGTCTGCAAAACTAAATGGATGTACTTTTTTCTCATTTGTGTCGCTTCTAGGACACCCAAATGAAATATACCGAGCCGTATCCTCATATTGATACCGAGGATCTCGGCGGCGGATTTTGGGTCAAGTTAAATGCTCACAACCGGACGTTCCCGAGACCATGGAATGATTTTAAGAACGAAATCAATATCAACACTGAGAACTACGGAAAAAGTGAGTAAGAGAATAAAAAGGGCAACTGGTAACTGTAATAATGCTAATTGTCAGCATTCATGCTTCAGTATATACTCGTATACAGCAGATAATGTCAGTTAATTCGTTTGATGTAATTATCTGTGATCAGTTCTCCACTGAATGCAGTGATGCAGCACGCATATCCGGAATTCCTTCTATTCAAACTATGGTTATGAACTTATCGCCAGGTAGTGAGCCATTTTTTAAAAAGCAAGTTACAACGGATTTAGGATACTTCTTCATAAATTTACCGTGAAAACAACGATAGATTCTTTCGCTCCATACATCAACAAATGCCGCATTCTTCTCGGTGAAACGACAACAGAACATATGTCCCTTCCATATCGATTTTATAAAAAATTCATGTTTCCTATCGCCGCTCATTGGCACTTGGGAGAAGCAAGAGAGAAATTTCGCCAGAAGCGAATGGAGCTTACCGGAGACATGGCACCGCCCGCCGATCCTGCACGCAACTCGCTCAAAATCGTAAACAACTTTTACGGTATTGAAGAAGCACGACCGATGGGTCCGCTGGTGGAGATGATTGGTCCAATTTATAACGCTGTCTATGACCCCTTACCTCCTAGCATTAAGGATTTTCTCGATAAGCACGAGCGTGTAGTCTTTGTAGCCTTTGGACAACACGCGTCCGCAAAACCGTTCGATACAAAACGTATATTGGAGGAGCTGTTGAGCTTGGTGGAATCCAATCTAATCGACGGAATCGTATGGGGTGTCGTCAAGTCAAGCGCAGGACTTCCGGACACGGTTACCACCAAATCAGGTCGTACGTACGATATCAAGGACTTGTGGGAGGATGAGAAGCATCCGAACGTTCGTCTTTTACCATGGGCTCCACAGTTTGCTATCCTGAATCATCCATCTGTTATAACATTTTTATCGCACGGCGGCGGCATGTCCATATTTGAAGCGCTATACGCAGGAAAACGGACAGTAATCAAGCCATTCTTCGGTGATCAACCGGGACACGCTCTTCATTTCGAGCGGGAACAGCTGGGAGGCTACTTAAAATTGGCCGAGCCAGAAGCATTCGAAACGCTAAGGCGCGTCATTGAAGACAAGGATGGTACAATCCAAAATAACATAAAACGATATCAGGCACTGGTGCAGATCCGAGCTAAGCATGCCGTTACCCGAGGGGCTGACTTGGTTGAAGAAGTTATCTTTACAAGCGTGAATGGTCACTTACCTCATCGTCTCGATGTTGCCCGTAGACTCTCGTACCTGAAGGCCAATGACTACGACTTGGGCCTGTGCCTTGCTGCTATCATATTAGGACTTGGATTGACGACTCGATTTGTATATCTACGGATGAAAAATCATTACCAGAGAGGACAATCCCAGCAACAGCACAAATCAAAGCAAATGTAACATGAAATTCAGTTGTGCTATCTTGCATCCCCTTTCCTCGTGCTTTTACTGCATATATACAAGTCAGCTAGAAAGGTCCCTCAGATGCAAAAAAAAATCTTAAAATAAAGTTTGGAATTGCCTTTATTGGAAATCGGAGAAATTTAAAGTTGGGGGGAGGCGACGATGGCTCTTGTACTTTTTCACTGCCCATTCAGCATGACGCATGTCGAGACCTCTGCTGTACATCTCGATAAACCTCCAGGCACGATTCTCATAATGGATCATGTGCTTGATGCTAATGCGTTTTGGAAGGTCCTTTACGTGTTGTTGCAATGATGAGAAAGAATAGTCACATTCGCGCCGAGTGATGCTTTTCATCTCGGCCCACACTCTTTCGATCCAGTTACACTCGCAATGGAATTTGGGATATAACTCGAATATCATGTGATGCTTCTCACAAATTTCCTGCAAGAGCGACTTCTGCTGCTGGAAATCTGGTTGGAAGGCTACGATATGTACTGCGCAGCAATTGACAGTTTTCTCTTGCTTGCAATGACGGATTAATCCCTGTGCGGGCCAAAGGTTCCTCTCCTTGAGTATGGCTTGAAGTCCCCGAGGCACACCATTAGCATCCACCATCGGCTGCACAATCCATTCTCCGTTGTTGCCATAGTAACCGCCGTTTCTTGATACAATCTGTTTTCCGCCCGGGCTCATATTCATTCTGTACGCATTAAGCGCATCATCGGGCATTGCAGAATGGTTGGAGCTCTGGTCAAAGCAGAAAACGCCAACGCAGTTAGGATGCAATCTTTGAAACTCTTCTATTGCTGATTCAAGCTGGTTGGCCATGTCGGTCTTTTTCCAATAGCCGTCGTTTTGAGCGCCAGGAATGATCGTCTTGCTTGAAAAAAGACCATGGCAGGAACAAGCAAAAGCACTGAGCATGATTGCACGGCCCTGACCTTTCTTTCTGATCAGGCTCTCGTTGGAAGCCAAATACACGCCTCGCTTGCAGTCGTTGGCGTAGAAGTAGGTCTCGTCGTGTGTGACCAGTACTTTCTCATGCTCCCAAACCCTGGTAACCGCTCGTTCTGCTTCATCATCCTCATCATACCTCGTCATGAGCTCTCTGTGCTCAAGCATTATCGTTGCCCATTCCTTGCGATAAATTACGACGTCTTCTCTTTCATGACCGTCGATGTATGGCGCTTGGGCTTTGTCTTCGATTTTAAACCCCCATTTCTTAAGGTATCGTCGTACGGTGGATTCAGATACGGCAATCCCAATGCGCTGTTCAGGGTTGGCCTCATCTAGTACGAGGTCATGCAGAATGAACTCTCGCAATGCAATAACTGTTCTCTTTTCGGGCTTCATTGACCTGAAAAAAGCAACGCATTTGTCCTTAATATGCTCGTCAGCAAGCATAGACGCGGTCTTGATGTGGGCTCCTTTGACAAAAGGTGTCAATCTCCCGGTTCTCAGATACTCGTTCGCCCAACCTCGGATCCTTTTCGCAAACCGTTGACCACGATTCCAATGCAGCGTGCTCAGCTTCTCAGATGCGCCTGTCTTCTCCTCTTTTTGTGATATCATCGTAAAGTAGTGATACAACGTGGCGAAACGCGCTCTCTGCAAACGATCAACATCAGGCGTTTTTCGATATAGGTCTGCATAAGGCCTAAGCGCTGCGATTGCTGATTCGACTTTGTCGTCATCGGCCCGCTTTTCCTCTTCTTTCTTGATCTTCATCTCGACCCTCTTTTGCCAAAACATCTCATCCACGCGTAGGCAGCCTCGCTGCATTCTCTCTCTCTTTTCATCAGCCTTTTTAACTGTGCGCTTTGAGTCTTTGGCGTAATAGGTGTTGCGTCCTTTCTTATCAGCGCCAGGAACCCACATTAACGCGTCGCTCAGGCTTTTTTCCACGCTGACAAGGTCGACCTCAGGGATCTCCAAGTCGTATTCTTCGTTCTCGTCGTCGTCCGTGATTTCTTCTTCACTATCCTCGACATCGCTGACAGTCGCGTCTTCTTCGAGATCTTGTGTCGACTCCTGCTCTGCCGCTTGCGTTACTCGTATCTGTTTGGCGCGTTTGCCCTCAACATAGTTAGATTTGCCAATTCTGGAGCGTTTTTTCGGTCTGGCCATGTTGAATTGGTGCAATGAAAGCTAATTTAAGTAATGTATAGAGGGATGGTATGGAAGTAAGGTGCTAAAATGCTAAGTTGCCCAGCTAAAAGTGACCAAATAAGGAAACTTCAGACGTTAATTGCTCAGCCAGTTTTTAAGCACAAAAAAATCAGTGGTAGTGAATTTTGTTCCTCTCCTCAAAAGCTTTCGTTTCCACTATCGTTTGCGGTGATCACGTGTGTTAATGAAAATTTATTAAGGTTTAAAGTCGGGGCTCATAAGGACCTTTCTAGCTGACTTGCACCTTATATACATCCACCTGCCTCGCTTCGCTGCGCTCCGGGTCATTCAACGGATTGGATGTTTCCTGGGGGTTCCCCCCAGACCCCCAAGGTGGGGGGTTCCCCCCCACACCCCCCTTCTAAACCCTAACCAAAGCTCGCTTCGCGAGCTTATTTATTGCTATGACTACATATAACCCTAAACGTTATCATTATTGCTATGACACGAAACCCTACTACACGTTGGTTTGTCAAATTAAAAGGGACGACAGAGGAACTTTTGACTGGTATTTCACTGTTAATGCGAGGATAACTTATTTGTTGCTATCGACAGCTCTTACATATTTTTGAAAGTTCATCAATGTGTCCGCTTTCATTTGAACATCATGGTAGATTATTGCTGCTTGTCGTAATTAGCTGAAAGGTGACGGCAGCTTCGCGTAGTTCTATATCTTATTGTTTCGCGTCAGATCTACTTACGAAAGATACCGTGAAGAGGTAAGAATATTCTATTGTACGTTAAATGATAATAAGTAAAAATAAGAGTTTAGAAGCAAAAAGAAAAAGAGCAGAAAAGGGCTTAAGGTGATGGAGGTGGAAATGCGGTGATTGTTGTTGTGGGAGAGGTTGGTGGTGAATTTTCGGCTTGTTCAGGAACAGAGGCCGGCGGATGCAAGAGAACTTCTTGGTAGACGATGTTGGTGGTTTGTGGTGGTCCAGACCCTGAGAGATCGATGGCAACGCGAAGATTGTTAGGGTCAGTTGCCCGAGATAGCGCAACATATAGTTGGCCATGAGCAAAGACATCTTCTGCAAGGCGGACACCGACATATTGCAGGGTTTGCCCTTGCGCTTTGTGGATGGTCATAGCAAAGGCAGGGCGAACAGGGAATTGCGTGCGTTTAAATTGGATAGGGGAGCGTGTTTCCGATGGTGTGAGTGTTATGCGAGGGATCAAGACGATGTTACCGGCATGAGGCCCAGTGGCTATCTCAGGTTCAAGTACATATCGCTGGAAAGAGCGTACGATCAGCCGTGTCCCATTGCAGACCACTTTGGGTGTGCAAGTTTCTCAAAAGCATGACTGGGCAACCGACTTTGAGTTTTAGCAAATGCGGTGGGAGGTCGGATGGATTTATTGCATTGAGAAGCTCTGGTGGGTATGTCATTTGATCTTCTGGATCATCCACTGTATCAGCGCTCTGGAATTCGTTTGCAGTGCCTGGGAAATGGTCGAGTATCAGTTCGTTGGGTGCTGTAACGTCGACATTCTTTGGAGTCAAGATAGAGCGACTGATGAGGTAATCACGATCCATATGTGGTGCGTTGAGGTTGCCGTAAATGGTTTCTATGAGCTCGTACATGTTGTAATATGGCATGAGCATTCGATCTGGAAGCCGGACTCTGTCATCAGTGGTTGGCACGAACAGCTCAGCGCCATTACCAATGCGAAATCAAAATATTGCGCAAACTCGCGAAGCTCATTTGCATCATTGGTGTTGGCAGCTTGTTGGACGCGAATGTTGGTATCAGGTGGTGGATGGTGACGCTGGGCCAAATGGATGAGCGATTTAAGCACTGCTGTACGATCTGCGAGCGCGACGCATTTGGTATCACTGGAAGGACCTATTACCATATACTTTACTGTGAGTACTACCGCTTAATAGTAAAAAACATGCAAAGTAGAAGAGAGGATACAATGTTGAGTACCTGGCAAAAGTCAACACCAAGGACCATAATTTTTCCACCAAATGGAACATCGGCAAGTGCGGGATCGTCATGTCTCATGAGATCTTGGATACGCTTATACGTATACGTTGATACTTGTATTGATACTTGTGTCCAGCGTGTTTAAAGCGATGACACTTCTCATATGATGAAGGACGTGAAGTGAGCTTCATCTCGTGTTAATGAAGGTTATCCCCTTAGATCTTTCCTCGATGCGATACCCGTCTACTCACATAGTCATACATTCATGTAGAACAAATTTCCTGATCTGGAGGAGCCACACATTTCGGCGCGTCATAAACGTGAGAGAGCAATCTGATTGGATAGATTGAACTGGCTCAAATGCCGTGTTCATTACTACTATATAACCGTGCGGCCGCAGCAATCATGGGGCTCTTCTTCCTCTTCGTCAACTTTTCTAAACCAAAGCTATTCAATGTGAGTGTCATTGGAACGGATCAGAGGATCGGAGAGTGTATGTTTATGGTGGTGAGTGAGAAGAGTGTATGCAACCGGTTGTGAGTATCCTAAGATCCGTTTATCTCACTTTCTTTCTTTTTTGACACAGACCTTCTTCTCGTCTTAACCTGGTCCATCTCCCCCTCACGTTGGCTCTCAAAGCACAGATGCAAGAGTAAGTACAATATGGAAAATGTGAAGTGTGACTTGAGGCTTTGCTTGTGGATGTGATATACGAAAGAAGATATGAATTTCGACTTGTCTAAAGAAGTGTGTGTACAGCATACAGTCGCTAATGTTATCCTCCTTTCTTCTCTGCTACTACTATAGGATTCTGACTTTTTGAAATGGTTGGTTCGGTTTGTTGTTTGCATCCCACCCTTAAACATAAGCAACAACTGTAAGTACGGTAGGGAATGTGAGGATGAGTTGGAGAGAAGTCGAGTGTCTGTTGGAGGTGCTGATGCCATGACGTGTCAGGAATAGTTGCATATTAAGAACAGCCTGCTCATGATCTTTCTTCTTTTCATTCTACTTCAGGTTTCGCTTTATGCTGGTTGGGTTAATTGTGTCCTGCGGACAAATAACAGATAGTAAGTATAAGCAAAAGGGGACTTGAACATTGGTATGATAGGTGAGTAGGATGACATGGGTGTTGGGGATGACGCGTCAAAGGTGTGCAGTGTGTACATCAGCGTGACGGGAAAGGGCTCCTGACCATGACGTATGCAATATGGCAGTCTCTCAAAAAAGTTTCTCTTATTCTTTTTTCAGAACTGGTCATCCCCTTCTTGCTTTTCCTCTCTCTAACTCAAGGCTCTCTTCCTCCAAGCCAAGGATGTCATAATAGTAAGTATCGCTGTGCTTGTGTTTGTCTTTGCGTGTTTGAAGAACCAGGAAGATGTCTGCCGTGACATGTCAAAAAGTGTATGCAGCTGCTCATAGATGTTTTCTTTTTTCTAATAGAGGATGACTCTGCGGTGATCTGTTTGAACTTGGATTGGCTTAGACCCCATCTCTCTCTGTCTATAACTTTGCTGTAAAACGACAAAACAAATGTAAGTCAGCTTGGGATGGAGAAGGATGGTAATGCCGTGTCAAAAATAAAGATAGCACAGTGGGTGCAGCCCTCTAATGATCTTTTCTTTTTCCAGCTAGAAGAAGTGTTTCTGTCTTGGCTGTGATTCTCTGCTCTGCTCTGGCCGTGTGCTCGGCTCTTCTGTGTCTCATCGTAGAAGTATGGGTAAGCATAGCACGATAGAATCTTGTGTGTGTGGTTTGACAGTTTCCCATTAACTATTCGTCTCTTTTGTTTCTCGGAATGGCGGTAGTGCACAGACACCTCCAAGCTGGTCAAGATTGATGCTCCACTGTCATCCCGCTCCTAGAAGCCGACCTGTCAAGTAGTCCATAGGCTGCGGTCAAGATCTATCCATCCATCTGGACGGTGGCGTGTGCTTTTTGCTTTGACTTGGACCTGAGGAAGTCCTTAAAAGCCTCATATTCTTCTTTGCGTTCTTTATATATTTTATCCCCCCCTCCCCTCCTCCCCTTGCTCTGACCCAGGAAGTCATTAAAAGCGTCTATTGCGTTTCTAATATAGTTTATCCCCCTCCCCTTCTCCTCCCCCTTTGCTTTTTTCTCGCAGTTCCTAGTAGCCTCTGTCTCGACCCATCTTCGGATGTTGCATCGTTTCACGCGAACGGCTGTTTTTTTACTCAGGCAGCCTCCGGGCGTAAGTCCTGCTTCATCTACAATTTCCCCGCGCCCACGGGTCAAAAGTGCGGCCGAGGTCCCCCATGAATTTGGGGAATGCTTTGCGTAAGTACTTGCTTTCTCTCTCTCACTCTCCGTGCGCGGGTGGAATTATATGGAAAGAGCGGAGGTTCCTTTTTTGGATTTTTCAGCTAACTTTTAAAGATTTTAATAATAAAGATATACAAGTATATCATCGTTGCTAAAAGATATTAGTCAAGTCTGGATATATAACATAAAGAGTCCGTTATTGAATATGTTTCTCCCTCCGGGATATAGTGTGTATGTTTTGTGTTCTTTCAAATGGACGGATGCGTGGACAAAGGTATAAAATGCGCAATAACCTGTCAGGAGACAGTTGTACTATTTCTTTTAAAAAGGTGATAAATGCAAAAGGAGTGTTGCGGTAAACTTGCTTTTTGTTGCAGTGGTTGTATGATACAATTATGAAAAATGTGGTATTATGGCTCCCTTCAGTAACTGCCCTTCTGTAATCATTTTAATACTTCAAGGTATCCCAGTATTGCGATTGGACCTGCTTGACTTTTTGAACCGTTTCAACACATTCTGGGCTTGGGGTAAGTAGTGTGGGTATTTCGGGAGATTCGCCTACCAAGACTGACATGCAGGCATATGCAGACTTGGCAATGGACTCGAGATTATATCCACCCTCCAGCGCTAGTACGACACGGCCGTTGGCTAAGCTCTTGAGCATATGTGTCATTTGTCCGTATCCAGCCGGTGTGACATGACATTCTCCGATTTGATCTCCTGCGGCAGCATCGAATCCAGCAGATACTACGGTAAGTGAGAGAGAGCAGCAATTGAAAAGAGGTTATCACAATATATCGCTATCAAACGGGCCTAAGAATGGATAGCAACGTCTTTCTTTTACCTATTACAAGAGAGGGATCAAACTCCATGGCGATAGGCATCACAATTTGTCGGAATGCATATAAATAATCACCATCTGTCATGCCAGAATCGGGCCAGGGAATGTTCACCGTTCTATATACGTGGTTGTTGTAACAAAATTTTGATCAATTCAAGAGAGTACACTAGATGCTGGAGGCAATTCTTCGTTTGAAAAAACCACGAACCTTCCTCTACCCTTTCCTCGACCAACATAGGCATGCCGGCCATGTTTGTCTTGTGGATAGAATGTCCCCTTTTCATATCTATGTAGAGAAATGTAAAGGATATCTCCATCGCTACTTGTCAGCTGTTGCGTGCCATTCCCTGAATCCGTGTCCAGTATATCGTGAGTTCTTTCTCGATCATGCATTGCTTTCGTTTTGTAATTACCAAAATGTATATCCCTGAGAAAATCAAAGGCATAAAAGAAACGTTAAATTGTAGCCAGGAAAGTACACGCTCGTTCCCAGCCTCCCAATGGACGAAAACTTACCAGTCGAGTATAAGGATTCGTTCTACAAAAGGGAAATGTTCCTTGCAGTATCGAGCGGCGATAGCGACATTGTTCATCAAGCAAAAGCCCATGGCTGTGTCAAATTCGGCATGGTGCCCTGGTGGTCGTACAATTGCAAAAGCGTTCTGCACTTTGTCGGTGACGACAGCGGAGCATGCCTCGATGACACCACCTGCGGAAAATAAGGCCGATTCATGCGAGTGCGCGTTCATATAGATCGAATTGTACTGTCTCGCCTGTTTTTCCAATTCTTTACGAGACATTCCTATACGTGTAATTCTCCAATTAGCAGCTAGAAATAGATCCAGACATAGTTTTTTTCCTTTCTCTTTCATCCACAATAGGACTCTCCTCCCTTCAATATCTCTTTTGTGCACCTTCTGTTTGCCTCAAAGTCTGATAATAACGCGGGTCATGCGTTGCAAGAACTTCGGCTTTCGTCGCTTGCCGTATTGGTATTTTGGTGCAGTTGTTCAACAGTCCATTTTCTTCCATGCACTTGTATATGCTGTAAATACGGCGAGGATCTTCGGGATGCGGGTCATCATCGTCACCAGCATGACCAAGCTGTGCATGAAGCGACATAACAACATCGTATACATATCCAGTCGTGAGCTTATGTCGTGACATGCGCTTGTAATCCAGATCCGTTTCCACTCCTTCTACACTTGACGACCGATTTGGCTGTGCTGTTACAAATTCGTCACTGAGAGGCGAGTCAGCCTGTTCTGCAGAATAAAAATCGTCATTATCGTCGTCGCCAGCTTCTTCGTCAATATGTTCTGGCCCAGTCAGGTTTTTCATGTTTGCAGTGTTTGCCAACGAGGTAGGATCGCTCTGATTTCGGGATCCTTCCTCGCACGAATGTACTGCATCGTCTGATAGCGGTGTCGAAGAAAAAGAAGATAACGTTGTCGATGGTGGACTTGTGGAGGCATATTGTCTTTCAGGTGTTTGCTCGTCGGATAATGTTTCTTTCGCAGTTGCTGCTGAAGGTGATGTAGACGGTTTTTGTGCTGTTGTTGCTTCTGGTGCTACTGTTAGTACAGACGTGATCGTGTCTCGCTCAATGGCTTTGCTGGTGACCGGCGGCTTTTCTGCTGCAGCGGGATCCGTATTTTCCTTTGAGATGAGACCGTCAAGATTAGGTGTTGGTGCTGCCGAACCAAGTTGCTCGTGAACAGGAAGGAGTGGAGGAGAATCAATGGAGACTTCACAGTCCCGTGGATCGTTAAGGTTAGTCTTGAGCGGTTCTGGTGCGGTAGGTAAGGTTGTATCTATAGTTTTGTCCTTTTCGCCATTAATCTCTTTTTCTTTATACACTGATTGTTCGAACGACAATGCCGCTGTTGGGGGTGGCAGAGCAGGTGTATTGTCATTGTCGTTATCGTCGTCCATAGCGTCAAAACGATCATCGGACTCTTGTGAGCTTCGTAGCTCGTCCACTTCGTATGGCACAACGTCGTGGCTCTTTTTGGGCGTACCATGTGTCATCCGGATACTTTCAAGTTCTTCGTCTCCTTCTTCATCGAATTTCTCTTGGTTCTCCTGCTCTTCAACAGCATCTTCAAGAATGCCATCACTGCCATTCACATCATCATCATCATCCGGTTCTGCAATAACTCGGCCGTGCTTACTCGTCGTCGTCGTATTTGTTGTTTTTAATATTTTGACATCCTTCTGTACGTCTGCTGCTTCCTCTTCTTCTTCAAAGAGTTCGTCTAACTCGTCTTCATTATCATCATATAGGGACTGTCGCTGTTGCGTTTGGTTCACCTGTGCTTTCTTGCCCCGTAGGTCACTACGTCGATCTTGCATAGGGACAGGAGCAGCAGTGGCGCCGTCTTTACTACTACTGTCCGAATCATCGCTATTTGAACCGCCGAAGGGGTTCAGATAGTTTATTGTAATGTTCTTCGTTCGTTTCGCATTGTCGCCTTTGGTGGAGGTTCGCTTGAAGAGGCGACTACGTGTAGGAGGAGGAAGTGCAAGTGCTGGCTCGTCGTCATCATCATCCAGAGTCAAATCAATGACGGTTGGCACTTGACGGAGAGACGATGACGATGGTACAGGTGGAGACGATGGTATAGCAGCAGCAGCAGCTGCTGCAGCTTCCTGCGAGGATGATGGTGATGATGGTACCGGTCGAGATGACGACGACGACGATGATGCATGCTGTTGTTGCTGTTGATATTTGTGCTGAGAGCTCCCAAATACAGTTTTTTGTCTTTTGCACGGTCGTAAATCGAGCTTTTCAAAGAAAGGTAGTTGTTCGTATACCCTGGAGCTAGCTGTCACACCAGTCGCGCCTTTTCCTTTATCGCTACCGCCATTAGTACGTGTATTGTCATTGCTGCTGCTACTCACACTGCTGGTGCGTGTTAGACCACTACTGCCAGCGATTGAGATAGGGATGGTTGCCGTTGAACAATCGCTATTTAAGGTGACACCGGTGAGCGTTTTGACAGGGATCACGGGTTGTTGATCTCCTTCATCAATGTTGCGGGTACGTTTCGAAGCTTTATCCACGATGGTGCCGTGATCTATGGTGTGAGCATATCGCGAAGAATTTTTCTCCATCGCGCCAAAGTGAGAAGGAGAAAGTGTGTGGTTATAGAGGTAAGTGAGCCCTTTGAAAGGAGTAGGTACTACGGGTTGGCAGCAAAATGTGGATATAGTGGCTTGCCGGAAAACCAATGCCCGCTAAGTAATGGGTGCAACAGACCAGGAAGGAGGGGAAAAAGAGCGAAAGCAAAAGCCAATGCCCACCATCCCTTCTTTTTTAACCCCCCCTCATTTGTAAAGCACGTGACTTGGTTCTTCTTCAAATGCTTGTGGAAAGCATCCCTTGCTACATTGGCCGAGTTTGTATGCTCTAAACAGTACCATCTTCATTCCACATATTATCGTGCTACTTAGCTACACTTCTATAATAGACATTGAAGCGTCGTACGTACTCTCACAGCAGCCACTTTATAGAAATGAGCTCGATAGAACTGATTGAAAGTACAGAATAAATATAACGATCAATCCTCTCGCCATTGATAGTGTCAAAAAAGGACGACAAGACTAATTTCCTTCATAAGTAGCAAGAGTACAGTATTGCAATGGCGTGGCTATCTAGTCACTGTGGAGGGTTAGCAAGTGAATTTCGAGACGTTATAATCGTAAATCAGTGCAAAAAACACGTACTCTAGTGGCTCGATCAAACTAGTGCGAGCGCTGAGTGACAAATTTAGAACTTTATGTTGGCACTGTGCGGACGGCGCGCTTTTCGTTCTATTTCTTCCCAGATCTTCTCTTGATCTGATCCTACGCTACTTTTTTTTTTTCCATGATTCCACAACACGGCGATCAACCGACTCTACCTAAAGAAAGAAACTTTGAAGGCGGTGACTCACCTGCACCTAGCCAACACCCTGCCAAGAGACGAAAGAGAGAAGAACAAAATGGTTCTGCTTCTGCTCCGTCGCCTTCTGGCGAGCAACACGCAGAAAATGAGCCTCGCAACAGCGTGATTACTGACCATATGGCTGTGGACGAGCCTGCAGGAGGCACAAGCGATATTGCTCCTCTTAAGCCCTCAAAGTGGCAGTCTACCATTGAGGAGGTTGTCAAAGCGATCGTCTCGATCCGCTTCAGTCAAGTTGCAGCATTCGATACTGAAGGTAATTGAGATTTTGAGATCTCCCCTTGGGTGTTTGTGTGTGTAAGTTTTTACTCAAGCTCTAACAACATAATACTCCACTTGGTAAATCAGGACCGGAAACATCGGAAGCATCGGGTTTCATCGTAGATGCGAAGAATGGCATTATTCTCACGAATCGTCACGTTGCTTGCGCAGGTCCATTTGTGGGTGAGGCTGTCTGCCACGATCATGAAGAAGTCGATGTCTTTCCGATCTATCGCGATCCCGTGCATGACTTTGGTTTCCTAAAGTACGTATCTATTAGTAGCATTTAATTGCGTCTTTGCTGCGGAGAATAGGAAGGTTCCTTGGCTTTTCCATTTTTTTTTTTGAGCTAAAAAGGGAATCACGTTATAGGTTTGATCCAAGTAAAATTAAGTACATGCCTGTTACTCAGGTGGAACTGCGCCCTGAATTGGCAAAGGTGGGCTTAGATATCCGAGTCGTAGGGTAACGTGTTTAACTTTATATTGATTGTGGCACGCACTAAACAGAGAAGGATATAATGAAATTGACGTAAGGCTTCCTATTTAGTAACGATGCTGGTGAAAAGCTGAGCATTTTGGCAGGCTCGATATCGCGTTTGGATCGTAACACGCCGGACTATGGTGATTTGACATATAATGATTTCAACACATTCTATCTGTAAGTAGGGATGGCGATCTTCACGATGGGCTGGGAAGAACGTAGGAAGGGTGGCGGGGACGGTGGATAACTATGTGTACTAGCAGACGGGGTACTTATAAGATGTGCTATAGACAAGCTGCTTCGAGCACAAGTGGTGGAAGTTCCGGCTCACCCGTGATTGACCTTGACGGTAATGCTGTTGCATTACAAGCTGGTGGCCACACCAAAGCAGCCACGGATTTCTTCTTACCTCTCGACAGAATTAAGCGTGCCCTTCAATATGTACAACGTGGTGAACCTGTTCCTCGAGGTGATGTTCAGGCTCAATTTGTGTAAGTAATAAGTACAAAGAGGGGAAAATAAGCGACTAACATCAGTTGAAAGCTGGTTGGTGAATGAATGAGATGCTTAATACCGTTGCTGTTGTGTACTGTAGATATCGTCCTTTTGATGAGGTGCGTCGTTTGGGCTTGAAGGCCGAAACTGAAGAAAAGCTTCGAAAGGAATTCAAGGACGAGATTGGTATGCTAGTTGTTGAGACAGTGTTGCCAGAAGGCCCAGCACATGGCAAAATGGAAGAAGGCGATATTCTTCTGACCATGAATGGCCAATATGTCACTCGATTTGTGTCCTTGGAAGAAATGCTGGATTCGAATGTCGGAAAGGAAATCAATGTTGTGATTGAGCGAGGTGGCAAGACAATGGAACTGACCGTGTGTGTCGGTGATCTTCATGCCATGTAAGTTGTGGGAAGACAAGGCTTTTAATCATTTAAAGTTTTATTATGCGCATAATAATCATTCTAACCCCTTTTTAGCACACCAGATCGATACGTTGAGGTGGGCGGTTCTAAATTGAACGAAGTTTCATATCAGCTTGCTCGTGCTTATTGCGTACCTTGTCGCGGTGTATACGTTGCTGAACCCTCTGGCAGTAAGTTTACATTTTCTTTTTTTGAAAAAATCAAACTTACATGTTCATTAGTGTTTAGATTGGATGGCCCAGACAATGGCTGGATTATCAAATCAGTGGATGATAAGGACACACCCAATTTGGATACTTTCATTGAAGTGATGAAAGGTATTCCCGATCGCGCACGTGTACCTGTCGTTTATTACTCTATCGCCGACACACACACGATCCTCGTCTCAGTTGTCCAGGTTGACCGCCACTGGTCTGGCTTCCGTTTGGCTGTACGAAATGACAAGACCGGTCTGTGGGACTTTACTGATTGCGGCGCGCCCATTCCTCCACGCCCCATCGAACCTTCCACCAAGAAGTTTATCGAGCTGGATAGCAGTATGGGCCCATGCAAGGAATTGATTCGTTGTCTAGTTAAAGTGAGCTATTACATGCCTTGTCGGATGGATGGTTTCCCACGGAACCGCAAGCTTGGTGCGGGTGTCGTTATTGACAAGGAACGGGGCTTTGTTGTGGTTGCACGCAGTATTGTGCCTACTGCCATGGGTGATCTGACAATCACCGTGGCGGACTCATTGGTTATCCCTGGCAAAGTGATTGTAAGTTTATCTTTGCAGATGTGTGGAGTGTGGTCAAATCTAAGCTGTGTTGTCCTCACCGACGTCTTCTGTTTATAGTATCTCCACCCAACACACAACTTTGCCATTGTCAAGTACGATCCCAAGCTTATCGGCGACACGAATGTCTTGAGTGCCCCCATTAGCGACAAGACGCTTGAACAAGGCCACAAGGTTACCTTGGTAGCTCATAACCACAATCAACGGCCCGTGTGTCTGAACACTGTTGTCACTGACATTACCTGTGTGACAATTCCGCACAATGGCGTAAGTTGTGTAACAAAAGCATGCATCAATTGTGTACACAATTTAATACTAATCCAACGGAAAAACTGAATCTTAGACTCCTCGGTTCCGGGGCATCAATCAAGACGGTATCACTCTCGACACACCCTTAGCACTCCAATGTTCGTCTGGCCTGCTTGCTTCTGCAGAGGGCAAGGTACAAGGATTATGGCTCAGCTATTTGGGTGAGCGAAATCTGAACGGCCACGACAACGAGTATCATCTTGGCTTGCACATCTCTACAATTTTGCCTGTTCTGCAACGTTTACAACGCAATGTCCCTGTCGAGCTACGAAGCTTGAACGTGGAATTGATGCCTGTTCAAATGGCACAAGCATCAGCCATGGGTGTGTCTGATGAGTGGATCCGCAAGGTTCAAGATGCCAACCACGCAAAACATCAGATTTTCATGATCCGACGAACAGAAGCATGTAGTGAAAGCGGCAACGTACTCAAGGAACTCGACTTGATCTTGGCAGTGAACGGCAAAACCATCACGCGCATGTATGAGATGGATGTACAATACGAGGCCGAAGAGCTGGAGATGACCATCCTACGACAAAAGAAGGAAATGACGGTCACGGTGAAGACATCCCCCGTCACTGGCGCTGGCACAAGCCGCTTGGTATTCTGGGGCGGTGCTGTCTTGCAAGAACCTCACAAGGCAGTTTTGCAGCAAAGCAAGACGTTGCCATCCAAGATTTATATTTCGGCACGGTCCAAGGGATCGCCTGCGTACATGTATGGATTGGTGCCTACAAACTGGATCACACACATCAACTCAGTTCAGGTAGTCACCCTGGATGATCTCATTGCCGCTGTCAAGGATATTGCGGACAACACGTATGTGCGTGTACGCTGCGTTAGCTTTGACAATGTCCCGATGATGCTTTCGGTCAAGATGGTCAATCACTATTTCCCCTTAGTAGACATGGGTATGGACTCTAGTGTAGAATGCGGATGGAAAAAGAGAACCATCTCTTGAAAACGATAATGCAGTGCATGATTAGTGCACAAACAACATCAACACTCTTACCACGCACCGCTCTTACTTTCTCTCCCCTGTGCATCCCATCATATGTACATCACTCAAACACTTGCATGTTTCTATTTGTTGTAAATTTAGATAAACTATAAAAGTCTTTAAATTTCTCATCTTTTCGTTTCCTCTTTCTTCGCGCACCACACACACTCTGCTCGTTACTACTCTTCTCTCTCTACAGAGCACTTTGCAACAATGCTCAGTAAAAATGAAATGTCATCATCAGCGTCATTAGGGACACGTTCTTACACCACTGATAGTAGCACTGCTGCATCCTTAGCTTTTCCACGCACCAAACCGTTCAATTTTTGGGTCAAGCTTGGAATTGCAGGCGTTCTTGCCTATTTGACGATCCAAATGATCAATATCGAAACTCATGGACGAAGATTACAGACAATGAATCCAGAGGATTGGAAAAAGGTGATGGAGGGCCACCCTTATCAACGGCCTGCACCAGACGCTTCGCGTGGTCCATGCCCAGCCATCAACACGCTCGCCAACCATGGTTTCATCAACAGAGACGGACGGAACGTGACACAAAAGCAGTTGTACGAAGGAGTTGTGAAACTGGGAATGGCGCCCCTGGCTGCACACTTTATATCGCGTTTACCCTACTCTATGTTTAAGCAGCACCACCCGCCTGATGGTCCATTTTCCTATTTTCGATCCGCCAAGACCATCGATTTGGAACAGCTTGGGATCCATAATACCATTGAGCACGACGTCTCTCTCAGCAGATCCGATGTGAATCTGCCGCCATATAGTACGATTCAACTCGTCCCTGAACGTCTCGAGCAGATGATATACATTGCAGCAAAGCGGACAAACGGAGAAAAAGGCGATCAGCAGCAAAAGCAACAAGTGTATATCTTGGATAAGGATGTGTATGACCACCGTAAACTATGTTGGCTCGAGTCAATACGCGATAATCCTTACTTGTTGGTGGGACTCAATCAGCAGGTAAAAAGGAAACGGAACCTAGCGATAGTGCGGGGGAAGAATTTATAGTAGAGATTGATGCTGTTGTTTTTATCTCTAGATGGCCATCACGGCAGAGACGGCCGCGGTGCTAGATATTTTGGGCCGTAACCTAGCTATTTCAGAAGATCATCTTCGATCATTTTTCCTCGACGAGAAAATTCCAGCGGACTGGCATCCGCCCCATGATTCGTCGACACTTGGGATGTTTAAAAGGCTCTGGGAGAGCTTTCAAGGTGTGCAGAAAAGTAAAGCAACTTTACCTCGAGATAACAGAGAGGGAAGCGATTAATTGCAGTATGTATGCACCTATATCATGATGCCCCATATACACATTATTGCGTACCATATCCTGCTTAATGTAGTGCTTATTACAATAAACTCAAACGCGCCAAGCCCGCACATTTGTAATTGAGAACACAGAAAGTTGTAGGACCTAATTATCAGAAGACACCATACACCTATTGTCAATAGACAGCATTTTATTACGACACTATAAGTAAAGTTCATAGTACTGGTAGAAGCCCATTAAATGTTCTCTAACAGTAAAGGTTTCCCTCATTATCCTAGATAGATTCTGGGTAAAGCAAGACAGCGCTTTCAATACTTTGTTTTTGATTGCGTCAAAGGATTAAGATATGCGTACATGCAATGGTTTTAGTGCCTTCAAATGTGATTATCTATATCAACTCAACTCAGCTGGATGATCTCGTTACCATTTATGTGCTGCCAAGGGTATTCTATCAGCATTTTGTATATGCGTGGATGATGCATAAAGATTCAATGTAATCCCATGAAATCGCTCTTATTCAAGATGGTCAACTAGTGTTATCTTTTGAAAGAGATTATCCATGAATGCTAACGTAGAACAGGAGTACAAAAAGAGAACAACTCTGTATGCAGAGCATGATAAAGTACAGAATGTGCATGACTACAGTAGTGCACGCTGACAGATATATCATACACACATCACATACATCACACATACATCACATACGCATCACACATACACACTTGCATGATTTTATTTCAAAAGATTTTGCGAGAAGTTTTGCTTTTTCCCATTTTTTTTCGCTCGCCACGACACACACCTTCCACTTATCTTCACACACAGCAGATAACTTTGGGCCAAGAGTAGTTTTACAATGGCTGATGATAAAAATAAGATACCGTCATCCTCAGAAACACCTGTAAAAAGCAGGTCCTCTGCGCCTCCCCGAGCCAGTTCATCCACACAGTTAAAGCATATGGAAGAATGGAGAAAGGTAATGGAGAAGCATCCTTATCAGCGGCCTGCACCCGACGCTTCGCGTGGTCCATGCCCAGCCATCAACACGCTCGCCAACCATGGTTTCATCAACAGAGATGGGCGGAACGTGACACAAAAGCAGCTGTACGAAGGAGTTGTGAAGCTAGGAATGGCGCCCCTGGCTGCACGCTATATCTCCAGTATGCCATATTCTCAGTTTAAACAACATCATCCGTCCGACGGTATATTTTCCTATCTCCGAGGGTATGCCGAGACCATCGACTTGGAACAGCTCGGAATCCACAATGGTATTGAGCACGACGTCTCTCTCAGCAGAAATGACGTGAATCTGGCACCCTGTAGTTCTGTTCAGCTCGTCCCTGAGCGAGTCGAGCAGATGATCCAGATTGCCGCAAAGCGGACACGCGCGGAGGGTGATAAGGATAAGCAAAAGAGCAGCCAGCAGCAACAGGAACAACGGCTGTATATTTCGGACAAGGATGTGTACGATCATCGTAAGCTGTGTTGGCTCGAATCAATCCGGGATAACCCTCAGTTGTTAATGGGTCTGTTTCAACAGGTGAGAGGAGAACAGCACTTGCTTGTGACTTTTTTTATTATGACATATATGCATTGATGGTGAATTGAGAGGCAAATCAGAATATATATATAAAAAGATTGACGCAGGTTCTGTTCGATATCGTAGATGGCCATTGTAGCAGAAACTGTCGCACTTATGAATATACTTGGCCGTGATCAGGCCATTCCGGAAGATCATCTTCGATCGTTTTTCTTGGAGGAAAGGATTCCAGATGACTGGTACCCGCTGCAAGCTTCGTCCATATTCAAGACGATGAAGCGATCCTGGGAGGCTTTCCAAGGAGTACGCAACAGTACTGCAATGTTGCCTCGAGATGAAGGGGAAGGAGGGAGCTCGGGAAAAAAACAGAAATAGCAGTGTAGTAGTAGCATACGTAATATTGCAAAGTACTGTATCCGAATATAGGACCTTGATGTGATAATTTGAACAAGATGTTCTCTTGTTACAGTATACGATTAAGCATGTACGAAATATGCTCAGCGCTTATTAATCATTTTTATGTTTGTAGTCAAAATAGTGATAGAGTTAACGAGAAAGACGTCATAGCTTCGTCATGAACAATGTGGGCAGTTGATGGCTCAGAAAATCTCTTTAACCTGAACCACACATTATAGTTTCTCTTTGTAACAGCTTCATTGTTTCTTCTATCTATTGAGCTTTGAAAAAGACTTATCAATGTGTTGATTGCCCACCTGACTCAGCTGCCGGACTGGTATCAATTGACACGTAAGAATACCCTACTTCCATTGAACAGTTTTCAGCCAAGTTCATCCGACTGTTCTTCATTGTTGTAGCAAGCAAAACATATACCGGAAACAACGCGGGAAGCAGCATAGATCAATTTTGACCAATGCCAACTGCTTTGTTACTACTTGTCATACTGTCTGTTTTATGCAAATCAGTTCATGTTTCTTTTTCAGTTCTACTATAATGGGCTATATCTTGAACAAGTAAATAGTGACCCAAGTTTCAATGATAAGAATGCATGGTTGAGTCTTTAAATTGTTTAAGTACTCTTGGAGGAGAATTAGAAAACACATCACTACTAAAATGACCAAGGAAAACGTCGTACTTCTAAGTATTCATTGTAAAAGAGCTGTCGCGAAAATATATCTAAAGTTTTGAGGTACATAGTCCAGCAAGCAAACGAGCCGGCTTGATTAAAAAAACTCTCTTATTGGTAATTATTCCTGATCCTTCATCAATACAAAGATATCAACAATAGACGCATGACTGAAATACATAGTTTTACTTCGCATTATGCTGTACCATTACTTATTTTTTCATTCGGCTAATGAACGGAACATATAGGCACAGAAAAAGTCAGTTTATCAGTATATTCCCTTTGTATGGTCCCATAGATCGCACTTTTGTTCTTCTATATCTTAAATATGAACCTTTAGTCACAACTTGATGATCAAATATAGCTCGGTTTACAGCGAAGCAGTGAGCCATTCTAGGCAGACAGATTGCTTTTTAAAACAAATTCAAAAAGATGCACAACTTACACTACTCAAATCATCATTAACTGATCAATCATAGACTTGTCCGTGTGAAATAAATAAATGCAGCCCTAAAAATTGACCCATCATTAGTACGTAGTAGAGAAATTGTAGTGATCCTGATTGTGAAGAAAACAACGAGATAGTATTCAATCGGCATGATATCTTTTGATGATGGGAATTACACCGCATAATTTGCACGAGCAGAAAACGACTAGGCAAAACGCAAGAGCAGTCGATCAGACATGCATCCACAACCCTCTAAAATGGAGAGAAAAAAGTGTATACCGTTACATGTAGCAATGTAAACATACAATTCTTGATAGTCGTGCTTAAACAGTTGATGAAAAGGGACAGTTCGCGTACTGCAGAAGTGAACGCGTAAATTTCGTGCTTTAAAAAAAAACAGCCAAAGCGCGTTCCCCCATTTTTTTCTTCTCTTTTTTTTTTTTCTCAAACCGTGATAAATGGAAGAACAGCTGAACATTACCGTGCTTCAAGAAAAGCGACCCGTAAGAATGGAGAAAACTTACGTTGCTCTTTTGAATTATTGACTTGCTAATTATTGAGTTTTTGTTGCCAACGCCCTGCAATTGAACGGTTTTATCTCAGGTGACATACAAGTCGCTGGCGCGCCAACACGCAATTCACGTTAATACCGCTAAACAGTGAGTGTCGCCAGATCGCCTATCGATCATTCTTTTCGTTTTTTATGGATTACGGAAAAAGAGAAAAGATTTGCTAACCTGTTATTATTTACTAGAGCATTATGGGATTATGCACAAAACACGCCCAATGTGCATGCAATTTACTGCATCGCAGGCAGACTCGTAGTGGACAGCAACGCAACTCGGGACACGATTCGACTTGTCAAAGACCTCGATCTCGAAGGTATCTTAAAGAGGGACAAAACGAGCATTCTTATTTATACATAAACTGATCTGAACAAGTAGAAACCAAGAAACAATTCCGTCAAGTCACCGGTATTCATGTTTACAGTGTCGTACCTTATGATCCAAAGGTAAGATATACAACGAGAATGAAAAAATGAAGACAGGATAGGACATTGTAGTAAGATGCTTCGTCAGTATGGGTGTAATGCTAATTGTGTCTTTTGTGATATTGTGGAAACAAAAAAAAAAGGATTTGACCGTGCTAGTTACTGTAAACAAGGATATACCTTTTCTTTCTGTACAAGACCGAATTAGGTGGGAAATTATGCAGAAGAAGGAAAAAGAAAATACAACCTTACTCATTGGTATATTCGATTCTACTATCAGCTGTGGTGTCCTCAAATGTACCCAAGCGTTATCGGGCAAACCCACGACACAGAAACGTACACAGCCCGATACTGCACATACACAACAAGCGACTTTATCCAAACCATCCAAGCCAGCTGCTTCAACCCCTGCACCAGCACCAGCAGCTGCGATACCAACAAAGAAACCAACTACTATCCCGAGCAAAGGTAAAGGAACATTGTCGTTTGAAAAGCATGCAACAAAAGCGCCTAGTTCAGCTCGTTCTTCTTCATCACCTACACCTACACCACCACCACAGCCAGCAGCAGCAGCAGTGAAAACACCAGGTTTGTACTTTCAATCCCTATCTTGATTCTTTGTAAGAACTGACTTACCCTTTCTGTCCCCTTTCAGAAAAACAAAAAACGCCTGAACCTAAGAAACCCAGTTTGACAGCAGAGGATATATTTTCGGAGGATGAAGATATGGCTGAATCCAATCCAATGCAGGATGAGCCTATTTTTGATCCTATGGAAACGGATGAACCTGCAGCTGTAGAAGAAGAAGAACGACGACAGACTGAAGAAAAGGAGCCTGAAGCAGAAGGTACGTAAAAGAATCAAGTAAATAGAGCAAAGGTTGTGTGTAAACGGGGAGTTCAGGAAAAGAATACGCTGAAAGTTGTCAATGATAGTTGAACAAGAGGAGCAGGTGCAAGAACGAGTACCCAAACAGTCCACTGCAGGCCGAAAAAGACGACGAAAGGTGACAAAGAAGAAGCATTATACAAACGAGCGTGGCTTCTTGGGTACGTTTCTTATAGAGTGAAATGTTGGCAAAGCATTGTGCATTATACAAGAGTATTTATTAACGAGCATAAAACCTATATGATATAGTTACTGAAGACGTCGAAGAGTATGAAACAGTGGATGAGGATGAAGGAGAAGAAGAGTCGCCAGCACCATCATCATCAACGACACAACGATCAACTACAACGAAAAGCCAGAGTAAGCCTTCGTCTGCACCGGCACCCGCAGCAAAGAAGTCGGGAGCCAAAAAGACACAAGGCGAACAAAGAAACTTGTTAAGCTTTTGGGGAAAGAAGTAAACTGATAAAAGCAGTATCATTCCTTACATGTAAATACAGACCTTGTTGCTGGCTGTTTATCACATAAACTTCTTCTCATATAAGCTACAAAGTGTTGTCCTTATTGATATCATGACTATGCCGCGCAAACACAATCAACCATGATCTACTGGTTTTGCGCCTTTTATTGAAAGTGTGTATATAGTAAAATGAATGCTGTTTAAAGTTATCAGATAATAGTAATAGTGTAGATATCATTAAGTTGGGGCTGCCATAGAATACAATCGTCACGATAAGGGTAAGCTACTCTGTTGATAAGAATCTAGAACAGTTCTTCACTTTCTCCTCTTCTATTCGTGAATAAACAAGTCGGATTCCGATCTCAGAGCAATAACGCACGCAGTTCCAGAAAACTGGAGGTACTTGAAAGAAGTGCTGATGTTGAGAAACAAAGATATTCACATACCCGATTCGTCGGCCAGGCCGCATTGATAACTATCCATAAAGAAATATTGCCTCCCTTTTGGTGCATTTAGCGCGTACTATAGGTGAAGGATATTTTGAAACCGGCGCACAGCTTATCCTCATGGCACTCATAGAGAGATACAAATTCCATTTTCGGAACCAGATCCGCGTATTTTATACGTGTTGTCGTTGTATCCGCAATGGTGGGTAAACTCTATACTGTGCATTGCGCAAGATGGTGTTGATTCGGGCTCTTGGTCTCATTTGACGATCTTTAAGTGGCTACAACAACAGCAAAAAGGATTATAGCCTACTTTCGATAGGAGGCAGGTACATATTATGTCAATAATGGGAGGGAGGAATGTTCCACCAACTTAGTGCCGACAGTTTAATGTTTACTTGCACAAAATAGCTCTTTGATATAAATGATGCACTACCACATAGTCATGGAGAATGATAGGGTCCGACACTTGTGTGTGTCATGGTTGGTAGCAGAGTATTAGACAACGCCCTATAGGCCACCCCCCAATATAAGTGAGACACACCGCAGCAAACAAACAAAACGCGTGGAGTTAGTGCATATGACATGCAACTCCGTTCGTTGCTGACTTTTTCTTTTTTGGTAGGCACACACAGCATTTGGCCCTCCAAGGACATACCCCACTCACTACATATAACACACGCACCGTGCATCAGTAAGTTAAAATCTGTACAGATTGGAACAAAGGAAGGGGACAAAAGTGGCACAGATTATTAACAAGTGTAATTCTAAAAAAAGATTTATAGACCAAACTTATTTATCATGGTAACCATTGGCTCTCTCTCTCTTTTTTAATTTTTAAAAAAAAAAGAGTGATCACATTAAAGTGGGAGTGATCGCTGACTACAAGAATAAACTACTTAGGACAACTGGGTTATTCGCCATTCAAAGACGTACAACAAGGATTACTATTTCAACACAGTAACAAAGGAAAGCCGATGGGACAAGCCCGATGTCGGCGACACTGAACAAGTGCGTGTCAGTCACTTGCTTGTAAAGCATCGTGATTCCAGACGACCATCGTCATGGCGAGAGGTAAACCCCCAAAGAAAACCGACCGGCTTATAACGATGATACATTGTATACATGATGCTCTTATTGATACAGCGTCTTTCTTTTGCTTCCCCCCCCCCTCCCCAATCGATCATTCCCCCATAGGAAAATATAACGCGGTCAAAAGACGAAGCATTTGAGATCCTAAAAGAATACCAGCGCAAAATTGAAGGTGGCGAGGAAACGCTGTCAGCACTGGCAACCAATTACTCGGATTGTTCGAGTGCAAAGAGAGGTGGCGACTTGGGACACTTTGTACGTGGACAGATGCAGAAACCCTTTGAGGATGCGGCTTTTGCGCTTCAAGTGGGTGAATTGAGCCAGCCAGTATGGACCGACAGTGGTGTGCACTTGATCCTTAGAACTGCCTAAAGGCACCCAATTATTAGTTATAATAAACAACATTGCCCCCCCCCTTTTTTTTTTGCCGTTTTCATACCAGCTAACGTAAAGTCTATATGGCCCCCCTCTCAAATGGCATGTTTCACACTTCAATGGTATAGCCACTCTGCAAAAGTGGCTCTGGTTTCCCCCCCCCTTTCCCACATCATAAAAGAACACACCATTCTGATCAAGGCTACTTTTTGTTTTTATCAAACAGCACAAAGTCGAAGGCTATAGAAGTGTATGATGGCTCTTGTAGTGTGTATGTGTATGTGTATGTGTGTGTGTGTGTGTGGCGCACAAAGCCGTATTACATGTTTAGGCCTGTCAAAAAAAAAAAAGGCCAAGGTATTTGCGGAATCGGTGCCGATTCGTCGTCAGGTTGAATAGTAAGGAGATCAAACAGAAACACGACATCGCACAACAACAACAACACAAAGAACGAAAGACGCTCCGTCTCAGCGGTGTGTGTGTAAGCATGTGTTACAGTACCACATTTTACATTGTAGCTTTTGTGTGTGTGTGTGTTGTCGTGGCCGTCGTGGCCGTCGTTGCTATATAAAAAAAGTTGGGTTGGTGCCACCTTGGCATCGCCATAGTTTTGATAGCGGGCCGAGCTTTCCGCAACTGCTCTCTCTCTCTCTCTCTAGGCCTCATTGGATGGGGGTCCGGAGGAGTGTTGTTTACATTATTTGTTATTCTTTTTTCTAGGAGTTGTTGGGCTAAGCCTTGACAAGCGATCCGCGCAAGACCTGTTTTGGGGGAATCGTGAGAAATATGTCATCATGTGACGATGATGATGATTGATGATGTGCCGTTGTTGTGCACCACAAAAAAATAAAAAATTCTGAGACCGTACTATGTATAATTTTTTTATTCCCAAAGAAATAGTGAAAAGCTGCTATGTAAAACAAAATGAAAGACAAAAAGAGAGAAATGGTGTGAAATGCAAGAAAACAGAACAATAAGATTAATACCATATTAACAGGTTTTGTAAGAAAAAAAAATGTACATTGAAACTTTGTACAATAAGTGTTGTTAAATGTATGGTTGAATGATGATGAGAAAGATGATGATGATGATGATGGTCCGATAGAGTAATAGAACGAAAGAGATGGGGTAGTAGTAACAAGTTATGTGCAGTGAAATAGAGAGATAGAGAGTGAATAGGGAATAGAGGACAGTTTACAAGCTGATAAGGCCAAACTTGTGTGATGTGGTATTCCCAACATATGAACATAGATTAGTATAGAAGGTGTGGAAAAGCAGACTTGGGGTATAAGGAGAAAAGGGGAGAAATATTTACATAATGAAGTGTATACAGGATGGCATAGGTACTATATTCGGTAATGATAGTAAGCAATGGTATGGTTATGGCTCAATAGAGGAGGAGAGGGAAACGAAGGCTTTTTACTGTGTGTGGAGGGGATGGATGGATGGATGATGTAGTAAGTAGATGATGGATCTTGATGTAGGTCCATGGGGTAGGTGTGTGTTTGAATGAGAGTGTGAGCGAGATACAGCTCTACTGACGCGGCCGTGGCATGCTGTCCATCTTGACGTGATATTCAGACATCATCATCTGCTGTTGCTGCTGCTGCTGTTGTTGCATGCATTGGGGATGTTGAAGTTGTTGATGATGGTGTTGTTGTAATTGTTGTTGTTGATGATGATGATGCTGTTGCTGTTGCTGAGCAGCTAGTGGATAACAACAGTTTCCCATGTGTAAGTCATTTAAAAAGTGGGTTGGGAAATAGGGCTAGTACAATCAATCTATTGTTGACAATTACCTTTTGCCATGACGACATAGTCAGCAGAGCTCATCATCATTGGCATAGTGGGTGCAGGTGGAGGATAGTGTTGATGTTGTGGCTCGGGTGTGGGGTTGCTCCAGTAGCCACCCGTTGGGTCAAAGTCGTCGCTATCGTCATCACTTTTGTCCTCGTACAAAGATTGTTGTGAAGAGGAGCCCATGGGTGAGCAGGCCTCGGTGGAGTAAATCTCCCACGGCATCATAGCTTGCTGTTGCTGTTGCTGCTGCTGAGCGCCAGGGCCACCCATCACCCTATCAAAGTCGGTAAGGTTTCTGGAGGACATGGTGGGCGTCGGGGTCGATGAGGAGACAAGCGAAGCAGGGTAGCTGTTGTAGTGATGGTTGACATCCTCTTCAGAGGAGACAGACGAGGCGATGCTTTGGCTTTCTGGATCGCGTTTGCGGCGCTGAAGGTCACGGTGCATGCGGCGGTTTTCGCGTAAAAGATGGCGGATTTGATGCTTGTAGCGTTCTTCTTTGGTTACTGTGCTTTTCACTAGAGAGAGAGAGAGAGAGAGAGACGGAATGAGTAAGGGTGTGTGTGTGTGTGTGTGTGACACGGTACACTCTGAGAAAAGGACTTACCATATTCTAAAGTGCGCTCAATGATCGTGCCCTTGGAAGGCCGGCGGTCATTCTGTAGGTTAGGCAGGGCATGGGCCAGCTGTTGGAACTTTGAATTCAAACTCTCACGTCTTGCACGTTCGATCGCGTTGTGTTCTGCACGTCTTTCTGCTTTGGATTGAGTTCTTAAGGAAAAAGTCAGAACCAATGCAACGATACGGTGCAATATTTTGAAGGAATGTAAGGTACTTACTTTTTACCAAAAGACGATGCTTCTTGCTGCTGCTGCTGCTGCTGTTGCTGTTGTTGTTGCTGCTGCTGTTGTTGTTGCTGAGCCATTACTATAGAAACGACAAGATATCAGTACGCTGCTTCCAAGTCGTGTCCATTTGTTGCTATGGAATGTTTTATAGAGAGAAAACTACCTGACTGAAAGACGGCAGCGTGCTGCATGTTCAGCTGATGAAGATGTTGCTGCTGTGGGTGAGAAGTGGGGACGTCGGAGGAGAACTGGGGAAAGGCAGGAGCAGGAGCAGGAGCAGGAGCCGTTGGATAAGCAAACTGCTGGTGTGCAGGTGGAGGAGGTGGAGGACGTTGTTGGTGTTGTGGCTGTTGCTGTTGGTTTTGAGGGGAGGCAAACCCAGAGTTCTGGAACACGCTAGGATCGAATCCTGCGGCAATGGCTGCAGCGTACGTTTGCGAGACCAATTGTTGGCTGTGACGACTACTAGTAGAAGGATCCATGCAAAGGAGAACAAGTGTGTTTTATGTTTCTGTTGTGTGCGAGGTGAGTGCGAGAGTGTGAAAAGAAGTGGAGAAAGGAAAATCGTTCAGACAGATCCACGGAGGGAGGCTTAAATAGCAAAAAAACGAGCAACGAGTGAAAAAAGAAAGCACAGGACACACATAAAGTCCAGTGTAGTCAGTCATGGGGTCATTGCTCTGTGTTCCCGTCGAGCCCTTTTTTCTATTTTACTATGTTGCTTCTAATTTTGAGCCCTTTCAAAAAAAGCAGTTGCCCGTGTTGTTCGTGTCGGGGGCACCGATCTCTCTTTTTTGCCTTGTGTGGTTATTCCTAACAGTACCACCCCTCTTTCTCTTTTTTTTTTTTTTCATAGCTGAATGACGGTCGTTGCTGCTGCTGATGACGATTCTGCCTCTTTCAATGAAAGGCGCAGCAGCATTGCCGCTCACACACACACACAGAGAGAGAGAGAGAAAGAGAGTCTGGAACTTGATGTTTTTCCAGAATCGCTTGCCTTTTTTAATCTCTTTCCTTCTCCCCTCTTGGCCGCCCGTTGAATGGGAAAAAAACACCCCCTCTTCCCCCGGCGGGTCTTTATATTAAAGTTCAAAGAGGACAACAGAGGACATGCTTTTTCGTTTGGGGCCGCATTCCGATGAAACGGGAGCGATTGGTGCAAACGGAAGCCACAATCGCGTATGACGCCGAATGATATCGACCGACCCCGAAGACGGCATGTCCAAATCGGGCGATCCGGTTCTGTGTCACGATCGGACTGACGGACGAACAGACTCTGTCTTTCTTAACGTAACAACTCTGTTTTTTTCTGCTGATGCTATTTGATGACTGTTGCATCTTTCCTTCCCCCCCCCCACTCCCAAAAAAGTAAAAAAGAGCTCAGAAAGGTTTCCCACAAACTGTACAGCCGTTTATTGAATGATACGGTGTGCATGTATGCGTGTGGAGAGCAAAGATAATCTCTCTCTCTCCATGCAAGCTTGCATAAGGCCATGTCATCATCCTCCTCATCATCTGACGGCATAGCTTTTGTTCCCAAAACACGCTGGGAAGACTGTGTGTGTGTGTGCCACCCCAAGACGAGAGGACCTTGTTTATTGCGGCACACAAAGAAAAACGATCTGCCCTCTCTGATATCGGAGAGCAGACCAGAGGATTTGTTGTTGTTTTTGAAGCGTACGGTGTATCTTTTGCCGGCTCCGGGGGGATGATTGCCAGGGCAGAGAGAAAGGATACCTTACAAAACAATGTTGACCTCAGCGTCTACCTGGAAAGTGTTCACCTTGTTTCTTTCTTTCTTTCTTTCTTTCACACCCCCCCTCCTCCTCCTCCCCCGAGCGTAAAAATCACGAGTTGGCCGATCTGGCAAGATGGAAAAACGTTTACGGGCATACCCATGACCAAGCCGAGCTGTCTATTAGGGTTGAGCAACAGGTCGAGAATCCGACCATCCGATGACCTGTGTAACGCGTTTCCTGCCCTTTACGACATCTGTGTGTCCGATTCATTCCAAAGAGGACCCCAGGACTCTTGGTGCTACATGGATAGAGCACGCAAGCAAAAAGAGGCGATCCTCTCCCTATAGCTATATCTATAGACCTACATGTGTGTGTGTCGGAACGTGTGTGAACAAAAAAGGTGCTGGATCCCGGAGCAAGAGACAACAGGTAGCCCAGCTATTTATTAGCCAACAATGAAAAAGATACGGTTAGACCATGCTCAGGTTGGCTACGCTGGATCTCTCTCTCTCTCTCAGAGAGTCAACAATTCATACACAGGGAAACAACAGTGGATTCTACATTAGGAGTGCATACACTATTACTACTACTACTACTGCTTACTTACTACCGCCACAAGGCCACAAGAGTGCTGCTGCTTAAAGATATGGCTACTCAGCAACTTTTTTTTTGTTTATTTATTTTTCAACCGCCCCTTTTTACATAGCTAACTTATGAACGATAAACAGCCGGTGCCCCAAGATAGAATACAAAATTCAAGGGCTCTTTGCGAATGCGTAGTAATACTACTTTGGCTTCCAAAAAAAGCACTGCATTATTTGTTGTACGTACCAGCGCTGGTAGCCAGTTACACTGTCAATTCACAAAAGATGTGTGCTTCCATGCTGGTTATACCATGATGCGTACAATCATTTCTTATCATGATGATTGACCCCAAGGGGGGGGGGAAGCCCACATGGTTCTCTAGGAAGCAGGTCGTGACTTGATGTCTAACTGTGTATATATAACACAAAACTGTTTGCTGTTGCACACCATCTTACCGCGGCATTGGAACCTTTCGGTATACTACTTGATTTGGCTGTTGTGTTCATGACAATCCATCACCCCCACCCCCCCGCCCTTCCCAACTCGAACACCGGTCAGGTAGGAACTGCTGCTCTTATGCAATCAATTCTACGACTACTATATCCGTCTTGGTCATTTCTTGTGGAAAATGCTGCTATATCCTCCTGCAGTAGGTAGACTGTCTAAAGGCAGCATACATCCTTTTTTAAAAAGTAGAAACAAGTAGCCATACAATGAATTAGCCAATGAAGGGGGTTTTAGTGGTGACATGATAGAATCAGAGTCATACCTATTAGGGTAACCCCCACTCTAACTTTGATGAGTCCTAAAAGGCGCAGCATGGGTGGCAACAATTCGCGCCACCTACTTTGCTCTCGTATAGATATAACGCTACGATGAGGGCTGTCTTCAAGGTACTCTATAGAGTGACAAAGTATTTTTTGGTTCATCTTCTGCATGCTACTTGAAGGCTTATACAGACTGCACTGACTCATATTATATTTTCGGGCAGCTTGAGAAGAAGTAAGTCGACCAATAATCATGGCTTATTCTCGTTCATCGTCCGGTCGTTGTCATATCAATTTGCGATCCTAAGCTTCGAACTTTAGTATCTGAGCGTTTGTTGGCGTAAAATCGAACATTTAAGGAGCTCTACCTTTCGGAACGGTCGGGAGCGATGAAGGCAACACTACGATATGCTTCGATTATTAGGAGAGAGGGAACGTGTGTGTGTGTCTGTGATATATGCACAGATAGAAATTCAGCCAAGACCATCTTGCTTTTTTCCATAACGTGTGCCTACATACTATGTGTGCGATAGTGATCCAGCGCTCCCAACAAACCTTCTGTTTACGATTATTATTAGATGCATATTGATTGGGAAATGTGCCACTCATCAGCTCATAGTACTTTTTTTACCTACTGATAGTAGCAGCAGCAGCAGCAGCAAGCTGTGGCAATAAACCGTGCACCTTCCCTTCTCTGTCAATGACACCCATGTTTAGCCCAGCACTGTTTGTCCGTGGCGATCTCTTTTCAACTCGCCCACCATTACGCCGACGGACATTGTAAACCAAAGAATGCATGCATTTACACACAGAGAGAGAGAGAGAGAGAGAACAATCTCTACATGGTGCGTACTCTACACTTCTTCATCCAGTTATTCCGAGCATGTATGTATGTCTCTGCTGGATTGGACATGTAGTCAAACAGGTAGAAAAGGAGCACAGGAACATGGATCGAGTAGAAATGCTGGGGCCCCGTGGCCTTTTTGATGTAACGATGCACTACTACTACTACTACTACTACACTGTCCAGATCTTTCCCTGCTGCCATGTGAATCTTCTGGCTTTGCCGAAAGACAAAAGGTAACAAGTAACACCTAAAAAAATATTGATCGCAAAATGAGAGAGCGGGTCGCCACACCATTGGAAAGTAGTAGTAGGTCTGTGCTTGTACCCCCGATTTCCTTTTCGGTGGGTACTCCGATTGTCCTGCATCCCTTTCTTCTTCTTGGGGATCATTTGAATGGGTGACCCGCAAAAATGGGCAAAAGGGAAAAAGGTTTTTGTATGTACCCGTGACCCCAGTTACATGTATAATCGTCCCCGAGAATGACCTGGTGTAACAAGCACATTGGTAAATCCGTGGGATTCTTTCCATTACTGCTACTACTTACTGTTCGGCGCCCCCGTGGTAGTAACAGCAACAACAACAACAACAACAACAACCGGCACTTTTGGCATAGGTAAGCATGATGACATCTGATGATTCTTGAAATCATATATGCATGAACCCCCCCCCCCCTTTTAAGGGATGGCGCAATCCTTTTGGAAGTTTTAGCATATCATACAGTTTGGTCACTTTTCCCTTCTTTGCAGAATAAGATAGACCTTTTGATAGGATGTACTAATAGTACACTGTTGCTTGCAATGGGAGGGTGTGATGATCATGTTAGCATACAAATGTGGGCCGAAGGGATGGTCACAAATAGTATTGACCAAAGACATTGCTTTGTCACCCATCTTATTATGTGCTAATCCTTTCTAGAGAGAGCAAAACAATAATAAAAACGTTAGCTTCAGCAGTGTCATTTCTACCACCACTCTACTTGTTCTTCTCCCCCCCGCCCACCTCCTGTAGTGACCACTGCTTACTATTTTGAGTTAACTTTTGTAATGCAAACTCCATGTACGAGTAAGGACGACAACCAATCGCAACACCCATTGTCCTTCTATAACGGACATTATGACAAACTGCGTCTTTTAGCCGACCTTTTAATTCTTTTCGGTCACTTTTTATATACTGCAAAGATGAAAACGTTGTTCTTATCACACTGCATGTCCAGTTTGTTTGTAGTACATTTCTGTGATTCATGGTCAGTTGAAAAGTTCTACAGAGCTAGGACATGCATATGAAATCCTTGAATGTTTCAAGCTAATTATGGCAGCAGAACAAAAAAAAAAGACAGCCTTGACTTCTTTTACGTAGAGAGGAAGGGTCATCTCATATCTCTCTCCACATTGTCTGTGGTTCATCTTTTTTAAAAACGCATCCTGTCGCGGTTTTGTAATGGGGGCGCTTGATGAGCCCATTTTCCATCCATGCAGACGTCGGAGATGCACGGTTTCAGGGACAGGCTCGGTCAAGAATCCATAAATGATTCTTACCTTGCTCGATCACATGGTCCATCCTTCAACAAAACTTTATTCGGCCGAGTATTCAAATTATAGAATCTAGTGTACAAAAAACAAATACATCGGACAGCAAAAAACTCAAGGGGAGCAAAGGAGCTTTTCTTTTTTTTGGCGCTCCGAAGTTATGTCTCTTACAGCGTAATCTTATCTGATTGACACCAACCGGAAGCAACACCTTTTCTTTTTCGGGTATTGGCAGTATAAAAAAGAAGATAAACCTATTGAAAAGCTGAATAGTCATACATATATATATATATATATACGCGTGTACTACCAGGAATCTTCCCGTATCTCTTCAGTCAAACTCCTTATCCTATTGGAAAGAGACTAGGCTTAATTGACGGTGGCAAAAGTCATTCACTAAATTGGCTCTTGTTTATATATAGTAGCTATACTCCCTATCTCCTTCTTGATCCTCTTTTGATGCATTTTAATCTCCCCTGTAGCAATGAATAGTTTATTGTAAACAAGCCGTCTTCACATGTCGGTGCGCGAACCAGTTAGAAGCTGAATATATAATATATCTGATATTTTAGCATGCTTATGCAACACAGCAGTATCTTAATTAATATATACTTGATCGCCCTGACCTTAAAAGATCAGCAGGAAAAACGAGTAGCGCGACTGGCAAATCCAACAACGCTAATGAAAGATATGCATGTCACATGATGTTCATTGATTTTTACAGTATTATTACAGCAGCTTATAGATGCACATTACATGCCTAATTTATCCGCTCCATGGAGTAGTAGTTATTCTGGGGCCCAAACGTGTCGTTTAAAAAAATACTTTTGACTATATTCGCGTTTTACATAGTGGCGTACTTAATACTTTAGATTGCTAAAACGGTGTACACAGCTGCGGTAATTAGTTTGTTTGGAAAATCTGTCAAACCTCGATCCACCCGCGGGAAGGACTCTGTGTTTCTACAATCAATAGGACAACAGTGCAGTTATACATTCCCACTACTACTACAGCTCACTCTAATAACCCAGTATGTATATATATCAATGAATCCGAAGGGTGGCATAACCAATCATCTTTTGGACGGATTCTGTCGAGCACTTTTGATTCAAACAAGTAGCTGCAGCGCATTTTTGGGTAATTCCCCTTTTAACTGATGTGTGCAGGGTCTCTCTCACTCTCTCTTAGTGTGTCCAAGTTGCGAAATGCTGATGATCTGATCACAAAATGTTTGTAGCTATTATAATTGACGCGTCACTAACGCGCACACAGAAAAAAAAAAGGTGTCAAGATTGCACTTTTAGCTCGGGGCTATGCTGTTGTAGTTTGGTATGCCAAACATACTTGTATGTAAGGAGCCTGGGGAATCGAGAGATTGGTACCTTGGTTTACCTGGGGTCTGTAGTGGACCTTGGGGAAAGCCTTATGAAATTAGTTACCTGGTTGATCCTGCCAGTAGTCATATGCTTGTCTCAAAGATTAAGCCATGCATGTCCAAGTACTAGCATTAATACTGTGAAACTGCGAATGGCTCATTAAATCAGTAATGATCTACTTGGCAATAACATCTGGAGTAATCATTTGAAGACCTTAAGTGATACGTATGTTGCCTAAAAGTGACACGACATGACGTGTTGTTTAGCTAACACAACAATTCACCTGCTCTCATACTTGTCATTATTATTCTGTACAACAACATACATTTAGCTATACCGTTCATACCATTATGTATAATATCTGTACATATTGCCCCACAAACTCTCTCCTAAGGATGTGTTTGAAGTAAGGAAAAAAGTTTTCACATCTTTCAATATGGCTGCTGCTCTGCTTTGCTGATCATTGTTGTATCGCGTCGTTGTACTGCAAGTACAATCTCCTACTATGATGCTGCTACTTGTCTTTGAGATCCTACTTGTTGTGAATGAGGTCTTCAGACCCGTTCTACTCTTCTTATTACCATACTACAGCATAACGATCGTTACGCGCTGTAGTAGGTACTACCATGCTCTGGAGTACATGCGTGCGACGTATTAACGGACTACTTGGAGGAGGGGTTGTCCCTTTGGTTTGCTCCTTGTTTTTTTTTTTTTGTTTGGTGAGAGGTCCACATTTTTTTTATTGATGCTTGCTGTGCACCATCGAACTGTGCTCTCTAGAAGAGGGCTTCAGGGCCGATGATCATGAAAAAGTTGGCTTCTTCAATGTCGCCGGCGCAAAGAAGTTTGGACAGTTGTCTTGATTGGGTTCTGGAGGGTCCAGAATAAGAGAACGAGTCCTGATTCTTTTAAAGTAGATAGAAAAAACGTGTAGTGATGAAGTATCCCTCCCCATTTTCTTGCAGTTCATGCTTGTAATCTCCTTTGCATAGTTGGTTTGGAAGGGCTCCTTGTATTTTAGCGTTACATTGTTCAAGAGAAGATAATGTCATGCCCACGATGTTGAACGCCCCTTACCCAACCCCTTTTTTTCTTTTTACGAAAGCGTATTGGAATCCACCTACTTGGCGTTTTTGAGTAAGCCAAAAGAGACAAGTATACTATAAACCCACTCGTTACGGCGACGCGCAGTTGTGTTGTTGTTGTTGTTTATCATAAACAACGCTAGAACGTCTTTGGAAAATCAGCATTCAGTGATTGACGCTCTCCTTTGAGTTTCTATACATGAGAGCATATGATTAAGCTACAAGTGATCGATCGATCAAAGCCACTTGGTGGTGGTGGTGGTAGTGAGTAGTAATAGCGTGCCTCTGTGTGTATATTAGACAGTTTCCATATCAGGGCTTGTATGCAGCGTAATCGGGCATTCTTAGACAAACCCCAGGTCAGCACTCGCTGCACATGACCCAAGAGAGTAATTAAATAAATGACAATCCAAAATTGTTGGTCGTTTTATTATGTTTGAGTAATATTAAAGAAATTCTGCATCCGTTCATACAAAATGGGCCCTTGTAAGGCAGGAAAAAAAAAAAAGGCAGCTGTTGCCTTTCTTTTTTTTTTGTTGGTTTTTTTTTTTGCACGTACAGTGTTGACATAAAAAGAAGAAGATGAGGGGGGGAGAAGAGAGGGGAAGAAGGGAAAAAGAAAAAGACTATGTACAAGTCCTTAAAAAAGAAAGATCATTGTTATGCAGCATTGTGTCAATACTGGCAAACATGATTTGAGGGGGTGGGGGGGATGGGGGAACAAAAAGAATATAGGAAAGAAAAAAAAGTACGCATGCAAAAGGAAGAAGAAAACTAGAATAAAAAAAAAGAACAAGAATGAATGCAAATGAAAAAGAATCGACTGCTTGCAGCCAATTGTTTACAGCAATCAAATAAAAAAAACAAAAAGTGCTTTTGGATGGGGATATTAGGTATATTAGAAGAAAAGAGAGCCTTAGAAAGAAAAATGATGATTGATGAGGTTTGTTTGTGTTGTTTGAGGATGAAGAAAAAGCTTAGGGGTGGGATAAGAAGAAGAATTGGAACAAGAAGTTTTGGCTGATATGATGTGAGTTTGCGTGTGGTATGATGGGGGTATTTGCGTGAGTCAAAAGAAAAAAATAAAATAAATGTGATTCTCGATTTGTTGTGAGCAAAAAATAAAAAGGGGGACAGGAAGAGTATTGAAATGCACAAAGTTCAGAGGAAAGAGAGAATAGAGAGAGAGAGAGAGATTGAGAGTGAGAGTGAGATCATTACAAAAAGGTTTGCATATAGTTGCCGAATGAGTTGCTGTTATGTGCGGGTGGAGAAGAGGTAGTAGAAGGCGAGGACTTGCTGCTGCTGCTGCTATTACCACTCGAAGAAGAGCTGCTGGAGCTGCTGCTGTTGTTCTTGTCCTTGTTGGTGTGACGATGGATGCGGATGTGCTGGTTCAGATTGTCGGACCGCGAGAAGCGCTTGGAGCAGGAATGATACGGGCATTCGAATGGCTTCTCGAGCGTATGGATCGAGCGGATGTGACGCTTCAAATGCTCAGATCGCTTGAACACCTTGCCACAGTCATCGTGTCGACACGTGAACATCTTTTGGCCTGCAGCACCTGGATTGCTAGACACTCGACGACCGCGCGATCGGGTTTGCTTGGCCTTACCGCCGCTGCTGGTGACAGACTTTTGTTTTGTCGTTGTCGTTGTTGTTGCTGTGGCCGCTTTCTCGGGTTGTTGTTGTTGTTGTTGTTGTTGTTCAAGTGGGCTGCTGCACTCGCTGCTGCCGGAACAAGTAGAAGAGGATCGTTCCCGGAACGAAACATCATCAAGGGGCATGACAGCGGTGGGCGCTGCCGTCAAGGCAGAAGCATCCACCATGTAGCCTGGCGAGAGAGGGTGATGGTAGTCGAACATGGCTGAAGCAGTGGCCAAGGTAGTGTTCGAGGGCATGCAGTAGTTGAGTTGTTGTTGTTGTTGTTGCTGCTGCTGCTGTTGGTGGTGATGATGATGGTCTTGATTCGGCGTCGTCATCAAGAGCGACCGTGGGAGCATGCCCCCTCCGTTCAAGTCCATCGAGGAAGAAGTAGTGGCAGCAAACCAGGAAGCGGCGGCAGCTGCGGACGAAGAGGTGCCGTAGTAAGGCATGGAGGACGTCGAGGACACAGCAGTGGGGTCCATCAGTGGTGGGTAGTGCTGCTGCTTGTCTTCCAATGGGTGGGGCTGGTGCTGCTGCTGCAGGTAGACGTACTCTTCATAATCGTTACTGGGCGAAGGTGTCTGCTGTTCGGTGTCTGACAGACTGGCCTCGCTTTGGTTGGACAGAAGCTCGGCGTAGCTGAAACGGCGCATGTAGTTGTCGTAGCTATCCTGCGGTTGGGGGTACAGGCAGGCTCCATGGGCGCCCAGGTTGAGGGCAGTAGTAGGTAAGCCGCAATCGCCAGCGTTGGCGGCCATAGCAGCAGCAGCAGTAGCGGCAGCAGTATGCTGGTCAAACTGCTGGGAAGCAACATGGATCTGGGATGATGGTGAATACATGTCTCTCGGTTTGTGTGTATAAGAGGTGTAGGTGGTGGTGTAGTAGTAGTAATAAGCTGTTGTTTTTATATGCTTCGAAAGGTGATGCTGTATCTGTTTTTGGTAGCAAGTAAGCAAAAGAGTGAGTGAGTGAGTGATGGCTAGTTAGATCAGTAACTATCTGATTTGTTCATGTCCCCATGATCCCCGTGCAATGCCAGCAGCGCGGGCTAGCAAGGTGATGTTTGTGTGTATGTGCTTACCCAATGGGAGTACTAAGAGAGCAAGTGGTGATGTTGATGGTTGTGCAGAAGCAGGTTCTACGCAAGGACTAGAAGGGTGGGTAGTAGTACTAGTAGTAAGGTGGGGAGGATGAGATTACTTTTTTGAAATGAACAGAAGAAGAAGAAGAAGAGGATGAGGACGGGTTGGAAATGCGAACGAGCGATTGCTTTTTGTATGTGCGAGAGCGAGATTTCCTATCTTTGTCAAAAAGAAAGGGGAAGCAATAAATGAAAGTAAATCAGAATAAGGGATGAACGATGTGCTCGGATGAAGACGAAGAAGAAGAGAAGGAGAGTGTGAGTGTGTGTGATGAGTGTGGAGACAGAATGAGCGAAACGAGAACTCTCGGCGAAATGAAAAGAAAGGATGAATTACTACAGAAGCAAGAGAGAGAGGGCTGCCCAGAGGTGCAAATTATCCCCAGCTTTTATAAAGTATGATTGCCCGATTATTTTTAGGTGCCTTGCATATCGTCCATCATCATCACCACCACCACCACCACCACCAAGCAGCACCAGGCAGACCAGACCAGACAGGCAGGCTATCCCCGGGGAAGAATCTAGTTTCCGACAGAGTTCTCTCTCTCTCTCTCAACTTACGTACATGCCTAATCTATTTGGGGACCCTTTCTTGCCTAATCCGTAACAGCCCATCACTCACTAGGCTTTGCTGCTGCTGCTGCTGCTTGCTACCTGCAATCTTCAAGAACCGTAATGGATGGAAAGTATTCCCCAATCCCAAAAAAGCTGCTTCACGGGGTTTATACTTTCTGACTTGCCTTTTAAGGCATCTCCCAAACCGGTTTCATCACGATCCGCTATTATTGGATAACCCACGGCCTCGTTCTTTTGCATGGACTTGCTTCTTCTCTACTTACAGCAGCAAGCAGCAGCAGCAGCAAGCAGCAAGCAGTCCATGGCACAAAGGAAGCTACAAGGGCGACGCACATCCGTATGCAACTCAGCAAACGCACTCTCCATGACGTGGGCCCATGTGTTTGTGGCCATGTTTGTCTATTTTAGCGACGGACGGGAATAAAGAATCTTAGATACGCCTTTGATCGCTCGCCAGCGAGTCATACGTATGGCGGATGATGACGACTGATCAGCATTGACACTCATGCAAACAACATACAAACAAACAGTATCGGAGCATGTTGTCGGTTGCCTTGTTTGGCCTGGATGACTATCGTCAGCAGCACTGCCACACGCAGCGGGTTACAGCTACAGGATTGACAGCATGACAGCTGCAGCGTGGACGTTCGTCGTGAAAAGGAAAAAAGGGAAAAAAAAGAAGCCGTTTGGGGGGGATGGTTTCTTTCTTGGGGGGAGCATATGCTGGGGGGGGGCACATGCAGTCGTTTTGGGGGGGGGGAGTGGAGGAGGGCATACGACGACAATAACAGGCCCATCTCCAGGGCAACACTCTCTTTCCATCAAGTCGGGCAATGAAATGTGGGCAGGTTGTGTACATCCCCATGTCTGTAAAAAGAAGAGAGACAGCGTGTCACTCTTAATTGGGTTGGCACCGTGCACAGAGCACATAATAAAAGACAATTGGGCACTCCCAACCCAATAATCGACTACGACGTGCCAAGTACTTAGTAACCCAGCCGCTGTAGTAGTAGTAGTTAGCTTAGAAATTTCGGGTTTGACGACGTTAAACCCTGCAAGTCGATGATCGACGGCCAATTTTTTCTCAGCCAACAAGGCCTGTTGATTACCTCTCTCTCTTTACATTCTCTCATTCTCTCTCGCACCAAACCCACATTACTATCTTGTCGCGCGCACGACGAACACACATCGTTTCTTTCCCTTCTCCCCCGCCCCTAATCCTACTTAGGCGTCAGAGTAACAATGTCGTCGGGTAGAGTTCATTTTCCATTCCCAATATCGGTTCTGCTATTTTTACACATGACGCTTCCGCCACCTTTTTCTGCAACTTTGATAGGATCGTGCCACAATAAAAGGGTGCATCTCGCTATGTTGGAGGCTTCCAGGCGAGCTATAGTCTTTAAGGGGGGGGGTGTCTATTTGAAAGACAGACAGACTCACCCGACGCGATGCCCACGAAAAAGGGGGGGGGCAAAGGCTTCTGCGAAACGGAGTGATATACGGACGCAGGGGAGAGAGAGAGAGAGAGAGACGATACTACATAATAGCAGTGAGATGGTAACCGTACGCAGGTGTGGGTGATGCACAATCAGCATGTTGCTCTCCTGTTAATCATTCTCGTAAATGTCAACTCAGAACGTGCTCACAGACTCTTCTGTAGAGGTTCCCGGATTCCAGCAATCCCACCAAACATTCACCTTTTTGCTGATGCCGATGCTGCAAGCTTGTACGCATGGCTTCTTTTTTTCTTTCTTTCTCCACGTCACCCACATGCGTCCATTTTCCGCTTATGCTTGCCTGTCCGTTTGCTGCTACACTGTGTGTGTTGCTGCACATCACTTTTGATTTATAACATCAATATAGGGTACATACATACCGCAATAATCAAGATCTGTACATAGTGATTTATACTAGCTGCTACCATGGATGTGGGTATTTATCTACTTGCACACATAATTAGCATCACTGCCAACTCAACGTGTCGCTTATTAGCAGCTGCTAAATAGCATGATCAAGGCCTAACTATTAGTGTAATAACACCCCTATTTCTCCTCCTCCTCCCCCCCCCCACTCTGCCTTCTTGGATACTCATTTCATTATTGTTGATGATGACTTTTGCATAGAAACGCTCTGTCTACGCTATCACCGGCTACTCACAAAATCTTTGCCTTTATTAAAGAAAATCATTCTGACTCTGACTTTTTTGAAATAGCATGATCGACACAAAATAAAGCTTTCTTTTCATTTTGTCATGTTAAAAAAAAGGGTTTATCTTTTTTTTTTTTTTTTGTTATATGAATATAAAGAAAAATGACAGTTTAAAACAAGAGAGCTCCTATCTATCACATAATAAAGATGGATAGATGGATAGCGAGCGACCCAAAGCAAAAGTGTGCTTGCATATGTAGCGTATACAGGTAGATCTCTCTCTTTCCTCTCTCTCTCTCGTTCTTGGGATTTCCGATACTTGTCTCCTTATAGAAGGTTCGTCTGCCCATACTTTGGCTATCCGTTCACCAATTGCAAACTTTACTAGGTATACTTGCTGGATATCAATGAGTGTCGCTGTCTGTATTACTCACATTGTTGAAACACACGAGCCATGGGCCATTATGCTAAAAACAATCCAATCATGATAATTACGCATTGACCCCACCCCCCCCCCGAAAAGTTTCAATTGTGGCATTGTTGCACGATGTTTTTTTTTAGAAGCTGTAGGGGTAAAAGTTACTCGCTGCTTATACTATGTGTCACTGCTAGTAGATAGTATAGGTGTAATATGATTATTGAGTACATGTGCGTATGGATTACTTCTATCATGCGTTTATTACATTTCAATTATTACATGCAGCAAATCTTAAAAAACAACTTTTTCTTTTTTTTTGCTATTATTCTTTCCCATTGTCACTTTTGTTTGCAACCAGCCGAGCCATCATTTCCATCAAGATTTCATGGTTCGGATTTGTCTCCCGGTTGTTGTTGTCGTCGTCGTCATCCAGGAGACGACCACGATCTTGTGTCAAAAACATGTCTTCTACCCGCATCGATTGGAACCGGCTCTTTGCATCATTCACATTGCTATCTAATGCGTCTGGTAAAGAAGGATGTTGTTGTTGTTGTCGTCCGTGATAATGGGTGTTGAGTAAGGATGTGGCAGAAATAGGTTGATGCAGACGCAGCGTGACACGAGGCCGGCCATCCTTGTCAAAGCTAGCATGCTGCACATAAAATGTACGTACGGAGCGATCGCCCGTCCGTCTAACGTTCAACGCCATGCGTTTAGGCAAGAATGCAACGACACCACCGATGCCGACCGCATAGCCTCCTTCGACGGAACCCAAAATACGACCCTGGACTGGGTATCCCATTTCCACCTGCTGATAATCGCTGTATGTGGGCCCAACCATCGTCTCTTGTGTGGTGGTAGTAGTAGTAGTAGTAGTAGTAGTAGTAGTAGCTGCTGTGGAATGATTATTACTGTTGCTGAAAGTTGCACCCAAAAATTCGTACACTTGGTCTTGTACCAATTCTTTTGACTTTAACTTTTGTTGAAATTCGGGTGCTCGTTTACTGGCATGTTTGATGAACTGTTTAAATTCGGCAGGCGTCATGCTACCAATGTTGTATTCTTTTTGTTCACTGCGCGGCATGGGTCGTTTGCTGACGGGGAAATTCTCTTTCCATCGTCGGACGAAAAGGACTTGCGAACTACCCGATTGCCAGGGTGTTTGATGTTCTGCTGTGTCGAGATCGGAAACCGTAATGTGAGGTGTACGAATGACGGAGGGCAGGTTGCGCTTCAGGCCCCATTCGCCCCCTCGTTTGCAGTTTCGTGAGGTTGCATACACTTGTGGAAGTTTTCGATCGAAGCTGGCTAACCGTGAATTACGTAGTGCGCTCGCGAACGTCTTGTCCATTATGTTATATTGAGGTGTTTAGTGCCACTCCTAATACCGCCAGTCAACTTTTCAGGGCCATTTTCCTCTTCTCTCTCTCTCTCATCTTTCTCTATCTCAAAAGCCTCTCAAATTTTGTTACTCCGAACCCCCGGCTGGTAAGCGAGGGTGTAAGCAACAAGAACCAGATCAAATCATCGAACGCCAGTAGCACACCCAACAGACTGGTCATTTACCTATCATTGTACACAAAAACAGCAGCAATGCCTCGTAGAGTCGATTCAATGGTAAGATTTTGCATGTATCTACTTTGGAGAAATATATGGAGAGTAGACAGAGACAGAGACAAGCGCAGCGTGTTATACATGTGTGCACACCTACCACGCATGGTGTGCTACTACTACCGTAATCAACTTTTCGCTTACCCCCCCGTCAATAAACTCTAACTTTTTTTTTGTGATATGTACATACTACATTATGCTAGCATAAAGAGTGAGTGACTTTGCTTGTAACTTTGAGTATATATCTTGTAGATCGAGATATAGAGAAAGGCGCATTATCGTAACTTTATGATAAATAATCCTAGATTTCAAAACTCTTTTCCATGCTACTACTTTTTTACTCCTATTGTATCAACAACTACTGTCCGACAAAAAAGAATGTGTCGTTAATTCCTCCGCGTCTACTGATATGTACGTTAAAAAAAACACAAGATAAACGTAAAAAAAAAGAATGAAGCAGGAGGGGGGGCTCCTTGTGCCTGTGTTGTAGCGTTTGTCGCCCGTCTTTAAACCTTTCCCTTCTTTTGTCGTCGGACCTAGATACTCTGATCGACAGTGTAAATAGCGTTTTGGAAAAGAACAACTAATTGACGAGGGATTAGCCTACGAAAATAAAGGAGGTGAAACTTTAGTTTTTTTTTTCAATTGAGGTCAGATTGATCAATACTTGGGGTATGTACGCCTACGAAACAAAACAACAACAGTAACAGCAAATTATCCGCAGCATAGGATAGTCCCCGTTTTTAGGATTTTTCAGAGAGAGAGAGAAAACAAAAAGAGACGACGCTTGAGATTTCGTCTGCGGACGAGGAAAGAGGAGTAACAACCGCACAATTTTAAAAAAGTGATACCATGAGAAGGAGTGTGCTTTTTATTGAAGAGGAGGTAAATCATGGTTGTAATAGTAAGCAAAGCGACATGCGGAGAGCATGCTAATTGTGCTTGACAGACCATGACCTTTACTTCTTGTTTGTCGTGCTTTTACAACAGACACTGGGGATAGTATAGTGGTGTGTTTTTAAAATAGAGGTATGTCCCTCAAGGAAACGAAACCTGACATCCATGGCACGTTGTTTCTCTCTGATAATACGTAAGCCGACTTTGTTTGTTGCTGTTGGCGCGATGACAACCACAATACTTCTCCTCCTTTTTCTCAAGTCGAAGCTTCTATCATCGGTTAGTATCATCTTTACGGCACTTATTGTTTCTTCATTTTTTGGTTACTCCTTGCTTGGTTTAAAGTATAGTGTGACCTACTCTAACAGACGGCTTTATCATGAATAAGTACAACCAAGTAAAATATCGACGAGAGGCCTGGATCTGTTAACCAGATGTACAAGGACGTGTATATAGATACTAGTGCTACTATGATTAAAAAATACTGCCAAAAGGTGGATGGCTGTAGACATGCGAACAACAAGTCAGCCCGTATTGTTTACAGTCTTTATAACCAGTACAGTAATGCAGTGCATAAAAAGGGTCAACTATAGTCTAAAGTATGGCGTTGATGGTCTTGTTGGTGATATTTCTCCGCAAGAACAAGGTGGTCGCCATTGTTCATTATCTGATATAGCGCATCGTCTGTTTGGTATTGTAGTAAATGTGATGCTAACGGGATCCTTCATTATTGTTCTACTGTTACAAAACAATACGAATATGCTAATAAAGTGATTGATATGATTCTAAAGTTAGCTCTTAAGGTGCTGCATAAAACATGAGTCATTGTTTTTTTGCAGCAACTGACATGACGATAAAGCAAATAAAATCCATTTCTATCGTATGATAGCTAACCACATGATCTTTGCAATAGCAGGATCGTTGCGCACCGAGATATCTTCAATGTGCAATTTAACTGTATCCTATACAACGAGTCGATCATCGTCGATCCCTTTCTGATAACATCAACTTTTCGATCTTCATAAACTTCTTGACATCCATTTAATGCCATGAGTAGTTACAAGGTTTGAAGAAAAGAACGACACTATCTCTTCTTCCCATTACATGTAGTGATGAGGCCCCCCGCTTTTTTCAAAACTGTTGTTACTGAGCAATCTTGAAAATAAAATCGAATTTGACTTTCAGTGGGGAACGGTAATTATACAATCTATCAATGGATTTTAATAAAATCAGTTGTTCTCGTCTGTTTCATGAACAATACATTTATTAAAGATTGACTTTGCTTAGTTAAAGGAAAATCTCTGTCAAAGTCAACTCAATATCCCTAATTTTTATTTTGATGGTGCAAACATCATTGAATTAAGATCATGCAAAAAGAGTACAGTATATACAGCAACTTGGCTTAACATGGTCATCACTGTACTCATTTTATAAAATTAGCCATACGAAGGCTTGCCTTGCAAAGGGGAAAGTAACGAGTTCTTGAAATAGGCATTTATTTTTTTCACTTATTCCTGATTTATGTAAAAAACAACTCGACCCAATTCTCTGGTCGACACCGCTATATCACACAAAAGCGCGACGATAATGTAGTCAAACGCAAAAATGATTCGTTGCCTCAGAGTCACACGACTTGTTGTTCCCATTTTGTATCTAGCAACATATTCGCTAAATAGACTGCTCAAATGGTGCATGCACTGGCTCCCACTTGAGAGAGTATTGCTGCGACGCAACAGAAGCCAAACGGGGACATTACGCTCAATGTTCCCTCCTCAAAACACAACTACAGGGGCTCATCCATACCTTTGTTGGTACAATTCCAATATGATGAAATCCATTGATTACGTTCTAAAAGCATTTTTCCCTCGATCGAAGCGTTAGCCTATCCCGCCGCCAATGGATCAAAACCTTCCGAGAATTAGACTGGTTGAGCCATCCAACCGAAGATTATCTTTGACCAGATATATGTACACTTGTTCACATTCGTATTCCTTCTCTCCAAAACTTCTTCCTCCCTCAAGTTGGGTTTTTTTCTCTGTTTTTTTCGCAACATCACTTTTATTCTCATAACTGAATCGTACCATAAGGAAGCGACTTGTAGGCTTCATGGCGCATGTCACATAGTCTTCCACTATAATCAAACATAATATGTATTTTAAACTAATGATTAAAATGGAGTTGAAAAAAGCGGGGGTCCACTGTACATCAACTTTTTTTTTCCATACATGTAAATCACAAAGTGCAGCTGTATGCATGGTTTGAGAAAGTTATGATCATGCATATGATATAGTTTAGCAATTCAAAAAGCATGAGTATATGCTGTGATAGCAGCAGCAGCAGCATGTACATAATGCCGTCAATAAACCAACAGATCGATCAAATGATGTACTTCTTTAGACATAATACATACATAAGATCTTCATATAGCTCTGCTCGTGAAACGTTTAATAATAACGGGTGAGAACTTTCTTTTTCCAAGGAATACATGAAATACATACACGTAGACCAGCAACGGTATATTAACATCAATCATTGCAATATGCCTTTTTTCAATATGAATCCTTATATTTTATCGTTACCGATAGCGATTCCGTTGGGACGCTTTCTTCTCTTATGTGCTGATATTGCAACAACAAAAATTGGAAAGGACTGCTGCTTTGGGTAATCTGGACTCATCGTGTCAAACAAGACGAAATTTTCGTTAGTGGGTTTGGATTGACGCGTTTATTTTAATGCAAATAAACAGCATTCTAAATTAGTAGCAAACGTGCCCACGGAAGTTTTGGTCATATGATAAACGTACCAGCACTCTTGTTATCTAAGCTTACAACCCAGCTCTCGCTGATACGCATTCATGAGAGAGCTAGAGTCTATGCATTGTCCTTAATTTGCTCTAGCGAACGCACGTTCCATCTTTATTTTGCACTTTTTCTTTCAAAAAAGAATATGCTGTTCGTTTTACAAGAAACCAGATCCAATGTCCGTAGTACTACTTGTAGGATTTTCAACATATTCGCAGATAATACAACATAATAAAAGAGTTAACCACATCGTCATGCTGAACCTCGCAAGCAGGAGCATTCATAGTTTCTATATTATCTGTATTGACCCGAAACAGCAAAAGATCGAGACCGCAAGAAGGTACACCAAACATTCTCAATAGCGCACACAATTGGAAAAGCAGATACACACTGCTGCACATGAGTACATGCATGCAATCAATATAATGGGTGAACGTGGCACGGAGGTGGTGGTTTTAGTATATGGATTCATGATATGTGCATTGAGTGGGTTTTGAGTGCTTTACTATGTAGCTACCCCATAGCAAAAAGCTGATCCTAGTATACACGTATACAGTTGAGACGACGCTATGAATCACTCGATCTGCTAATACAATAGGATGTTTGTATAATACTCTGAAAATTATGCAGACTTTCATCTAAAAGGAAATTGAGAATTGTGTCATACATATCGCTCAATATCATTGTGGATGTCGATTGCAGAGAATGAACAAGGGGGGGGGTTGGGTGCATGAAAGACAGCAAAAGATACTGTAATTCACATGCATTCGTGCATGTATATGTTGGGTGTGGTAAAAGAAAAAGGATTTGCAGCAGCAAAACACACATGATTAGCTTTTTTTTCCTTAGTTCTAAGCACTGCATGCATACTCCATGACGTAATTGCACACGGAATAACAGCCAAAAGTAATAATAATTTGCCAACTTTTTGCATACAATCGCTTGACTAGCTAACAGAAAATAAACATCTACAAAAAACACGACTAAGGTGTACCAGAAAGAGGAATGCGTACGAGTAGGGTTTTTGTGGATATCAGGAGACTTTGAAAGAGAGAGAGAGAGAGTGTGTGTGTGTGTATCCAAACAAGAAAAGTGGGGGCAAGGGGGGAATGGTTCAATATGATGTTAATAAACACAGCGCAGTAGAAAGAATCAGAAGGGCATAGGATTAAGGGAATACATGTTGTTATAGCCGTCGAAGCCGAGCATGAGCGAGAATGACATGTAACTGTTAGCAATAGCGGCGATCTGCTAGCTGCCCTCATTCTTTTCAGAAGAACTGTCGCTACAACTGCTGTTTTCACCAAAGCTGTGTCTACGCGGCCGTCGTTTTGTTGGGGTCGCCGTCGTCTCTTTTGTGGGTGTCGACGAGTTCTGTTGCGGCTCGACAGTGGAAAGGGAAGCCTCACTACGTGCTCGCGGCCTTCTTTGTTGCTGACCATCTTGCCGCTTGGTGAGCTTATCCTTGGATTGAGCGGTATTGTTGTTGTTATTGTTGCTGTCATTAGTACTATCGTTCTCACTAGAGGTACCGATTGTGATCGGGTTACTGATATTCTTCCCGGTAGTAGTAGTAGTAGTGGTGGGTGTGGATGGCGATGACTGAGCAGAACCAGAGGTCGGTGTAGAGGTGGTAGTGATGGTAGAGGAATGATTCTGATCATTGTCGAGGGGTGTTGTTGTTGTTCCTACCCTGGGTGGCGGTCCATTATCCGACGGCGAAGAAGAAGAGAGGGACCCATTTGAGCGATTATCCTGGCTGTTCGGTGATGACCTATGAGCGTAGTTATTGTATTTAGTACAGATTAGCAAATATTACTTTTTGAATTGCTACGTTGTTTGGACGAAGCATGGGAACCTCAAAGTGGGAGCACAAACCGCTGGTGTCTGCTCTGGTAACTTGACTAGGAAGATCTGCTGCTGAGGGTCAGTGCTGCCACCACCGCCACTGCTGCCACCACCGCCACTGCTGCCACTACCAGTACTCATGCTGCTGTTACTACCGCTCTCGCCTTGATCTGTGGCAGTCTGAATGGCACTGTCACGTTCGGTCGAATTGGAACTAAAATCTGCTATACTGCCGCCACTGTATACACGGGTCCCCAAAACAAAAAGACAAAAAAGAACAAGGTCGAAAAACAGCGTGTTTTTTTTAATTAGAGAATAGAACAAAGTAACGAGTAGCTTTAAAGGAAACAGGGTATATTTTGCACGTCCTAACAGAATCCATGGTTCAGACGGCAGTGGGTATATGGAACGGAGGGGATGGCAACGGTGGCAACATGATTAATGAAAAACACAGAACTTTTTTTATGTACCTGCTGGGAGAATCAGGCTTTTTCGAAGGCGAGGAGCGTCGTCTCGCTCGTGAAACCAGTCGGTTGGCGACAGCTTGCTTCTCCTTGAAGTTCTTGAGATACTCCTGATATTGCCGGTACTCAGGTGTGCGGCAGTACTGTTGCATCTCGACCAAGTAGGCGTCCTTGGCTTGCATGGCGGTGAGCTCGTAGAAATGCTTCTTTTCTGGAGACAGCGTTTTCCACTGCTCGCCGATGGTCTTTGAGATTTCGGCAAAGCCCATACTCTGGTCTTTCATTTCTGCTCGGATATGGTTCGAGAACATGACGTAGGCAGAGGGCGGCTTGTTGGGAGCGTTTTTGTCTGGTTTGGGACGTCGTCGGTACTTGCGTTTTGTCTGTTGTTGGATGATCATGTCGTTCGTCGTGCGCTTTGAGCCGCCGCTGCTGCTACTGCTACTGCATCCGCTGGTCGAATCGGCTGACAAGGTTTCCACTGGAGGCGAGGGCACGTTGTTGTTGTTATTGGATGCATTGTTATTAGGGTGGTCGATTTGATGGTGATGATGACGATGATGATGGTTATGATGATGATTAGTAGCAGGACTTGGTAAAGATTGGAGGTTGTGGTGATCAAGGTGTTGATTGCTAAGATGCAAATGTCCAGGACGCTCCTGCTGATAGAACATCATCGAAGTTTCTGGAACCGAAAACGTGTTCAACTTTCTTTTTTTTCTCTTTATGAAAGAGGGGCGCAGTGGACAGAATAATAAAAAAAGACATGTCAAAAGAAAAGACATAACACTAGGCCAGAGTACTTACTGAGTGGATGCTGCAGCTGCTGCTGCTGTAGTTGTTTTGGCTGAGGAATATCCGGATTGTTGTTGTTGTCGAGGCTGCCACCACGGGTGGTTGCGATATCCCGTTGAATCAGCTAGTGGTAATTTCAGGAAAAGCCAAAAAGAGTTAAACTCCAACCTGCTTGAATTTCTAAATATGGAAGGAGCAAAGAAATTCAAAGAACATTTTTACCCTGCGATGGCCGCGCTTGACTCCCATGGCGATCATGTCCTCTTCTGTCACTTCGAATAGCTAAAAATAAAGACGCAAGAGAAAAAGGCATAGCGTGATTGTAGTCACATCGTACATGATCAGCTACTCAGCACAGCTACAGGCTAGACAAACCAGCCAGAACAGCAAAAGCAATGGGCATACCGATGGCAGCGACTCAAAACCTTCTTCGATGAAGGTGTCCAGGTACTGGAGCAGGCGACAGTGGTCGAAGAAGGCCTTGACCTCTTGGTGGCCTTGGTCATCCACATCGAACGCCGACATCTCATCCTGAGAGTCCATGCTTGCTGTGTGTCTTAGTAAGTGCTTACAATGGCGAGTTGCTGCCCACTCTCTGTTGGATGGTGCGGGGGGGGGGGGCAAGTCTAACTGACAAAGGAAGAAGAAAGGGCAAAAGGAACAAAAACAAAGAAGAAAAAAAGAAGGTCCACCGGTTGCGCGTAATCTTATATTTAGCAGTCCGCGCCAAAAGGGAAGAACATTCTTCTACTCCCCCACTCCTCGTTTATTATTAATTATTATCATTATTTGCTGCTGCTGCTGCTGCTTTCGTTTAGAATGGACAACCCCTTCTAAAAGTCGTTCCGTCCGCTGTCATTGCGTCCACTCATGATGCCTCCCATCTGCTGTCGTCGCTGCTGCTCCAACTTGGGACACTCGTTGATACGATGGCCCAAACCACCACAGAACGTACAGCCTGATTTGTCAACAAAACCATCCAGTGATCAGCAGCTTATTTCACCGTTACGCAAAATAGTCACCTTCTAATTGGAATATCGCTCTTACCTCCACTTAGACCGTATTTCTCTGATGGATCTTCCATGGCCGCAAGGAATGGAGGAACGCGTTGCTTGGCTTCGCGCAGCAGGTGCTTCAAATCCAACCGGATCTGCTCAGAGCAATGTTGATTGATGAAGGTTGTCGCGATACCCGTCTTGCCACTACGACCCGTGCGACCAATCCGATGCACTATACGTCATGCAAGACTTAGTTTCTTGCAATGCTACCTCTTCTCTAAGCTAGACCAAATATGGGACCCCACAACAACTCACCGTAGTCTTCGATCTCCTTCGGCATGTCATAGTTGATCACATGCTGGATCTCTGCAAAATCCAAACCTTTCGACGCAACGTCTGTAGCAACAAGTACATCCTTCTTGAAGGACTTGAAAGATCGGATCGCAAACTCACGCTCATCTTGCGCTAATAGTTCCACACAACCAATCAAACAAAGGCTATCAGTATCCATCGCCTTCTTTCCATTGTCATAGAAAAACATAGAAACTCTCCCCCCCCATTGCCACAACTTACATTTGCCACCATGGATAGCTACTGCCTCTACGCCTTTCAGCAGCAGATACTCGTGGATGTCGTCAACGTCATTCTTATTCTCCGCAAACACTAGAACCTGATAGAAACATAAAATCAAATTTCAGTGACCGAGTTACTGGGAGTCGTCATTTAATTTTACTCTCAAAAAGAAAATTTACCGGAGGCGGCGTTTTCTGTAGGCACTCGAGGAGATACACCATTTTAGCTTCTTGCTTCACATACTCCACTTCCTGAATGACGTCCAAATTGGCAGCACCAGCACGACCCACGTTGACCACCAAAGGCTGGACCAAAGCTGACAGTGCAAAGTCTTGGATCTTTTTCGGCATGGTAGCAGAGAACAACAATGTCTGTCGCTGACTCTATAATCATCGTTTGGGGGGAGAGCCCAGCAAAAAAGGTACAAGATTACATCATAGAGGTTAGCCTTGTGCGCATCTTGTGTTTGCGAGCATGCACAGCGTGTCCACGCTTACCTGGAAATAGGACATAATCGTTCGAACGTCTTCTTCGAAGCCCATGTCGATCATTCTATCGGCTTCGTCCATGCACAGGTATTTACAAATATCCAGGTTGAATTTCTTTTTAGTCAGCATATCCATCAGTCGACCTGGCGTTGCGATCACCATGTGGATTCCCCTATGTAATTGTTGTTATTGGCATTCGTGTAACGCTTGTGTCAGTAACGTACAATGCTAACGTTTCCCCACGCATCTTCACACCGCTTCTTGTACCTATTCAAAACATCGCCCTGGTCACGCATATCAATACCGCCAATACAAAGCAAGGACCTTAAGGTGGGGAAGCCACTCTTCTCTAAGCATTCCGCCATCTGACACAGGCTTTCATACGTCTGCCGGGCCAGCTCTCGCTATAAATGTATATTAGTAAAAAGGTCGATTTGATTTCAACCAAGTTACCAGGAACACTGTACTCACCGATGGACAGATGATCATTCCGATAGGACCCTCTCCACGGACAAGGGGTAATCGTACCTCGGCTTCCAGCGCTTGCATCAGCAATGGTAACGAGAAAGCAAGTGTTTTGCCTGAGCCCGTAAAAGCGATGCCGATCATATCACGACCAGATAACCTAGTTTTTAAAAAAAAAACAACTTTGCTAAGTAAGCGCTGTTCTCTTCTTTGCCCATTGTTCATTCCACACTGTTACTTACGCCACAGGCAGACCCTGGATTTGAATAGGAGTTGGTTTCATGATCTTTTTGTCTTTGAGATAGTCCAAAATGGGTTGCGGGAATTTCATATCCTAACAGCCGAGTATAAAAAATAAGCTTTTTGGTCTTCTTTGTCTTTCCTTTTATGGAACTGGTTGAGAGCTTACTCTGAAATTATTGATAGGTGGCACTGGATTTTGTCCCTCGACAATAATATGGTATTTCTTTCTAACAGTCTCATGATCCGATTCTGATTGCTCGCGTATGTAGCCAGGTGGTTGCCAGCTAATCTCATCCTATTAGCCATAGAAATACTACTTTTACTCCCTCTCTCTCACTCCTCTCCGCAGCACAAAAACCCGACTTGACAATGCAAAGAGAGACCTTACCTTGTTTTCATGGGCTCTGTATAGTGCACACCTGCTGCTGCTTCTTGCACAGACACCAAAGCTTTATGTCGTGCCTGTGCTTCTTCAATTCTTTTTTCTTCTTCCAGCCGTTTCTCCTCTTCCGTTTTTTCTACATATTTTCCAGAAATATTTAGTGTTGAGTTCCCCAAGTTTCTATCTAAGCGATCTAAAGATCAAATTTACCTGGAATCAGATTCTTTTTTCGATTTTCTACTGCCTGATCAAGCAAACTAATGTTGGGACGACCACCCGGTGTACTTGATTCTTCTTCAACATCCTCTTTCGGCGACGGCTCGACGACTCGTCGCTGTTTTGCATACTTGTGCAACTTTTCTAGTCGACGTTGCTTAATGGGAACATACGGCACGTAATCGTCATTGTTATTGTCATCGAAAGCAGTAGACTACAAATTGCCCAAAGTTTCAAAGTGATCCATGTCAGTTTGTTTCAATTTCATTCAAATCCACTCGTCTTTTTTGTTGTCAACTTACACTGTTGGGATCGCTCATTTTATAAAGATAAAGTAACGTAGTTGGAACGGAGGGCCTAGCTGACTTTTTATGTGTTTCGCAGCTGTAAGCAGTAGCTAGCAAAATTTATCTCAAAAAAATCAAAAAGGACTTCAAATAATCCTTGAATCTTTTTAACATATACTTATACTGTTCGTTGCTAAGAATGCGCTCTAAGCTTATGTATATGTTCATCAAAGATACAAACGAACAACCAAGATGTCTGCCCATGTAGTGCTGTATTACGCTTGTCAGCCTCCTACCGTGTTGAGCAACAATACCGTACCTATATCAACAACGCTTGTAGTGATTGGGGAATGGCATCAGCAAGTCCAAAAGAAGGATCCTGTCGACTTGTTTTAGCTAACCAAGAAAAATGGAATGAAGCACTAAACGATTGTAACATGAAATACATCTTCAAAAAGTGTACTAGAACTTTATAGGTGCTACATTAACGTTGCCGCACGTTATCTGTCGAAGATCAAGAATTAATTTTGGGCCTAGTATGATATCATGTGGTGGACCTCATACACGCGAGATTAATTTGTCCACTCTGCTCATGGACGTGTCATCGAGATAATGTTGGTCCCCCAAATCGTGCCAATCACCTATTAGCGACTCTCTTTATTTGAAAGGTCCTGCTCTGGGATCCATTAAAATTGACAGTATCGAGCCATGCACAAAACTTAATCCCATTTCGCTTATTGTCAGCGACCACATATTATGTACTTACAATTACCAAGAACTGTCTTTTGGCCCATCATTTACACTTAGTTGGCGAATATTAGCACACTACGAACAGCTTATTGTATTTTGCTGCAATTGGGGGAGGGAGCAAAACTTGTCGAATTGAAAATTATATCGAACGCAGATTTGTGCTGGTTGTGGTTTTGTCAAGAAGCTGAAGGGACTCAAGACCTTAACTTGAGCAGTGATACGTTTGAGCTCCAAAGACTTGACAGAGAGCAGAGCGAGAAGATCGAAGAGTTCTTGGAATAGTGTAGAGGCAGTTTGATTCATAACTGAAAGCTCTTCTGTTATATTTATAGCATATCATCATTTCTTATTATGTGCAAATGTAATGATACAAAGTGGTAAGCAGAAAATTAAACTTTTAAATTTATAGGCGTGACAAATCGAATGTTTTTTTATCATATTATGTAGTAAATAGCATGCTCTATCTACGATCAAATAATGCAAGTGAAAATGCGAGTGCTTAAACTTATATGTTCTTTATTGAGGCTACATATACATAGGCGTACTCAGCCATCTATCAGTTCTGTTTAAGTTTCTTTTCTTGTGTAATTTTCTGATAATACACCTTCCAGCTATGATGTGCAAAGCGGATAGCCCATCCCAGTCCCATCACAATAGCAGCTAAACATAAATACAAATCATAATTATTTGCCTTCAAAAAAGACATCTTTTTAGCGACATCCTGACGATGTGGCAGAATCCCGTCCTTGGTGGCGAATATAACTTCCTCCACCAAATCTGCTCCTCGGGCGACCGCATGCTGTGCACGAATCTGCATCAATGCTTGGTATCGCTTGACGTTACTTTGAAGGACACCATCCTTGTCTTGTATTACACGACGCAGTGCTTCGAGAATATCGTCAAGCTTGCTTATATCCAAATGCACTGCCACTTGCGCACGGTCAAGCCTAACTGCATTTGCAAGCTGGTCACCAAAAAACGGAATGATAACTGCGCGCTTGCCTGCGTACGACACTTCGAATAGAGATGTCCCACCGCCATGAGAAAGAAAAGTAATGACTGATGGATGCTGAAGAATTGCAAATTGAGGCGCCCAGCTGCTCAGTCGAGCGTGTGGATGGTCTCTGTAGAGATCTTCGACGCGATACTCTTGTCCAGATGCTGTCGTGACCGTATTTGGAAATAGTGTTCTTGCATTACCATCGATAGATCTTCCAGGCACCCACATAAAACCATCGATTAATCCAGTTTCCAACGCGTTCAACAGGCCGACTAGCACACGCACCGCTTCGTCGCGTGTCATCGCTGCATGCTGTCCAAAGGCACCAAATACGACGCGTTCATGGTTCTCAAGAAATTTCTGAATGGCAGGCGGCAACGGATCATAGGCGCCATTGTATATCGGACCGATCATTTCGGACAGCGGTTCCATCGGTCGTGCTTCCTCAATCCCGTAGAGGTTGTTTATGATTACGAGTGAGTGGCGTGTATTATCCTCGGGCACGAATCCAATACACTTTTGTCGTTGCTGCTCAAATTTTTCCAGCTCTGTAGCCAAGTTCCAGTATAATTGGACAGGGTAGAAAAACTTTTTGTAGAACCGTAACCAAAGAGAAATACGGTCTGTAGTAGACTCGCTACTAGCTAGACTCAGGTCTTTGTTAATACAGGGAGTGGATGCATTTGATTTGATTAAAGTTTTTGTTTGCTTCTGAGTTTTTCAAGTTGATTCTCTTGTCATAACAATAAATCAACAGAGTTGAGCACTCTTTGTAATTTTTACCTGAGACCGGATTAAATAGTACAGTGAGGATAGTAGGTATATTAGCTGCATACGCTGCATCGATACAAGCGGGACAAAAAAAGTCACTGATGACAACGTCAAATTGCTGGTTTGAGATGACGTTTTTCATATCATTATATACTGTAAATCATTACCGTGTCAGCCGAAACAATACGGATATGTCAAAGTTAAGCACACTTCGATTGGTTGGTTACTGGGATTTCTTATCACATACTTGGTTCGTAAACATCTGTATCAAGCTTAAAATCGCTTCGGAGGCCATCCCACGTTCTAGGCTCTCTGATAACATGTTGGCCTAGCCTGTAGTCAACTGTCTCGTTGCCGAATGACACACCTTTCATTTGTGGGTATGGCTTGAAAAACCTAAGGTGACTGCCCTGGTGTACAGAAAATAGTTACAATATTATACCATAATTCTTGTGAGTCTGCCTGAAAGTTAATAATCAGCCTTACTGTTGATGCAAAAGTAATACTGTGCCCACGCTTAGATAGCTCGTTCAAGATTTGTGCCACCCACGATGTATGACTCGACCCTCCAGCAACTACAGCAAACAAAACATTCCTTGGTGATCGAAATGTTGGTGCGCCGAGTTCGTTGTATATACTGAGGTGGGAACCAACAACAGCAGCATTTAAAAAAGAAAGCGCTGTTACAACTGTTAGAGCTGCTTTGAATAGGGGATACAGAATGGCCATAGGTTCGGGAGCTAAAGAAAAGAAAACAGAAACATAAAGACGAGCTGCGACTGTTGGCGTTTGGTTTTGTTTACTCGATACTTTTTGATGCAGGGAAGGCTTCTTATTTCGGTGACTCCAACAGCCAAAATTATTATGCATTACGCGCGATTGCCATGCTGATGCCCCGAGTACACTAAGCCTTTAATAGAACATTGTCCTAGGTTCAATGGTTTTAAAATTCCTCCTCTATCATCGTCATAATAAAATGTCAATTCTGTATATAAATATAATACTCCTTGATACTCGTTTAATACGTTTATCTCAAGAAAACTTTTAGAGAAAGCCATTGCAGTATGGACCCAACAGAGAATATATGACCACAAAACAAAGATTCTGCGGACAACGTATATCATCTTTGTCAACCGGAATCTCAGTTAATGCCATTACGGATGTAGAAAGACAAATCCTGGTGCGTACACTTCAGGAACACGACATGTACAGTGCGGTCTATAGAAGAGTTATTCCTCGTCGTTTCTAGGCACTTTCTCTGCCTCGATCCGACAATCTACTGACGTTGCTTTCACTGACATGATAAAAGCCACGAACAGCGATGGGAATATTTGGTCCCAATAAAGGCTTGCTTATAAAAATATTTTTGAAAACAACAAAAAACAAAATATTCCACTTATTTGCGTGGGTGCCGCAATACACCTTTACCTTCATCAGATGCTTTTGCCATTTTATATGATAATGTGGCAATAAGCAGTCGCAAATGTTGCCACATGATGTTTTATTTTGTACAACGGAAAGGTTGTTCTCTCTTCATATCATAAGTTTCGCCAATTCTTTCCTTTCTAGTTCGTCTCTACCGTTTTATTTACTGTTCATTCAAACGCACAGTACAGGTTTGTCCTTATCTTTAAGACATACATACAATACATATTTATGTGGCGTAACTGACCACCCTGGAAAAACACCACGTCTAAGAAGCGCTCAACATCTTTATGACTCTTCCTTTGCATCAACAAAGAGGCGCTTATATAACCATCCATATCATCATAACGGACAAGATCGCAGTATGCTTACCCATGATCAAAACATTAAATTTCGGCAGACGCGCGATAATAACATACAGCACAACGATCATCCTAAATCACCAAAGATAGCAAAACAACGACAAGATACATAAGCAGTATCCATATTATTATCTTCTCCAGAACAGCAACCAAACTGCCAAGAAATCCATAAAAAAATGGCTTTCTTACGACATCCGGTGCGTGATTTTTGAAAATCTTACTTACAAAGGCCTCATACGTTGCACGGGCGTCTGTCAAGCACGGTGTGACTTCATGGTGGAGTGGCCGACATTTTGGCAAAAACTTTCAATCGAATTGCCGCACTTGGATAAAGTAATTTTGGATCCCTTGCTACGTCGTGATCATGTAAACGTAATACGATTGAGCGGTTCGAACATTAAAGTTGGGCGCAATATTCTTGTATTCTTGATTAACTCGGAGAGCTATGTACTCAAGTATTAAAAGTTCGTGTATGTTACCTGAATGCTGGTTTTTCTGCTGGAAAGCGAAGAAAAAATACGTGTTAATGATGATGATAATGCTTAAAGATTTTAGCGACCTCAATTTCAGGGAAATCGACATAGCACTTTTACCAAGTGCGCTGCGGTCAACACGAGCTGTCAAACATATCGATTTCATGTATTGCACGTTTCCTAAGATCCCAGGGGGTGCGCCCAATTCTAAAAACCTGCTCAAACGTCTCACACCTATCGTTTTCACAGACGCCAAAAGTACCTGCCAAAGATTATATTCATTCTCCAAGAAAAAGCGATATTATTATACCCAACACGAACTACAGCTCGCTCACATCCTTGAAATTATGCTTCAAATATGCATAGTACGGTGTCGTTTATCCGGTATATTCGACGATGCCCGAATCTCTTGCACTTGTATTTGGATTCTGGCGGCTCGATACATCAAGGGCATTGTATCATGCAAGCACTCAAACACTGTCCTCAACTCAAAACTGCGGTCGTGAACGAGAAAGCAGAGATGCCTCCGACGGTCAAAGACGGGGTCGATGGCAAATCTTTGTCGGACACCACGTTTTCATTAGAAGCAAGAATCAAACGATCACCAAAGGAGCTCCGTAGACTGGTACTGGCAGGTGAAAACATCCACTTATCAGATAGGGATATGTTGGTGTCAATCTACAAAAAGTACCACAAGAGCTTGGGGCTACTGTATCTCTAGGATTACCCTATGATTGGGCGTTCTTTAGATTAGCTGGAACGTTACCAAGCGCCGCTTTTGCGCGAGATACGTCTATTGACCAGCCGAACAATCGTGCGATCGAACAACAAACGAGTCAACAAAACATTAGCAGTCATTTTCTCGAATTGTTTATTGTTGGAAGTGATCGAGGCTAACGATGGCACTAGACGAACACTCCCATCATATGCAACCGACATAACTGTCGACGATATTGTGCTCAAGTCTATTGCGAGCAATTGTCGCTTGGTACGTCATATTCAAGTTACCGGTCATCGAAGGCATTCGAGCGACGGTATACGGTATTTCTTTTCAGCAGTAGGTGGTAAACAACACAACAACTCACAGACCTAAAAATTGATATGAACTGCAACGATGTTTTATTATGTGTCAAGAGGATCAAGGCACTTAAAAGACTACACGCCAGCAAGGACACATGTATTTATCAAGGATTGACATTCCATCATCCTGGTGACAAACAAGCTGCGGATCGTATCCTGCAAGAGCGTGGCGGTTCGTTCATTTTCGGATTTATAGAGTTCAAACACCTCATCGGAATTGATATAGCAACACATAATAATTTCAGCTGATAGTATACAACTCTAAAATAAATTCTATGACACAGTACGGTATATATGCTATTGGTTTATTAAACTTGAAATGCTTGTACTGTATAGGTAGGAAGAAAATCATCGTCGTTTCTGTATGATGCCTCGCGCTGATTATATGGTATTCTTTAGCCGTACAATATTCATGTTATGAGTATGAGTTTTTAAAGGGCGGTGTTCTCTTTCATGGTCTCACTAGACTGCTTATACGCAGCGGTCGTTTGAATTGTTTTAATATTAAGCGATACCTGTAATTGTAATGCAAACAACAATATTTTGTATGTTTTAAATTGTTGTTGCCTGCGGTGACTGGTACTCTTCTAATATCAATGCATATAGAAGTGGAGCTCGTAAAATAGTTTCTTTATGTTTCAAGAGTTCGTAGTCTCGACTGTATTAATATAATATAGGAGACCTGAGTGTCGTATTGAAATAAGTCTGCCATAAACGCCGGTGTAAGTGCAAGCAACATATTCCTTTGCTTCCACTTCCAGTCGCATCTTTCTGGAACATGGTAGCATGCTTTCTCAAGGTTGTCCAGCTGCTAACTTATTATGTATTAAAAGAAAACGCTGCAGCGACTAAAAGATCACTACAAAATATAAATTCAGGAGGCTTACGAGCCAGAGAATAATGGTAGTCAAATACATATATAAACAGACCAGCAAATATGATTCTTCTTTTGCAATCGATATATGTCCAAAGACATAAACGTGATAGATCCAGCTCGCGTTGCTCTCAGGTAGCCACTTGACGGTGTCCTGCCCATGTCCAGAAAGGGGATGGCGTTTGATGTGTTGGACTCCATTAAACACCTGCACTAGCCGAAAGCTCTAATTAATCCTAGTAAATTAGCTGTCAGACAATACTTTAAGAAATGCCACTTGAAAGCTGTTTTTGAACGATTAATGAAACACACAAAGTATATCAACAAAAAGTATATCGCTAAGGAAGGAGTTTGAGACACGGATTTTATGCAACCTGAGCATATGAACGAAACGAAAAAGGAGCATGAAAGTTGTTGCACCGCTTGATTTAATCGAATATTGTGTTGGTAGGTTCCCAAATAGTAAAAATCAAATCGTTTAATCAAAAGGTAAACGATATGTTCGATATAACAAAAGAAGAGTTTGTCTCCATAGTTGGTTGCGAACTTTGTTTTTTGATGATTTTGTGTCGGAGAAAACAGATCAGACGCATCACACGACAATCCAAGAAAATAAATGAGGTACTGTATATTTGATGTGATCAGTCGAAGTAATTGCGTCTTTGACGACGCCCTATTCGGCCTCAATGTCTCTACCATGGGAAAAAAACATCAAAGAGGAACGACAATATTATAAATGACTTGAAACAGCAGGAACCTTAAAAAGAAATCGTTTTGAACCAGTATAACAGCAGCAGCAGCAGCAGCATCGATCATGACAAAGAGAAATATTGCATGAAAATACATGACAATATTTGGAGGATATGTAGAATTACTGTACTGACGTGAGTCAGCAGGAAGCAAAGGTAGTCTAGGAACGAGGAGCTCAGGAAGAGCGCAACACAGATCTTTCTTCTTTAGATAGTGACAAGTGATGCGTGTGTCAAACCTCGAACGTTCCAACAGCTTTCCCTTGAAACGAAAACTTCGTAGAGTGAAAGCGCATTGTTACGCAACGATTTGGCCAATTTACTTGGTACTCAAAGTGCACAAAGGAATGGCGGGTGAACAAGGTGATCAATGGAGCAACGAGTTACGCGCAAAAGGGTCAAAAGATGTACAGTAGGAAGTCATCGTTTATGGTGTTATTCTTCTGATCGTCCCAATGGATCTTGAAAGCTGCTAAAAAAAACGTAGAACCCGCACAAAAACAAACGAACCGATTAACTTTATCAGCAGCAATGAAAATCAATGAAGGGTGAGTCAGTTTCACTAGCGGCAGCGTATACTTACCATGAGCGGTCAGCTTATCTGCGGCAGCACACTTGGATAGAGTATGAATTCGGAATGGATGGAGGGAGGTTACACGGCGTAGTTCAGAGAACTGTTGGCGGATGGCGAAAATTATAAAGCAACAGTAGACAAGCACGCTTCACAATAAAAGATAACGGGTCTTTTTTATATACACTGCAGCGTTGGGGTCAAGTGTGTGGTGTATCTAATCCCGCACACCGCACATGCAGTCAAAAGATACTAGCAAAATGGAATAGTCTGTGGACTACGCTCTATACTCATGCTGTTTACCTTGTTGGGTGAAGAATAGAAACTGGCTGCTGGGAGGATCGTGTTCTTAATGTTTACTAATGCTGGATGAGGAACAACTGATGCCGTAGAATCTGTTAAGCTGTTTACCTTGTCAATCACTCCTGTATTGCCATTTGATTGCTCACAGAAAAGCATTTCTTCCGTGAATCTACATGCTCATTCACATTCGTGTCTTTGTTTTCGCTTGACACGGTGCCGTGCACGGACCCCCTCACAACCAAGCGGCGACAGCATCGGAGGTACAGCAGCCCATGGTGAGAGACACGTACCACTACCGCCGAAGCACGCTTGTCTACTTGACCATCAAGTACCACTCCTTTCCTTTCCTTTGGTGCTGTATGTTTTGTAATGTCATAGTAGGCAACCCACAAGTTGATTCGCAATCCGTTATCTGGGCCAATGAGAATCCACGGGGATTTGAAGTCCCGAACGAGAAAAATGTCTATATAAAGCGAGCAATTTCGCCTTTCTTTTTTCTCTTCTCTTCAGTTCGTTTTGGTACAGCTTTGGTCTGTAGTACAGATGCACTGCTCTGTGCCATGATCGGGTCATTGCTTGTGCTGGCTAT